CCCCCACAGTAAGAATCAGCAAACATGAAAGCATTCTTGTCTTGCTGCATGCTCTCCAAAACATAGATCCGAAAGAACTTGTTCACCCTTTGGGCACGAGTGGAAGTACAATACTGCAATTAGCTGGAATGATGAAGTGTGGAGTGGTCGACGGTGCAGTTCACCCCTCTCCCATTGCATTCCCCTTTTGTAAAGACTCAAAAGGGTGAATCTGTCCCTCTAATGGTTTCTTGTGGTTTCCTGTTGGTTTTTCATGGGTTTTCTGCGGTTTCCTCCAGGTTTCCGAGTGTCTTCCACTGATGGATGGGATCTCCGGGCGGTAGCTTGTTGGATGCGTGAGCCTCGTCGTGTTCCACCAAACCTTGAAAACTGGATGCAGTCAACGCACAGTGTAAAGATGATATGCAGAGTGGAAGAACAAGGTGCAAGACAAGAAATCAATGGAATATGCGAGACTTGTAAGGTCCCTCTTTACTGACTTACAGACCCCCCAGCGTTTTCCACATGTTTGTTATGGCCTGCTATTGTTTCCCATGAGTTCTAGATAGATATGCTCTTCAAAAGTGAATCTGTTCCCTCTTACGGGTTTCTGAAGGTTTCCGGTCTGGTTTCCGATGGTTTCCTATGGGTTTCCCACAGATTTCCTGCGACGCCGGATCTTGGCAATGCTTTGCATGGCTCGTGTAGTCATGACTGCGTTCGGAGCAGGCCAAGATATAATCGAAGTTTTTGAAGCAGGCGGCAAGGTTGAGAAACTGTAGTGCTTCCAACAAGCCCACTTCTGGGTCCGGAAATTGTCAGGATTGTGGTGGCTGTTGTGAAGGGGCCTCCAGAGTACTGCCGCTCGTCATTCGAACCCTGTGACTGATTCTTGCACTTGCACACCTTGCATCTGTGCACCTTGCATTCTGTATTTGCACTATGCCAAGGAAAAGAAACATGGTGCAGCTTGGACTTGGCACTTTCTTCTTTGTATGAAGATGGTGAAGTTGCTTTTGGCACTGCTTTGAGAATCCAAGACAGTGGTCCTTTTCCACGCACAAAACGGGTTCTCCGACACCTTGATTGCGCCAGCTGAGAATTGCATCATTCTTGAGTTTCGAGCTTCTGTGTTGAGATGGCTGGGAAGAGAAATCAAATTGTTTTCTCCTCCCGTGTTCAAACGTGAACATGATAAGTCGGAAGGTTGGTCTTGGCAATTCAAAGCGTACGTTGCATTGTACAAACTGGATCGAGTTCAAGAACCCTTCGCACAACGCAGAGCGTGTACTATCTCTGTTTAGGACTACTACACCCGTTTTCTCGGGGAAAACAACAGAAATCTGGCGTGTAGCTACATGGAACGTGAATAAAATCTACATTCGACTTGTTGATAACGCAGTGGATGGTTCCATGCTGATGACCTTGACAGCAACAGTTTGCAGGAGCTTAATTCTGGGTGTTTCAGTTCTGCAAGCACGGAAGGTGCTCATGAAGCTTTAGGAAAAGCTGCTCGCGCAATGAGTCGCCGCAAGAAAAAGCAACGGCAGTCTTTCGCACCTCCGCATCAATGTTGCAAGTACATTCCAATCCAGGGCAAATAAAAGCGTCGAACCAGTTTCTTCGAGTCTGTGCAGCATCTCCAGATGTCAGCCTTCAGCAAACGCACAACACTTGCTGCACATCGCAAATCATTGCTGATGGAGCCACGGGATTTTTCTCCAGAAGTTCAGAAACCTGTTCTTAAGGATGTCTCAGAAGGAAGTTTGAAAATCTCAGTTGTGTTTATGTCCATGCGACGTTTTGCTGGTTTAGCAAGTCAAAACGTTTCAGCGGCCCTGCAGAGTCGCGCGGAGTAGTGGGGCACGGAGTAGCTGAAACTGTCGCGCTTGCTCCGAATTCGTTGCCCCAGCGACGTTTTGGAAATCAGACTAGAAAGAGCTGGTAAAGTTTGATGCAATTTAAAACGTCTCAGCGGCTCTGCAGAGTCGCGCGGAGTGGTGGGGCACGGAGTAAAACTGTCGCACTTGCTGCGAATTCGTTACTCCAGAGTCTGGCCAAACTTCAGCATTTGTTAAGGTACCTGGTGGGAAGTTGCGTGTTGGCCAGAAAGTCTTCATACATGCTATCTGATTGGATTTCCTCGATTGACCTGTCTGCAACGTCGACATGCAAGGTGCAAGACTGCAAGATGCAGGTGCGAGCAAGATGCAATGCGAGAGGTGATGCGAGAGCGCAGATGCAAGGTGTGAGCATGCCGTGCAAGTGCACAGGTGCAAGATGCGAGGGTGTGAAGGCGTGTTGCAAGTGCAAGGAACAAGAGTGCAAGTGCAAGTGCAAGGAGTGCAAAAATGTCTATTAGAAGGCTTGAAAGTGACCGAAAACGCGCGCAAAATGGAATTTACAAGCTCAGTTATGCTAGAGGAATGGTGCCATGCCGCAGTTTCAATTTTCTAGCTAAAATCCGTCTAGACTCGATGAAGACCGTAGTAACTTGAATTATTCTCAAAGATGTCAAGTTTTCGCTTGCATACGGGAAATCCAAGTTCTTCTAATTCTAGTTGCAAACAAACTTCAGTGAAGCAGCGTCGAAACAATTGCAGCGTGTATGCTGCCAGCGCCACATGTAACTTTCATGCGCTTAATTTTATGAATTTTACCGTAAAAGTTCCGAGACTAATAGCATGGTTCAAATTCCGATCATGTTTTGCATGTCGCGATGCAGTCCGATTCGATGATTGAGCAGCAGTGCTATGGAAGTCCAGGTTCCATTTGGAAAGCGATGTCGCGAGAAATGACTGATTGCCATGCATGCTTTTTTCATCGAGAAAGCTTTACACACTCTTAAGCGAAAGCCCCAAGGTGCAGTACTGCTCATGCTCCGGATCTTGCGGCTTATTGGCGACTACGCCACGCCCATTGCTGCAACTAAACATCGAGCAAGAAAACCATGGAGTTTGTGTAACCAGCTTTCGCATGCAGATGAAAGCTTGTGCGCACCACGTGGGCAACCCTTTCAGAAAACTAGTCGGAGAAGCCAAAGAAGGCGTGAAAGAGCTCTTGGGGCTTAATCGGGGATTTAGTCGACGTGCACACGTCTCTATGCAGGTTCGGGAAGACTGCAGAAATCTTGAGAAGCAACCGGAAACTTCAAGAGCAACGGCAAGGGGAAGGACACTACCGGAGGCAAGAGCTCCAACCAAAACAGAAACCAACGCGCTCAGAACCACCTAAAGCTGAAACTGTTTTTTGGCATCCGCGTGCTTCAGTGGCTGCAGCTACGGCGCTCGATCTCTCGTAAACATCACAGAAATCAACAAACACACCATGGCGGGAACGAAAATCTGGCTCGAAGCAAACCGAAGAGCTTGGAGCACCTTTCTTTTCGCCTCATGTTCCTACTTGACATAGACGGGTTTGCAACTTCCACGAGCTCCTCCAGTGCCATTAATGGGAACACACCAAGCGTGAACCCATGCGACAGGTCATGGCTGTTTCTTCCACTCTAGCAGAGAAAGCAAAGCTGACGCCTCATGGGCTCTCGTAGCCAATACATCAGGACTTGGCAAGCTGCCACCCAGACAAAGTAGAAATCAAGTTACTGTGCAGAACTCGCCCGCGGTCCACCATGCTTGCGCGATAGAATCAACTTGCAGGTCTCCTTGCAAAGTTGTGCCACGTACTGGCTCGAACAATTGGAAGCGATCACTCGTTAAGGCCGTCATAAGCTGTCGAGTGGCTTGTGCATCGACTGCACACCACCTCTGTACTGACGACCAACTCACAAGAAGACTTGTTTGGTCGCAGTCTCAGGAAGTCCAGTGCACTTAGAGCAAGATGTTCTAGCAAGATGCAGAACGCTTGCCCAGTCAACGACATTCTTGTGGACATTTGAACGAAGCCTTCTGGAGGACCTAGAAAATGTTCCCGCTGATCGTGATTGACCCTGGCTATGTTTTCCGGCATGAGTACGCCATGTTTGGTCGCTTCTTATCGTCACCTGGCCTTGTCATCAGTCCGCACGCTGCCAGAAATGCTGTTTCTGCTTGAAGCGAAAAGACCTGGAAACAGAGTGAGAAATGTGGTTCGCTTTTGAGGCTGCAAGCTGGAAACGTTTTAGTTTGGCATGTCCAGTGACAAGAGATGGAAATGTTGTTTGGTATGTCAACCGTTGGAGCCACACAGTTTGCCTTGGAGAAATTTGGAAGCAAGTTGTTTGGAGGTCCACATCTGTCAATACAAGTTCTCCAAAGTCAGCAGCGTGTAAAAAATAAGTGCTGCGAGCTCCAAAGTTGCAGACTCAGTTTTGTTGCAAATTGAACCATTCTGATGCATTCAGCTGAGTTTGTTGTGGAGATTGTACATGAATGGAAAAGTGTAATGACAAAGAAGCCTCTTTAGCATTTTAGGATCCTCGAAAAACAGACTTGTCACTTGGAGAAGGTCGGAAGTGCGAAGACAGTCACAAATTGCAAGTGAAGTTGCATTCGTTCAATCCACGTTGTTCCTCAACAATGTCGCGCTTGCATCGACATTTTCTATTTTCATTGCATGTTAGAAGTTTGAAAAACAATTTGGATTGAAGTTTTGTTTTTGGTTGTAGCATTGATTAGCTTTTTGTGTTTTTTGAGTGACATGTCTTCATTGCCTTACGTGTGCTTTGCAGATTGTTTGTGTTGGGTTTTCAAGATGCAAGCCCGATAGCAGGATTGTTGAAAGTTTATATGTCGAAAAGTTTTAGCGTGGGAGTGTTGTTTTCGCGTATTATGTGTGTTGTGCGTAACAATAGCATTCAATCTTTGCCTTTGGTCGGGCATGTTCTGCATTGCAATCTCTGAAACCAACCCATAATGAAAACTTGTGCCTAAACTCCAATATGATAAAACTCATCGGGACCGCTACACACTTGCACTTGCACGCCACTTCTCACAGGTGTTTGATGGAATTATTGTGCACACAGTTCTGTATGGTGGCATTCTGGCCCAAGGCTCATGGTTTAGGGGCGTCCTGCTTTCGCAGCAATGGCTGAGAGGCAGGAAGCGCGACCCTTGGTGCTGCGTGGCTGCCTCAGATTATTCCAGCTTGCCATCCTTTTGTCTATGACGGTGTGCAAAAAGTTGGTGCGTTGGATTGCCAGGAACAAGCACTGGTCCAGTTGATCTTCGGCCTCAACGACAGGTGGAGTCACGTTTGTTTGAATCGAACGGTAGCAATTTCCAAGTGGTTTATTTGTGATGATCAAATCTGTGCTTCCGCATAAAGGGTCTTCCATTGGCCGGTCCGCCTCGTGAAGGCAACACGGATCAGCCTCGTGAATGGAGGTCCGCAGAAAACGATCAGCAAGGCTGCGCTTGCAGAGAATTATATTCTTGTTTTCTGTCTGGCATGAGGACTGGTGCGGTCAATCAAAGATGTCCGAAGCATTGCATCGCCAGATGTACATTCATATTGCTTCATAGATGACAGTTTCGGAAACCTCCATTGCTCCCTGTCATCCACCAAGTCGCGCACAGGCTAAACATCATCTCCATATACTCATATACTTGCACCAAAAGTACCGAGTCTCGCCGCAGGGTTGGCTGAGAAGCGATGGTGGTGCATATCACAAATCAGTGAAGCAGGCCAGGACCTTAGCGTGGCCTCACGTGTTCACCGAAGCTGGTGAGGGCCCTTGAAACAGATTCCACTAAGTGTCTTTTGGTGTTTTCGGCAAGCGAGTCCAGATCAGACGTTGCATTGTTGGGTATGACGGTTTGCCCGACGAACCTTGGCCTTGTTCGGAACGATGTCGCAGGCTGCCAGACCGTTGCTGCGCCACTCTGCCAGGCAATGATGATCGCCGCAGAGCAGATCAGGTTGTTGGACGCCAAAGAGCTGTCCGTGGCCTCTGCCTACAGCTCTTCCGATGACTTCGAAGCTATCCAGGCCGGCTGAATTCAAAGTCCCAAAATCTCCATGTCCCCAAGCGCATAGCATCATGAATCATAGACTATACACCGCTGGAGCCGCGTATCGTGGGGGTTTCCTTTAGGCTCCTAGTCATAGTCGAAGAACGCAGGCAAAGATCAAGACTTTGCTGGAGGGACAGGCGCACTTCACAGTGACAGGCACGCCTTTGGATTTGCTTGTCGCGAGTCGTGTACAGCGATGTCTGAAACCAAAGCCTCTACTCGAAGAGCCTTTTGTCTTCATGTCATGAGTTTCAATAATCTCTGCCGCTACAGGCTTGCTGTAAGCGTTTTTCAAGCCATGTCGAAGGATGCGCATGGGTTCTGTTGTCGAGGTGCAGCACAGAAGAAACTTCAGAACGTGGTGCAGCACCGGGAAGAAAGAAAGAGGGAGATGCTGATGCTTTACAGCAGCCAAGACACGGGGTAATTCCAGCATCAGGCCTTTTCAGAGACCCCTTGTAGCCTTCTGCTGAAGCCTGGGAGCCGAAACCTTCACTGGAGAATTCCCTGGATTGCCGGCATGGAGCAACACTTCCAATCCAAGAAGCCTCCATATGAGGGCCTCCTCCATCCTAGGATAAAGATCTCCAAAAGCCGCCCTTGCTGCAACGCACGGTCGGCAACTCAGTCTACCCTTCCGGTTGAAGCATGCCATGGGAAGGGTGGCCGAGAGCTCCGTAGTACCGTGTAGGTTCAAGCTCTCTGGAACCAGGGTGGAGCGCAGCTTCATCATCGACAACGGTGATCTGCTCGTGTACAGGGACCACCATCCCAATGCCAAGGTGAAGGCCCGCTTTCTGCACGAGTCTCGAAGTCATCCAAACACGCTCTGCTACGGGCTTCTGGATGGGTCAAAGAATTGAATTTGTAGTCGAGAATTCGGCAAAAGAGGGCTCTCAGCCTGTGGCCTCAACAACTTTAAGCCGCAGTCTCTTTCCAGGCGATCTATCACTTGAAAGATGCTACCTGCTTCTACGAAGAGCCGCGCACGGCCTCTCTGCCAAAATGGCAAGAAGGCACGTCTCCGATCCTTCTCGCTAGCTGTTCACAGCTTTCATGTCAGTTGCTGCTTGATCATAGAGTTTTCATGCGTGTAGCCCAGCTGAGACAGACCTTCCAGTTCCTTTCCGATACACCCCATGATGGGGGCTAGATCAGTTTTAACAAATCTAGGACCCTTAGCAGTCTTGTGTTTCTTGCGCAACGAGCAGGCTATCAGATGCGCCTCCGTGTAATTTGTACAGACAGAGAAAAATCTGGAAAGTCTCCGCCCGGGGCTCAATGCCACCAGAAGGGATTTGAGTGGGTGCTTTGCCTTGTGCCAGGTTTGGGTTCCAGTTTGCTCTTCCCATATGGCGGCATGATTGGGCAAGCTGGATGTAGAGCTGCGCCTTCGATTTCCCACCGGCAGTGTTAAGGCCTAAACTACAGGCCGCAAGTCCAACTTAGTGGCCTGAACCCACTACGCCACTACGCGCCGAAACAAGCCCACACATACACGCACGCATACGCACGCACCTCGAAACCTTCATCTTTGAAGTCAACGCTCGGTCCTGGACTGGGCAGGATCCTCCAAGGCTCAGGTGTCAGGCATTCGAGCAGGAGGCCAGCACTCTTTGCCAATCTCTTCTCACTGAGGTTGTACCTGTATTCAAAGGATGAGGCCAAGATCCACAGATGGAAGCGAGCTTTCACGCTGGCCAAGGCTCCACAAACACGGCATGTCCTGCCGGTACCAAGCCCTCGTCACGTGCGACATTCTCAAGCCTTAGAGACCTGCAGTTGGCTCCAAATCCCGAATGCAAAGCGCAGCCCGTACCGTCGGCAGGTGTTAGTATCAGAAAACGACCGTCGGGCGCTGAAGGTGTTGCGGCCTCGGGTAATTGCTAAGTCCTTGTTCGGGCTTTTGGGTCACGTGCCCTTGGGGTCCCTTCTGGGCTATGTGTTGGAGACAGGAGCAGCTTTCCAAATATCTTCAGGTTTGCATGTGCATATTTTTTGTACCCGGGTGCTTGTGCGTCCTTTGGATTCAGCGCTCTTTGTCTCCAAGCTTCCGTGAACAGCGAAGCTGCTTCTTTCGTGCGTTTCGAAAGCGTAAGATTTCTGCTCGTTTTGAGCCCAACATCGAAGCACTTCGCTGGCCGCAGACTCTCCGTACACGCCCGTAGCTCCCGGATACTCCATTCTTCAAGCAAGGTCCATCGGCCGTGCCACTTCCGGCGCTTTGCAAAAAGCTTGGGACTCGCTGGCCATGTACTACGGCCCGGGACTCTGGATCGGGGCAGAATTCTGATTGATCCGAGCCCCGGAGTTGGTGCTGCGGGTTTGGAAGACCTGCTTGAGGTGGCGTAGGATGAAGATGGCATTGTCTGTTGAACTTGTCTTCACTGCCTGTTCGCATTCCTGGCCGGCACACGGTTCTTGTTCCAGGTGAGTATGCCAAGACGAAAGCCTTGGTGAAGAACATGGCCATGCGGCTGATGAAGGCTCCACAACCCTGCGCTCCTGTTCTTCCGCTATGTTTTGCGAAAGTAGATCTGGCCTAGGCAAATGGGATCTCCTTTTCACCTGATGCAGGTTGACTACAGTCGCGGCTGGATGAAGTTTAAACTGGTCTACAGGACCGATCCTGCGCCTCACCCGGCCCTGAGCGTTTTGATCAGCCGAGTGGATGCTGAAGACAAAGCTGAAAGCGGCTTCAATCTGCCCATTGGATCTCCTAGCGGGATACCGAAACCTTGACAAGCCAGAAAGCTTCAAACCAGAAACCTGAAATGCTTTGTTGCTCTTCCTGCGATCAGGAAGAAGATGGACGAGCAGCACCGGCGCAAAGATCAGCAGATCTGGGCAGCACGATTCATGTCTGAGAAGCTCACGAAGTTGGGCAAGCAGAAAGCCAAAGAAATCGACGACGCCCCTCGGCCGGAGAAACGGGAAGCTTTGAAACCTTGCGTATGGATTCTCTCGTAATCGAAGGTCCGGGAGGGCGTGATCACCCGCATCCAGCAGAGGCCGGGGAGAGCTTTGCCGGCGCTCGAAGCTTCCAGTTGAGCTTGGAAAGGTTTCGGTATCGGTTCAGGGCTCCGACTGAGCACTCTTGTGTCATGTGCAGGCAGATGGGCAGATGTCCTTCCTTTTGCACAGGTTCCGGAGCTACCGGGAAGACATGATCTTCGACCGAACGTACCCGCTGACCTCCAGCATGATGGCAAGGGTGCCGTGAACCCGAACTGTGGTGTTGTTGAAGACAAGACTTTCATTGCCGGTTTCTGGGCTCTCTTTTAGAAGACTGGGGATACCGCTGCTCTGCTGGCTTCGATTGCTTGCACTCTGTTGATGACCGGCATAAGGCGGTCCGTCGCGACCCGATAGAGCTTGGGCAGGTGCAATCCGCCAAAGTGGGTCAAGTAGTTGACTACTCCATGCAGACCGTCGGGGCCTCGGGATCAGTGATCAGTGCGTGGGTTCAATGTCGGCCGTGGCACTAAGAGGCCAGAGCCCAAGCCCTTGAGGGATGGAAGCCTGTCGCACCGAAGCCTCCTCAGTGCTTAAGGTCTCTGCAGATGATGTTTGCCATTTGAGCCTCAAGGTGAATGCATGGCCCTGAGAAAGCTGCATGCTGCCTCATGTGTATTGGAGTGCTTGGCAGAAGCGAGTTCAAGGAAACGCATCGTCTGAGATGTATTCGTTTCACGTGCAGAATACACGGCAACACACCCCTACACTCTCCACAGGATGCTGCGCAGGATCGCAGCTTCGGGTCTGAAAATCAGCGTTTCGGGGTTCAAGGGTCTCGGGATGCAATCCCTGAAAATGTTAGTTTTCTAGATTCCGCAGGCTGACAAGACGAAAGATGCAGACGCAAAGGCTCGTTGCAGATGGTATCCATCTTCAAGTCTACGCTAGGGCCCCTACAGTAGGCCTCTGGGTAAGAACGGAAGGGGAATTCGAGAGCAGCTGCTCCACACATCTCTATGAGCTGACTCACGATCTCCAGGATGGCTATAAAGGCACCTCATCATACTACGCCACTACGCATGCGACAGATGTGTGCGTGAGTTTTGGGGCCAAGGGGGTGCGATGCAATGATAGTGTTGCAGTGAACCTCCACTGCCAGCACCTGCGTCTTTTGAAGGGGGACTCGAACGACACCAATGGCCCCTCCGCGAACAATGACAAGGCCTACGGACCTGCTGAGTGCTGTTTGTTGACAGGTCTCTTGCTTCGGGCTGTTGGCTTGCTTTGATTTGTTCTGCGCTCGCGAGCGACGCACTGGACCGCTGAACCTAAGGCCACCTACCAGTCTTGCAACCCTCTTGACCTTATTGGCATGCTGCTGATTACTGCTCTATAAAGTGTTGCGAAGCTCATTGTGATCCGAAGTTGTCTATCAGTATCAGTGCACCCAATGGACCTTGCCAAAAAAGCCGTTATCGCCTGCTAGAGTCGGAGCCCGAAGCCGGATGGTGATAATCGAAGAACGACTCAGGGCAAGGACGAAATGCAATCTAATACGTTTCATGGTGGTGGCCGTGATCTCTGTTGCCGCAGGCCGCGCAGTTGAATCAGGCTTTTGAGAAGTGGAGCAAGGACAAAGACGTCCTGCGGTCCACATCGCTTGGAGCCCCAGCTATCCTGAGAGGCAGCTCTAGTCGTCTGGCTGGAGTTGGGAGTCGGGAACGCAGCAGCGGAGAATCTGAGTTTCATGACTTTTAGAATGGCATTAAACGACAGCAGCAGGGCAAATTATGCATATTGACGGCAGCACTCACACTGGCTCTGTCAGAACCTTGATATAGACGGTGCAGTAGTGCAAGTAAGAGGAGTCGTAGTCGTCGTACAAGAAGTAGTAGTAGTAGTAGTAGTAGTAGTAGTAGTAGTAGTAGTAGTAGTAGTAGTAGTAGTAGTAGTTGTAGTTGTAGTAGTAGTAGTAGTAGTAGTAGTAGTAGTAGTAGTAGTAGCAGTAGTAGCAGTAGTAGCAGTAGTAGCAGTAGTAGCAGTAGTAGCAGTAGTAGCAGTAGTAGCAGTAGTAGCAGTAGTAGCAGTAGTAGCAGTAGCAGTAGTCGGAGGGGGAGAAGGAGTGGGAGTATGAGTAGGAGGAGCACAGGCGCAGGAGTAGGACTAGGACACATACAAGTAGCAGGAGTTGGCTGGAGGAGGGTAGTTCGAGCAGAGTCGGCGGAGGCACAGGCAATGATATCTGTGTCCCACAAAGGCCGGGTTACTCGGCGCTCCAAGATGGAAATCTCTCACTTCAGACGGTACAAGCCCCAGCATTTCTTTGACTGCCCTGGTGCATGATCATGTCGCTTCGGCCTGAATGTCTGAAGGAAGATCGGGTGTAAAACAGGTCCACTACCAGTTTGATTGATGAGGGAACCCAGGCACAGGTCCACTTGCTTGTGCATGGGCACGCCCAGGGCTTCTGCTTCCGTTCTAGTGATTGTCACCGCAATGTGCTGAGGTGCTGGTGTACGCTTCCGACAACCTGTCGGCACTGCTGCTGGGCTTAGCTGTGATCCAGACATGTAAACCACCGGTTGAAACGTTGCTTGAAATTCACTCTGTCTGCCTGCCGTAGTGCTTCAGTTGGTGGTTGCTGGTGACATCGCCCCTCATGTCAACACGAAAGCGTGAAGCAAAGACCAAGATGAGCCGGAGCCCGGCATTTGCTGAGCATGACACTTCTTCGTGAGAAGTGCTGCTCCAGTGCGTGGTGTACCTGACCTCCGCTGTTGCTGTTGCGGCCCAAAGGGGCCCCTTGAGACCTTTAGCTACTGTAGACAGCAAGCAGAAAAGATAGTGTGCGAGCGTTTTGCGATCCAGAGCCATAGTGATCCGTTGTCAGTTGGCAGCGGAGCGTGGTTCTGCTCCAGGGCGGCGGCCTTGATTGTGACCTCAGCGCCGATTACACGATCCGCCGCGACGTGAAGGCAGCGTTTCTCGGTTACCTGAACATTGCTGAGGGCTCAGGTTACCTGAACGTTGGGCTGCTGAGTGGGGTCGCCTTTTGGGTGTCGAGCGAGCCCAGATGTCCGGCAAAGGTGCCGGCACGCAGCAAGAATGGGTCTATCGAGATAAGGACCCACCGCCAGCCTACAATGGGGAGAACCCCCAGTCTTCCTTTAGAGGCTACCTGCGGGACCTGGAGCTTTGGCAAGCGGCCACAGATGTTCCTGAGGAGAAGCAGGGCTTGAAACTTGTGCAAGTTCTTAGCGGGCAAGCCAAGGCAGCAGTGGATGGGCTGGCGGTCGCAGACATAAAGGGAGCGGGCGGCTACAAGGCCGTTCTTGCAAAGCTGCGTGAAGCCTTCGAGCCGTACGTGGAGACGGCCTTGCCGAGGGCGATGGAAGGAGCGTTGTTCGGAGCACCCCGCTCCAACAAGGAGACCGTGGCTGAGTACATCATACGCTTCGAGAGGGCACAGGCTTTGCTGAAGGATGAAGGCGTGGAGCTGCCGACGAAGGCGGTCGGATACCTTCTGCATCGCCAGGCCAACCTGGACCCGGAGCTGGACGGCAGGCTGACGACTTGGCTGGCAGGCGACTACTCCAAGGATAATGTGCTAGCTAAGCTGCGCCGTCTAGAGCGAGTCCACCAAGAAGGCGCTAAGCGGGCCTTTGTCTTCGATGACCCGGACCAACCGGAGGACGACTACATCGAGGACGCTCCGGCCGAAGCCTTCTACCAGGAGGAAAGCGAGGATGACGAGAACTTCATCTACTTAGGCGACGCCGAGCCCGGCGAGGTGTACGAGGAAGATGACCTGATTGAGGCGCTGGCGTCGTACCAGGAAGTGCGGCAGAAGATCAAGGACCAGCGGCTGGGCCGAAAGTTCTACAAGGCTCCTGCCACAGCCGGGAAAGGCCACCAGCAGAAGGGCCATGGATTCAAGAAGGGCTTTGGAAAAGGCTCGTCCGGTGGTGCCGGGGCAGGGCGCGGGACTGGCCGTTGGAGTTCGGGCGGCAAGGGCAGAGTGCATATCGAGGAGTTGAAGCTCAGGACCCGCTGCCGCTCTTGCGGGCAAGTGGGCCATTGGTCGAAGGAGTGCCCTTCCAATCGCCCGGGTTCGTCTTCGGCACCTTCGGCCTCCTCTGGTTCCGGGCCTGGCAAGCCGGGCTCAGCTACCTCCTTCTACTGGGGCACGGCGGCCGGGGGAAGCTCTTCGGTTGCGTTTCTCTCTTTGCAGCAGCTTCTTCGACGCCAGCAAGAAAAGAGGGATTCGTGCCTGCAGTTTTGCGGGGTTAGCACTTCAGAGGGCGAGGCGTTGGTGGACACCGCTGCGCAAGATGGTTTGATAGGCAAGCCCAGTCTCCTACGGCTTTGCGGTGCTCTCCGGCAACATGGCTTAGCATGCAAGTGGCTTAACAAGACCGCAGCAGCACGAGGGATAGGAGGAACCGCGACCACAGTCGGAGTGGTAGAGCTCCCCTTGGGTTTGGCTGGGATTTCGGGAGTACTTGAATGCACTGTCATTGCAGAGGACGTTCCACTTTTATTGCCGATTTCTTTGATGCGTTCGCTAGGTGCCGAGATAAGCCTCCCAAAGAACACCCTCAGCCTTACCTATGTCGGGGCCTCGTGCAACATGATCACGCTTCACTCTGGGCATGCTGCAGTAAGTGTTCTCGAGTTCGGGCCCAATGGCTGGACTTTGCCGTCGCAGTGTAAGGGCACGCGTTCTGAGAGTGATTTTCGAGCGAGCTCTTCTTCTGTGCAGCAGCGTTCTGGCTTTGCTTCGATGAGCAAGACGTTTTCCCCTGAGGGCCAGTGTTCCTTTGCGACCCATGTTGGCGGCCCAGGTCTTGAGGGACACCGGCAAGCCGTCGACAGCGAGCACCCGGAAGCGAAGAGGGGTGCCAGACCGCTCAAAAGTGGCGCTCCGAAACTGGCGCGTCGTTGGGGACAAGCTCTGCTCTTTGGTGTTTTGGGGGCCGCTGCACAATGCGGTCGCGCAGTTCCTGGAGGGAGTTGCCAAGCCAGCTTTCTTGCCAAAGAGCCGGGCCTCTGCGAGTACTACCGTGGCGCTGGCACCTACGAACAAGGCGGAGTTCTACAAGACCTATATCAGCCAGGAGCCCGCGCCGGAGAAGATGACGAACGTGAAGGGCATTCCGGAGGAGAGCGGCCAAACCTGTCGCCACGAGGCTCGCTACCTCAAGGGCGGTGGCAATGGGCACGCCAATTGGGTGCATTGCGCGAGGTGCCTCTCGAGGTGGAGGTTGTCACCGGAGGCGGCTGCGCAAGTGACGGGGCGTGCTCTTCAGGAAGTGCCGGCCGAGCCGGCAGCCAAGGGGAAAGCGAAGGCCAAACCATTGGCCCTACCACAGCCACAGGACGATCGGAACCCCAAGGAGAGCGACTACCTCAAGGTGATCGAGGACCAGAAGGAGAAGATGCAGCATATGCAGGCCCAGCTGGAGCTTCTGACCGGAACGACCGACGAGATCGACATGGCGGCCGAGGCGTGCTGTGCGATCGAAGGGTCACTTTTGAGCATGGACGCAACCCTTCAGCAGGAGGCTCAGACGGTGATCGCCGAGTTTCGGAGGCTCAAGCTGTCGGAGGAGGAGAGCCGGGCACGCAGCCGGCACTTCCCCACCAGGGAGACCAAGGACGAGTGGATCAAAGCGGCAGACAGCTTGAGGATCGCGTCGGGCCAGATGAACCAGTACTACCAGGACCTTATGCGCCAAAGAGCTCAAGTGACTTCGCTCCTGCTGAGGTCGGGGCGTTAGCTCGCGAGATCCGGTCGGAAGATGGGCAAATCGTGCTCAAGAGGGCATCCCCGAAGGCAGTTTCAGCCTGGCTGTCGCGACCTATGCCGGGAGTTGAAGACTATGTGGTGGCGCGAGGCAGCCAAGGGATGCAACGAAGGGACCGAGCCGACTTCGAGATCGGCGGCTGGCCTGGGGGAGAAATCTTCTTGGCTGTGAACGAGCCGGCCCTTTACCTCTTTGCGGCCACCGACGGTGGGGAGGAGCACGACCTCACCGAGTTTCACCATGATCTGTGTGCCTGGGTGCAGTCGCTAAAGTCAGCCGGCGCCGGGCGAGATCCAGTTTTGGCACTTTGTGCTCAAGAAGAAGAGTCTACACAGTGGGCTTTGTGGCAGCAAGGGCAGCCCAAAGTACTTTGTCTCAGTCCGGGACCCGGGACAGCAGCCGTGGACCACGCATGTCGCGTGGCAAGGGCCCAGTGGCGTCGAGGGGGAGCTTTTTCCATTAGTGTTTCCAAGCACGCTCCCGCGACAGCTGCTCTGAAGCAGCTAAAGAACCAAGTTTGCAAAACCTCGGCCGCCTACCTGCTGTTCCGCAAGAAGGGCATTCTCACCAACGCCACGGACGCGGAGAAGTACCAGTTGGCCAAGTATGACAAGGAGATCCTCGGGACCAATTTGGCGGAGGAGTTCTCCGAAGCTTTCTCCGAGGCCTTTGTGGGAGAAGGGCAGCCAGAAGATGTCGGGGAGTATCCCGAGCATCCTGATGAAGATGCAGCTGCGCCCGTGCGAGAGCCCAGCCGGGAACAGAAGGACGCTTTGCAGCGAGTTCACCAAAATCTTGGGCACCCCGATGCCGCCACTTTGGCCCGTACCTTGCGAGTCGGCGGTGCACCTGAGTACTTGTGGAAGTGGGCCAAGCAGCACTTTCGCTGCCCAGCCTGCGCCTCGGGAGCGAGGCCAAAGGCACCTAGACCGACCGCTGTGCCGCGATCGTACGCGCCCAATGCAGTGGTGGCCGTGGACCTTTTTCACATGCCAAGCTGGGACAACCAGAATGACAAGGAGCTGTTTCTGAACATGGTCGATTTGGGAACCAACTTCCAGATGATTGAGCGCATCCCTTCGAAAGAGGCCGTGGTTGTGTGGAAGGCTATGGCTCGAACTTGGGGGCGTTTCCTGGGATGGCCCCAAATGATTATGTGCGACCAAGGAACAGAATTCCTCGGCCAGTTCAAGGAGAAGTGCCACGAGCTGGGCATCATTTTGCACACCATTGGGGCGCGAGCACCGCATCAGAATGGTCGTTGTGAGCGGCACGGGGCACTTTGGAAGATGCTCTTTGAGAGGGCCAAGTGGATCAACGCGCCGGCCTCCCTAGATGAGTGGAAGCTGCTGATTCGAGAGACCGAAGCAGCTAAGAACCGACTGTCTGATAGGTCGGGGTTTTCGCCAGCACAGCGCATGCTCGGGCAGACGCCGCGGGTGAGCGCCGAGCTGCACTCTGACTCTTGGCTGGATCCAGTGCTAGCTTCCAACGACGAGGAGATGATCAAGATGCTCAAAGCCAGGGCTGCGGCGCAGCGAGCGTGGGCCGAAACCAATTGTTCTACTGTGGTTCGGAAGGCCCTTCGATCTAGGCCCCGCACACAGCGGCAGTTCGGGCCTGGCGAGGTGGTGTATGTTTGGAGGCACAAGGCGTGGGAAGGGCCAGGAGTTGTGATCCTTCCCGAGGGTGCAAATTGCTATGTGAATGTCAAGGGCAAGCTGTGGAAGGTTGCCAACGACCACCTCCGGAACGCCGTGTCGGAAGAGATCAAGGGCACCGAGGCCGTTCATGAAGTTTTTCGGGAACTCCGAGAAAGGTTTGCGAGAGAAGGTCGTGAAGCACCAGTGGTGGAGGACCTTACCAGAGAACCGAGACCTCCGGCGTCCGAAAGGCCTCCCTATGATCCAGTTGAGGAGGAAGGCTTTGCGAGAGGTCTACCGCGACTCCGGGCAGAGCAAGATGATCCAGAACCACCGGTTCCTTTACCGAGCCCGGAGCCAGCCGAGCCCGTTCAGCCCGAGATCCCAGAAATTCCAGAGCCTCCAGTGCCTCAGGTTCCTTTGGCGCCGGACTTGCAAGAGACACCTGTGCCGGCGGAGATGGAGCGACAGAGCACCGAGGAGCCGGAGGTTGAAAGGATAAGTTCCGAGAGACCGTCTCGGGAAGAGCAGCTACGTGAGGCTGTGGAGGCGACCAACATAGGTCGAAGGCTGGATGGCATTCCGACGGTGCCACCCTTTGCGAGATCCTCGGGGAGTTCGGTGGAGGTGCCAGAGACCTACGAACCGGCACGACCGACTGTCGGGGAAGCCTTGCAGCATCCGCACCCATATCGCCGGCCGGAAGCTGATGATGTTTTTGTCGAAGAGAACCTCCCAGTACCCAAGGTCGAAGAGTCCAAGGAGCCGAAGCCCAACAGAGACTACTGGGAACTGCTGGGGCAACAAGGTGTCCTGCGCCGGCACCATGTGAAGTGGCGGACTTGTCATTTCAGCCCCTGGGAAGGCTCCAAGATGCCTCTCGAGATTAGCGCATTGACTTCTGAGCGGTCCACTGTGAAGGTTCTCAAGAATGGGGACCGTGCCGAGGACTTCGACGACTGGAGGGCGCTCAAGCCGGCAATGAAAGCAGCGCAGAAGTGGAAAGGCTACACCGACTTCATGCTCACCAAGCCGGAGGCCAAGAAGCTTATAAGGCAGATGCGGGGGATCCCGGTTCAGGAGACCAACCACGTGTACTCCTTCGACGTGGTGACCGCGGAGACCTTTGCAGCGAAGAAGGCGGCGAGCGACGAAGTTGCCGAGAAGGACATCACAGATGAAGAGTGGCCAGAGTGGCGCCAAGCTGATGCTGAGGAGTGGGCCAAGATAGCGGCATCAGGAGCAGTGAAGGTACTGACCCCTGAGCGCTCCAGGCAGGTCAAGGCCGAGCTTGCGGCCACTGGACAGCTGAGTCGCATCATAGACAGCCGTTTCGTCCGGAGAAAGAAGCCGAGCGAGCAACTCGGCGAGCCGAGCACCTTCAAGAGCAGGTGGTGTGTGCGTGGGGATCAGGATCCAGATGCTGCCGATTTGGATGCCTATGCACCGACGGTGACCACACAGAACTTGCAGGTCATCCTCCAGCTAGTCGCTTCAAGGCGTATGCCGGGATCCTGCGGCGACTTAAAGGCTGCCTTCACTCAGAGCGATCGTCTACAAAGGACTGCTGGGAAGCTTTACGTGCGGCAACCGCGCGGCGGACTCCCAGGCCTGGAGCCCGAGGTCATCCTGGAGGTGATTGTCGGCGTCTACGGCTTAGTGGATGGGCCGGCACACTGGCGCCGCACTCTTAAGTCCTATGTGACCCAGGAGTTGGGGTATCGTCAATCACGCATCGACCCCACGGTGTTTTCGCTCTATGTGGACCGAGAACTACAAGGCCTGATCGTGATCGAGATCGACGACATCCTGTCGTTTGGGTTTCGAGAACATGAGCACCGCATGGCTCAACTACAGGCTCGCTTTAAGTTCGGCAAGTACAAAAAGCTGCAGGAACTGGAGTCCGGCACCATGTTCAACGGTAGGCGGATTCAGCAGGACCAAGACGGAGCTATCCGGGTAGATATGGCCAAGTTCATAGAGGAGCGTTTGCACCCGATGGCCATCCCGCGCGACGGTCGAGCTCAGCCTGAGGCCGAGGCGACTTCACAGGAAATGTCGACGGCCCGTGGTGCCATTGGCTCTCTGGCGTGGCTGGCCAAAGAAGGCCGACCTGATCTAGCTGGAGCTGCTTCCATGTTTGCCAGCAAGCTGACCACTCTGAAGGTCAAGGACATGCAGGACATCAATCGCGTCATCGCCGGAGCCAAGGCCAACCGAGACCTAGAGCTGAAGTTCCACCCGATTCCGCCGGAGTCCTTATGCTGGGGCTGCATAACTGATGCTTCATGGGCCAACCACAAGGACGGAGCAAGCCAAGGAGCTACCGCCGTGATCGCGTTCCACCGGGACCTCCTGACGGGGAAGAGTGCCCCCTGCACCATTATCTGGTGGAAGTCCGGCAAGTTGAGGCGGAAAGTTAACAGCACGCTAGCAGCCGAAGCTCAAGCTCTTTTACGGGGCTTGGGGGACCTTATGTGGGCAAAGGTTGTGTACCACGAGCTCATCGACAGCGACTTCACCTTAGAGTCCTTCAAGCAAGATGTGAGAGCTCGAGCCGAGCTGGTGTTGCAAAGTGCAGCGGCCGACGACAAGCTGAAAGACTCGTTGTCGGTAGTCGACGCCAAGTCCCTCTACGACAATCTCATGAAGGAGGGCTCCCAGAGCCAAGATAAGTTCACGGCATTGGATGTTGCCATTGCCAGGGAGCGCATCGACGGGCTCGGCGTGGACTTACGCTGGGTGGAGCACCAAGCTATGGTGGTGGATTCTCTTACCAAGATCAACGGCAACAAGGAGGCACTACTGAAACTTCTTACGACCGGAACGTTCAAGCTGGAAGCTGAAGAGTGGCAGCTAGAAGACCGTGAGCGCCGAAGGCGTGAAGGGACCGTCAAAAGGCGGTGAAACCAGCTTCGGTCAGAGAGTTTTTAGGGAGCTGAGAAGTGCTGCTCCAGTGCGTGGTGTACCTGACCTCCGCTGTTGCTGTTGCGGCCCAAAGGGGCCCCTTGAGACCTTTAGCTACTGTAGACAGCAAGCAGAAAAGATAGTGTGCGAGCGTTTTGCGATCCAGAGCCATAGTGATCCGTTGTCATCGAAAATGCTCTTCTCGAAGATTTGAAGCGCCAACCTCCAAGACGCAAGCAACTGGAAAGCCTTCCGCCGTGATGGACTTGTCTGCCCTAAGGGCTAAATGACGCTGTGAGGCACCCGAAGCTTTGAATGTAAGTGTATCCGAGAATCTGTGAACGATACGGCGTGAATGCCCGCCGTGGGAGATGCTCCAAAGGGGACGCAGGCTTCGATTTGGAACTTGGAGGTTTGCCATTGCAAGCCTCTTCTCCATCGCTTTCGTGTCTCCTCCGCCCCGGCTACAGGTTTTTTGCAGACCAGCAGCCCACCGATGGCATCGCCGTTCTGAACAAGACGGACTGGCCGGGACCTGTGTTGCAGAGCTGAAGTTTCGTAGTCGGTCGTTACCATGGGACGTACAAGCATGGCAGATGTAGTAGGCACCTCGACTACTGTCATTTTCAGTTGCGCATGAGCCTGCAGCCTTCTACTGTGTTTTGGGAGCGCAGTTGTTGGGGTGCGGGTTTCCCTGCAAAACATCACGTCTGGCCTCAAGGTCCAAGTTCATCAATATGGACCGGATTTCCAGTGCCACGGGCTCGGCCGCTGCATGCCAGAAACACAGGTTGTGGAGGATGCGGGGCTCAGCCTTTGGGGCGTCTGCTTCCCCGCCTAGTAAGCCAAGACTCCCGAGAAGAGCTTCTAGACGAGGCTTTCGGGCGCGAGACGGTGAGGATTTGATGCCTTTGCGCAAATACTGTGCCGAGGTCGTTTTGCATTCCGAACCACGGCCAGGAGAGAGACATCATGGGTCGTTTGATTCTGAGGCATTGCTGCTAGTAGCAATTCCCCCATCCACAATGCAGCAACAAGCGCTAATCCCACGAGATCGACCACCAGCAAGTACGAGCGGTCGAGCGGTGCTGATCGCCCACACAGAATGTGGCCGGTGTTGCCACCACTGCCAACATTACTCAGCAGTCACGACTACCACCTCTGTTGCCACCAAGCTACCGGCCGCTTTTCTCAAAAATAGACACAAAGACACAAAGTCGGTGAAGCACAAGGGACCCGACGACCTGCAACCCGATCGCAACTCTTCCGCAGTTGCCTTGACGAGGAGCCGGCCAGACCAACGGCGATGCCGGTGTCTGGTGCACGATCAACGGGCCACGAGTGGCACGGGGCTTGTCCTTGTCCATCGTGGCTGCAGGGTTGGAGATCTTGGCCTGTCAGGCTATGTCTTATATACATACTATGTATATGTGTATATATGTACTTATATATATATATATATATATATATATTCATATTAATATATTAACATGTTTTTTATGTTACCTCTTTATATGTCTATATTTTATATGTTCATACATATTTATATTTTATATCTTTATTACAATTTCAGATTTTTTTGTTTTTATGTTTTTGATATTTCTGTATGTTTCTATTTACATGTTTTTATATCTTTATATATTTACATATATATATAATCACACATATATTTCTCTTTGTCTATATCTAAAAAAAATCTATATGGAGCCTTGTGTGGGTATACGCACGGATGTGGACTGGGTCGAACCTCGGCGTTTTTCACGGACCGGCCCGGTGACTCCGACTTCCTAGCTCAAGGTGTTTTGGGCTTCGTTCTGTCTCTGCTCTGAGCTGCCGATTTCGAAGTTTCGTGTGAGTATTTGTATTCGTAATGGTACTACTATGAATATATCTGCATTGCTATTCGTATTGTTATTGATACCGTTAGTTTTGAATTCTGTCAGAAGCTCCACGCGAAGTCTGGCGAAAGCTCTGCCCCAGGCGTGGGATCGGCGGCTGGCTATGCAATCTGGCAAGAAAGAGGCGGGAGGTTTAGTAAGACATAGAAATTCGGGGCCCAAGTCGAGCTGTGTGAAGGTGTTGTCGGTGGGAGTATCTTCGCAAAGATGACAGTATTGGGTCTTTCAGAAGCATCTGGCACTGTGTGGCGGGGTCCATGCAAGCCCGCAGGCCGGCAGTCCGAAGCAAAGCTAAGCAGCTACACTGCCCCAAGCCACTAAGAGTTACAGACCGAAAGCCCGAGCCCTAAGTCCAACTCGAAGAACGGGCTTCCGAAAATGTTGAGGGGCCCAAGCTTCATGTTCAGTTTCTGGAATTTTCCACGTGTTGGGTGCCCAGCACGAGAACCTCTGAACGATGATGGACTGTTTGGGAGGTTTTCGGAGCCGAAACGAACCTCACCGTCGCCTCGGCCACGGCCTCATCGGTGATTTTCGGTCTACCCGTAGTTCGGGTGCCGTCAGAGAGCTCAGAGAGCTGGGGTGGGGTGTGTGGCCCAGGCCATCGCGCAGGCGAAGCCTCTCCACTGGCTCCAGTTGGAAGGCAGGCTCGGCAGAGTGACGCTGCCCGCGGCTCAGACTCAGACTTTCGAGGCCCAAGGCCCGGCGGAGCCCTCAAGGCCGAGCCTTTCGGGCCAAAAGCACCGAAGAGCAGGTCGCAGCGATGTGTGCGCAATCACCGCACCCGCACGCGCAACATGTCAGCTCATGCCCGGAAAAATCTGATCTCCCTCAGACCCAATTCGTGTTGAGCTCGGTTGAAGGTCGGAGAAGAAGGTCGAAGGGGAGGAGCGGATCGCATCAGAGTCAGAGTCAGCAGGTGGATTTAAAGTCTTAGAGTTCAGAGGTGTCGTCCCTTCTTCGGGCTTGTAGCCCAGGCTTTGACGGCTTCAGGACTCCATGGGGACATGGTCTCTCTTTGAGGTTGTCGTCTGGTCTCACTGAGCTGCTGCCTGCATCTGCAGGAGTGTGTCCACTGCACTTTCTCGCATCCCAAACCGAGAATCTCAAAGACGTCGACCCTAAACTCTACATAAACAGACTGCGACTTTCGATCGAACCTCATCTTCTTGTGCATGGAGGAGCCTCCCCCGTTCAAGTTCAAGACAAAGGCGGTTCTTCACTTGCTAGGCCGGGGCCTGTGGCAGACTACCCTTCTAGCAGTCCCAGCAACCTAACTAAGTTTTCACAGGGTTGGGTGGAGACGACGGCAGGTTCGCGCACGTCCGGGGTAGCGAGCTCAGACCCCCGAACACAGCAGGCTGGTCCTATGAGTCGAAGGAGGTGGAGGGCAACAATCCCGACTACGATCTGACGGTGAAGGCGGTCTTCCAATCCATGACGATTGTCGTTTCATGCCAACATCCTAAGCTGCCCTGACTTGGCAGCGTCTCAACCTGGAGTTCGTGTTTCGAAGACAGGTCCAGTCGTCGAGTCCGAAATTCAGTTAGAAGCCGCTACCTGACGACCTGCGGAATCCCTGAGCTCCAGACGCAGAGCCCCAAATTCCCATCTTGCGCAGGGTGCCGTTCCGGTTTCTTCGGAGAAGTTCGTGTCCCTGGATGACAGCGAGGTGGGAGACCTCGGTGCAGGGGCCGAAGGGCTACAGTTGGAAGCCTACATGCCAAGATGACGAAACGACTGCGATGAGACGGAATCTGGTTCAAAGCCGAAACCGAATTCCCCCCCAGCAGCCTGCCTTACGACTGACAACAGAAGCCAGCAGCTAGCAGCTAGCAGCTTGCCGGTGAGGTGGGCGTAGAGATCTTCCAGGTGATTCCAGAAGAGGCGGGGCGGGGCCGGGCTCGGAATCTTTCAAGGCCGTGTGGGATGTTTGGTGTACGAGGATTAGATTTACGACGGGGGGTGCTCATGCTGAGTTTGTGGAAATGCAGACGCCTGCTGAGCCATTTGGAATGCTTGGTCTTGCATGGCATGCAGAGAGAAGTTCCTGATAAAAGGCACATGGGGATGTTTGGAGGTAGTCGGGAACAATACCTTCGTTTCAAGACAGACTTAGGACTTGTACAAAGACTGAAAGCACAAGCCCGTACTCGATCTATTGTAAGCTGCCTTTCTCTCGGCTGCCCAAAGAGTCCTTAAACCCCGCAAGTTCTTAATTCCGCATCCCCGACCGAAGAGCCCACTGTTCTTAGGAGGTTGAGGTCCCGGGCAACAAGAACCCTGGAGACACCTTCACCAAGGAGGCAGTTTGATTTTCTCTTTGGAGTCTGGAGTGGGGGGTATTGGGCAATCCGAAAAGCTCGAGGCTTCCATCAAGTCGTTCAGGTCAGCAGGGTTTGGCAGCGGTTCCGTGTGGTTTGCAAGGCCGTCTGAACAATTCTGGCATGTGGAGCTTGCGACGCACTACAGACTTCCAACTCTCTGCCCAGTCTACTCTTATTACATGTTGACCTGCCGTGACGCAGCCGCCAACTCCTGCTCTGCACTGGTCACGGTCAGAAGAATCCCTCAAGATTTGCCTTGATTGCGCAGATCAGCGGAAAGCTCTATCACATCCTCGTGCCTGAGGGCGCAAAGCCAGGCAAAGGATCATGGCCACAACGTGCTGAAGTGCACGTGCTTTGTGTGCAAGTGCTGAGGTGTGCGTGTGTGTGTGCGCATATGTATGTATGTTTGCGCTTGTGCACCGGTTTGGTGCGTGCCAACCTGCATGCTCAGCTTCGTGCAAGTACCCACGGAGATGTGATACAAAAGCCACAAGATTGCAGCGATCTGGCGTAAATCGTTTCTGAGTGCCTCGGCGATCCGAGCTTCTGAATGAAACGGCGCATACGAGGATTGTTCCAGTCCAGTCTGGGCCCAATTGAAATTTCACCTGTCAGCAGGTGAGGCTTTTCAACACGACAGCAGGCCAAACAAAAGTCGTCACCATACCATACCCGACTCAAGACCGAGTGATAGAGGATCCGTTCAGTCAGCGATGCAATTCAGAGTTAAACGTGCGCCACTCACTTTTGCAGAGAAACTGTAGGGTCTCCCCCTCAAGTGGTGCCAATGATAGGAAGATTTGGCACTTTGGGTGTGGACATCTTGGGACAGGCTCCATCTTCAAGGTGGCACTGCCGTCGAGTGACAACGCCAAGGCAGTAGATGCACCTCGGCTTTGTATCGAACGATCCTCGTCGGAGTGTCGGAGGCAAGATTTGAAGAGGGGTTACATGCAAGGCATCGTTTTCATCCCGCGCTGTTCGTCGCCGCCAGTTTTCTGCTGCTGTGTTGCGGAGGTGGAGTGGAGGTGGAGGAGGAGGTGTGGAGGAGCAGGAGGGGAGGAGGTGGAGGAGGACTATGAGGCGGACGAGTGGGAGGACGTTGACAAGGGAAAGGATGAGGGCCAGCAACAATACGAACAGTCACCACATCAACAACGAGAGCAACAATGGCAACAGAAGCATCAGCAGTGATTCAATAGGGAACATGCAGCAGCCATTTTGCAACAACGAACAACTTCAGCAGCAATCACACACATTGCGAGGTGCAAGGTCCGAGGTATGCTCCCTGAACCGAAGTCGAGGTCTCCGTGAAGTACCCGGACGACAAGAAACAGACCTCGTGGACTCAGAAGGCTGTTGAGTTCGACTTCGGCATCCCAAAGCTTCCAGTGTTTGTGGCTGGTAGGTCTTGTTGAATGCCGAGTCTCTGTGCACAAAATATTGAAGGTTATGCCAAGGATGGAGCAGAAATAACGGCTGACACGTTGTCTTAAACTCATATCATAGCCTTCAGTCAGCGTTCAGGGTCGTCGTGCTCAGTTCGAGAAGCTTTCTTAACATTGCCAGGAGCTGCATGAAGCTCTCGCCTCAACCTGAGCCTTCCAGGTGCTTGGGAGGGACTACCAGCTCAGCGCTCCCGAAAGGAAGGAGGGTGATCCAGGCGGCGGAGAAGACTGCCTGTCGGGGCTTGCAGGCGTTTGGGTTCAGGCGTCTTCGTACTTCGTTCATGTTGTGCTTCATATCTTCATATACCACAAGACCAGTACCGCACTAAACTCCAAGCTCCGCAGATTGTCGGGCTTTGGGGGGTCATGTGTGCATGCAGTACACTTTGGAGCTTCTCTTCAGAGGCCGAAGTTTCATGGCTGGTAATAACAGCATTCACTTCACGGTCACAGCGCACCAATCTCTCACCTTCTACTAAAGGTGTCGCAGCTGAGAGCCTGAGCAGCACAGCTTCCATCAACATGTAGCAAGCAGCGACACGTCTGTCAAATGTTGTGAGCATCTCTGTCGGCATGCAGACAAACGTGTGCCGTGGACGAGCACCACAAAGCCCTGCTACCGATTCTTCAAGATGTGCCAAGGTCAAAGACATGGCAATACTGCGGTGTACATTCAAGACAATCCAGCAATTACCATGCCGAGCTTTCGTTTTGTGGGTTTTCATTATTTCGCTCTCTCTCTCCCTCTCTCTCCCTCTCTCTCTCTCTCTCTCTCTCCCAGTTTTCAAAACCACGCACGCTGTACACACGGTTCCCAAGGTCCTGTGAGTATGCCAGGTGAAATGACGATCTCGGTGGCGGAGGCTTCGGATCCGGCGGTGAAGGAGGCACGCCCTCAAACATCATAACTAAGGAGGCAGGGCCAAGGTAGGGGATGAACTATGTCAGTTTGTAGAAGATGATTCAGTCTCAATATTTGCGCCGCTTATGTTCTGGACGCATAGGTCGGTTCGGGTACATTTACTACCCTCCTAAGAGGCCTGATGATGTTGTGGTTTCTTAGTCTGGGTCTTCCAGGGCTTCAGGTGTGTATGTATGCATTTATGTATGTATGTACGTATGCATGCATGCAGGTATACATGTGTACTTAGCGTCAGTGCCATGGTGACAAAGGGAGGATATGCACTTGCACACCAAGGGAGCACTAAGCACCCTCCTGAACTCGCCCAACTCCTCCCGAGCTCTTTAACACCCCAAGTTTGCAGGGCCGGCGGCTGTTGTACGCCGGCTGTGAGTCCTTGACGACGCTCTTCAATGTCACACCCAAGGAGGCCAGGCCGAGTGTCAGATCTTGAGATCTGGGGTGCGATTCGGAGAAGTCGCAGAAGAGTTGCGGGGCTGGGCTCGAGGGTACGGGTGGGAGCAACATACTACAGATAAATCTTTTCATGATGCACCGTTTGTATGCGGGAACATTCTGTGCGTAAAATAGACGAATAGACACATGAATGCACAAAAAACAAGCAAATACGTAAGCAAACAGGCAAATAAAGATGCATCAGTAAGTAAACAGATAAGTAAGCAAGCTAGGAAGCAAGGAAGCAAGCAGGCAAGCAATCAAGCGAGCCTAACAAACAAGCAAGCAAGCAACCAACCAACCAAAGAAACAAACAAACACACGAACAGGAAAACGAACAGGTAAACGAAGACCCACACACACATACGCAACAACAAACAAACAAGCAGACAAACACACAAAGCGAACAATCAACCATGCAACCCGACTCAACCCAACCCAACAAAGCCCAACAACTAACTAAGCAAATGGCCAGCCAGCCAGCCAGCCAAACCAGTAAGCACGCAAGACAACAAGCACAATACAAATCAACAAAGAAGCAAACAACGAGTAAACGAAGACGCAAACACATGAAACAACGAGTTACAGAAATTCGAAAGATTCATGCTCATATATATATATATATATATGTATATATATATATAGTGTTTTTTCACATACTTATGTATACGTACATGTTTATGTTTGTGTATATGTATGTATGTATAGTTATATCTATCTGTGCGTGTATGTATGTCTTTCTGCATGCAGATGTCGTTGTGCGTGTGTGCATGTGCAAGACAGTCCCTTTCTGGTCTGGTACGGATTCCGGGCTGTGCTTCAGAAAGTTGCAGAATCTGCTGGGAAGCAAAGGCTGGGTCACTTTTTGGACGTATGGCATTCAACCTCTCCGAATCGACTGGCGCTGATATGAGTTGCCTTTGCGGGTCGGACTCTGGAAACCGCAAACTGCCCCAGAATTTTGAACTCCAATCGCCAGACTGCCAGAAGCACTCAGAACTGAACTTGAGTTCATGTCCCAGGATGGCTCCCCGCTGGATTTCTTCAAGGTCCTGACAAGCGGGGTCTTCCGTACGCGCTTGAAGTCAGATTTATCAGTCTCCTGATGCTTCGCCATCAAGGTTCATAGGGTTTAGGGAGCCTTCCACCTCCGCGCGCACAGTGGCCTCAACTTCACCCTCAAACTCAAGCACTAAGAGTGAGTAGGAGTAGGTGATGCCAAAGAGTCCGCAAGTCCAGCCACAGTATCGTCAAAGCCTTCCTCAGCCAGGCGAAACCTGAGCAGCTTCAGCTGTTCGAGCCAGGCGCCAGGGCTCACATCGCCGGATTGAGAACAGGCGTCGAGCGAGATGGCCCGAGCCGTATCCCCAAACCGCCAAACCTAGGGCCCTGAGGCCCTGGGGCACGGGCCTCCCGAAGCTCCTTTGCAGGTGCCCTGGTTGAGATCAAGTCAGACGAGAAGGACAAAGACAAGACCATGGAGGTGAAGGCCGGAGGCTCTTAAAGCGGCTCAGTCTCTGTGGAGATTCTTGGAAGGGGGGGGCTCTTGGGCTCTTTTGCATCGATATGCCACTTGAGAGCCAGACTCTGAGACAGCGAGGTCACAGCCGACCTCGGCATTGCCTGCAAGGGCCTCCCCGATAAACCTGCCATGGCCCGAGCTGTGGTGTGATTAGATACCACGATGCTGCGCTTCCTTGAGTCAGAAAAGTCAACTTGAGGCAGAAACTGTGACCGGGGCTGAGAACCCCTCCACGCAGTCTATGCCATGCGTATCGCCGGAGCTTGTGGGAGGCAGGTGTCCTCTGGGCCGTTTGGGCGAGACATTCAATTGAGTGTTTATCTGTTGGGTTTGGTGCCTTTTGAGATTCGCACGAGGCTGCTGGTGATTCTGGTGTCCAGGACTGTTGCATATTCGACTGCCGCTCTGCCAACCACCAACTGAGCGTCCACGAGGTATCTGCAAGACTTGTTTCTTTCGAACCCCTCTACTGCCGACCGACTGGAGATGAACCGAGACTCGACCGACTGAGCAGGCGGGGTCAACACTACGCTGTACTCCTGCAACCGAGCGGCTCGATGCTCAGAGCTCCCCTTCAGCCGGCACTGGGCACTCCGGCTACCTTGAATCTCTTCAGACTTCAGTTCGACTTCAGTTAGAGTTGAGTTGCGTGCCCGCACCAACCAAACTCTTCAGTCTTTACCTTAAAGTGTCTGGTTTCAAGGCCGGAACTTCCAAGCCTTCCTTTCGCTGCTCGTCCTTTTTGCTTCTTTCCTATTGTCTGTAACATTTGATCCGCAACCATAGCCCCGAATTCGAAAGCTATGTCAAATTTCCGACATTCCTCATCCTTAGCCCTTTTTCCTTTTTGCTTCAATCCTTCTTGCCCTGAAACCTTCGAATCACAAAAAGCGGATGATTTGGTGGTTAGGAGGGAACCATTCCTCCATTCCCTACTAACCCAAGGTGAGACGGCGGACCCCCCAAACCTTAAACCTTAAACCTCAAACGCTAAACCCTAAACCCTAAGCGAAGCGAAGAGAACCGAAGCCGGAAGCGCCTTCCTTCCGGGTCCCCTGAGGCCTGGTTCGACCCGGGGCTCGGAGCCGGCAAGTTCCGCCCCGTGGCCTTGAAATGGGGGATTTCCGAAAATGGGGGGACGGGACCCTAATATGGTACCCTAAATAGTTGGATCCTTTTGCTGAGGACCCCAAAACAAAGTACCCCTAATTTTCTGAAACTCCCCAAATCGACTCTTGCGAGTCGCTTTTTGTGGTCTTGGCTCACCATTCGTGAGGATGCAGCCCAGGTCCCGACCACGTGGCGAACTACGTCGAGTTGAAACTCTCCTCCTTGACATTCCCAATCTCCGACAAGTGGAGCGATGCAGAGGCACCTGCCACCCCGTTGTCTCGCAACAGTGCCGTGGTGGCGGCCACAAGCCAGGCGAAGTCCATGTACTACGTACGAGCTCGGGTCTGCGGTGTCGCGGTGACCAGTACCGTCGCTGGCCTCAGATCAGATGTATTTGTGGCGAGTGGAAACAAGACGCTTGACCAAATATTACCACATTGTTGACACCGATCGTTGAAGCATCTTCTGCTTGTTTTCGCAGAGGGCTAGTGGCTCACGGGACAGCTCGTCATGCAGGGTTCCAGTACTGGACTCTTTATGTCTGCAGCCTGCACTGCCTTGCACGGCTTCTTTTTTTGACACCCTCCTCCATGCAGCTGGTGAAGATGCGGCTAGGTGGCCGATATCTGTTTAACACGCACATGTCACAGCACAAGATATACCAAGTCATTCAGACTGAAGCATTGCGAAAGCACTGGTCACGAGTACCGTTAGTGGATGTATATGCACTTTCTTGCGCACTTGTCCTGACTACAAGAGTCAAGGATGCTTCAGTCTTTTCGCAGCCGAGGCTCTCCACCGACCAAATCCGGTCTGGTCCAAGGTGTTGGGTGCTGAGACGGTTGCTCCCTTCTGCGATCTTCCCGGTTCCCTTGTTCGAGCTTCTGAAATCGAGAACAGCCTTAAGCCTCCAGGCAAGTTTTCAACCGCCCTTAAACCTGCACTCTCTTCTTTGCTTTGGCATGGGTCCTTCAGGCTTCCGTCGCATCTCGTGGACCCCAGCCAGATCCGCTTCGAAGGCCGGTGTTCCTCTGTGCCAGGCTTCTTTTCGGTGTTGGGTGCTCTTCTTAGAGTCTTAGAATCGGTTCTGCGGAGGTCTGCCTGAGCAAGCAGTGCCAAGACACAGCTTTGGTTCTGCCTCCCGCCACACCCGTCATGGATACCAGAGTCGAAAGCAACTCAACTCGGTCGTGAACCATGTTGATGATGCTTGCGATGATCAAGATCGTATGAACGACATCGATGGCAACGGTGATTGTAATGTGATGCAAGCAAGCTGAGCTTTAGAACAGAAACTAGAGTTCGATCATCTCCAGGCCAACAGCTGCTTCTCCCACTGCCGGCTGGATGCTGGGCTGGTGACGACGCGGAACGCACAGAGATGAGGAAGGTCCGCATCGAGGCCTCCCCCTCGGACTGTCGGCCCGCAGCACCCAGCACTGCTCTAACCTAGCCAAAAGTGCAGGCTTATGCGGCTTAGACAGACTGCATGGTGCGAGGTCGTCAAGGCAAGCTACAAGGACAGCGGGTCCGTCCTCGACTTCGACAACTTCGCGAACACAGCAGGAGCGGCACCAAAGAACACTTACTCCGAGAAGGTGGTCTTCAAGGCCTGCGTCATGAACACCCACGTAAAACCGCAGAGAAACGGGCTGAACAGTTAGAGACAGGGAAAGGCCCTCATGTCTTGTGCCACAATGCGTGAGGTGTCCACGAGCAATGATAGCAATGCATTTAACATCATGAACTCTTGGTCTTGTTCCGGTGGGAGCTTCTTTCGCATGGATGGTGAAAGAGCTTCTAATGCCCTAGTTCAACTTGCCGCGAGGCTGCTCTTACGTTCGACAATCACATGTGCGGCGCCCGGCATGTTGTGAAGTGAGGCAGATCGAAGCCTCATGGCTCTGTATTTGCTGTCGGGAAAGCATTTTTCAATGTTGATTGCATGCGAAGAGAAAAGCTTCCGCACGCATGGGTGCTTAGCATCAGGCTTGTGGACATGCAGAAGCAGTTGGGCCTGTTCCTGACGCGGCCAGATCAACAGGTCAAGGAGGCCGCCCTTGGCGCTGAGCACCGGCTCCGAAGCATTTCAGCCCTCAGCCACAACCCCTTCTGGTTGGACCCTTTAGCGTCGGGTGATCTGAAGGACTTGAGTGTCGCTTTTCGAGATCTGAGGTGTTCATGGTTGGAGTTTTAAGCCGGCAGCTCTCAAGTCTCATTGACGTTCGTCCAAATCCGCTTTCCCGGCAAGGTGTACATGTGGACAGCAAAATATACACAAGCATTTGAGCTTCCAGCTTCCGTCCACTCCGGGGCAACCTTATCTAAGTGTTGAACTAGGGTAGATGGCATAGACGTGTTCGGAGGCGCGTCAAGAAGCTCTGAAGCCTTGAGCACAAGCAAGACGCACTGTGAGAGAGGCACTGCATCCTCTGCCAGGTTGATGTGTTCCGGCCGACGGCGAAGTCGGACCACGCCACAGACACTCAGCCTCAGGCATCTGGTCAGTGAAGCTTTTGAGGGCTTTCTCGAATTTCTGATGGAATCCAGGAAAGCTCCTAAACAGTCAGCGCTGAGTGCTCAGAGGTAGTACAATGGTCGACTAGGCGACAGTTCAGAGAGACTGTCGAGCGGTGTCGGCTAGCGGCCAAAACCCGTGTGCAAATGCGAAGTACAAGAAGACTGCATAGGCTTGCACTCGAGCGCTGAAGATGCCATCAGGGGATGCTCAGCCTGGAGTTTGCCCTGAGAGACCGGGATCAGGCGAGGGTACGGGCCCCAGGCCGCAAGGGCGCTTCAGTATGGCTCGAGGGTTAAAGATGATTGAAGAAGTGTTTTTGAAAAGGTGTATGTCAACAAATGGAAGGAGAGAAATCTACAACTGCAGCGGTAAAACAAACAGCATAGACAACCTGTTGCTATACATACGAGTAGAGACATGTTATGAAAAGCGACAACAGTAAGCACACACTCATCTGTGTATATGCATACCTGTTTATATCCAACTATCCGTCTATCCACCTATCAATTTGTCCATCCATCCATCTATCCATGTGTCTATCTGTCCATCCATCAATCTATCTATCCATCTATCAATCTAACCATGCATCTATCTATCTACCTATCTACCCATCTATTATCTTCTACGCATCTATTACCTATCTATCTTTCTATCTATCTGTATGTAGATGTATACTACATGAACATACACGCCAATACATATGCACGCACACACACACACATAAAGTTCTTTTTATCATTCCATATGTTTTGCAGATCAGTGGCAATGCAGATTGACATCGATCGCAATCTGACTAGAGACAAACATAGCACCGAATGTACATCCTGGCGGCTGACATGACCCTGGGTGTCTGAACTCTCCCAGACCCAGGAGGTTCGGGCTTGACGTGCTGGCAATGGCTGGTACAGGTTGTGGTACAGGGATTGCGGCTCCAGGAAGCGGGCCGAGAAATCATAGTCCGTCTCGTCGGACCTAAACCCATGAAGGATTTTATGCCCAAACTCAACAAGATGCACTCAGCCCGTGTTCTCCAGAACTTCTGGACCTGGTTGAAGCCACAGTGTCACCGAAGACTCCGAGGTGGCAACAGTACGAAACACTACCTAGATTGTTCCGTCCAAGGCTGTCATGGGTCAGTCCGGCCACAAAAGCGCCCTGTGCATCGGTGACAAGGCGAGGATCGGAGTCATTCGGGTCTGGCCGGAAGCCCCAAACTGGCACGGGAAGACAATAGCAGCCATGCTTAGATTATCTTAGAGATCAACAACGGCCATCTGTAATCTAAAGTTCAGCAGGCGATGCTTGTGGTGGAAGAGCTCGGCACTCAGGAAGACCCTCCAGACTGTATTTCCACGGAAAAAGCAGCGGTCGTCGAAGCCATGAACTATGCTGTCAAGCGCACTTGCATCGTTGGATTGCCATGTGGCCAGTTAATGTGCTTGACCTCATGGGCGTCAAAGCCAGACACTTTCAAGGCTGCATCCCCCAGCAGCCCAAAACAGCCTCAGTGCTTGAGCCACATGTGCCAAGGCCTTTCCTTTACCCGAAGGATGCTGCGGACTTCCGGAAGCAGTTCTGCGTTGGCGACTATGTCAAGGGCAAGAAGGCACGTCGGGAGCCTTCGCTTTGGTTTCTTGGGCTGGGTTGGGGAATTCGGAGCTTCACGCCCTCGGTGAAGGCTTGGCTTGCTTCAAGCGGTGTGTTGGCATTTTTGAAGAGATTTCGCCGTGGTGTTTCCAATTCAGAGAGTATGGGCCAGATTCAAAGCATGCACCCGCTGCCGCTGGAGGATGGACAAGCGTGGCGTGTTGAACTCCGCGAGCCGTGCCTGAGCAGTGAGTACGCCGAGAGCGGACTTGGCGAGCTGGTCCTCCGGCTTCAAGCTTTTGCCTTTGGACTTCACGCTTGGAGTTTTTCGGATTGGGTTCCCAGCTGATGTTTCTGCCTCTGCCAACCTTACAACACGAACATGTGGAACCCTCAAGCCACAGAAGTGTAAACCCAAAAACCTGATCCACGACTCTTCCACATCTTTGGCAGGTGCCGAAGCGGCCGTTCAAGCAGCCCCAACTGGCATGTTTTCTTGCAAAGTCTGCTCTTTTGGGTTCTCCGGCATGTCGGCGGTTTGGGTGGGGCTTTGCGAGACCGGGAAAGCCCGAAGCCCACCGAAGCTCCATGCGCTCAAGCATCGAGTCCGACGACTTAATGCCAGGAGCTTCATCCCTACTTTCTGTGACGACATCATCCCCCACAAGTATGTGGGAGCCCATGGCTAGGGATGAGTGGCTTCACAAAGCCCAAAGTTTCCCGAACCACTTCTGCAGGGTCGGACTTCAAGGTTTGAATCTGTAAGGCTGCAAGCTTCAAGCTGCTCAAACCAATCTATAACACAGCTTTTTCTTTTGCGACGCTTCTTCGACTTTAATGGGCGTGTGGAGTACGTTGTGGGTTGAAGGGCTTTGATTTCGAGCGCTGGAACATAGCTTGATATAGCTTGTCTTCAAGCTTGCAGAAGCTCTCGCAGCCCATCTCTGTGTCATGCTTTGCACATCTTCTGCTGCTTCTTCGCTCGCACCCAACCACATAGCGCAGAGCAGAAGCCAACATCGGAAGCCGACGAGGCCCCGCTGAAAAGCCTTCTTCTCTGTGTTTCTACCTTGAGCTCAGGTCATGCCCTTGTCGGAGAAAGAGTTCCTGGACCGCTACCTGTCAGTTGTTGAACCGTCCTGGGCTTCGAAACCAATACTGGCCACGGGCTTTGTTTGGTTTTCATCGACTCTGCAAATCTGCGTCCTGAACCCAAGCACAAAGCCGCACAGCCCCCAACCGAAACCTGCAAAAGACTGCTGCCGCGGATGCAATGTCGGATTGTGAGGCCTTCCAGCCTTCTTAATTCGGGCAGAGTTCGAGAATCTTAGCCCAGAAGTTTGAGAGCGAGCTGCACTGCCTTCTGCCTTAATCCTACTGCAGCTCTGGATCCCCTTCAGTCAGTCGCACCATTGTCGGGGAAAGCTGAATCACCACTCTCCAAGGCCCAAACTGAACCCTCGGAAGAGGCCTCCCACATACATCCCACACTCGACAGGATAAGCACAAGCCGGGTTTCTTCAACCGCATTATGGATGACATGGCTTCGAAAGCAGCCGGGGGCCGCAGCAGTTGCTCCAAGCTTCAGTTCTTGTGCTTCAGGGTGAATCGGTTCTATGCATCGTGTGTGCTAGTTGGGCGGTCGGGTTGTCGACCCTCTGAAGTGTTGCCGGACCTGCGGTGGTGCATTGCCTGCATGATCTGAAAAGCAGTGCTGCAACTGCTGCCCATTCAACAGGTGAGTCAGCTGCTGCACCCACATGTCCCGAAGTTGACGGTCCGGGATCAGCATTCTGGCAATTATCTACCAAACGTTGACCAGCTGATGATATTGTGACGATGACGTGAAATTGTGAGTAGCTGAGACGAAGTGCGCAGGAACTCATGCACTCAATTTTCTTGGAGCAAACTCGTATGCGGCTGTGGCGACCACTGCCACAACCGCTGCTCATGCTCACTGATCACCCTCATCCTCATCCTGAGCTTCATTGTCCTCGTCATACTCATGTTTTCATCCTCACTACCATCGCTACAATCCACGCCACTGGCACTTCATCCTGCTGAAGTCAAGTCCGCACCCCATGCCCAGTCATCCGACCACACGCTGCCGTACCGGTCCGGCCCCAACAAGCCTGTTGCAGGGGCCCCGGCAGAGCAATCATCTTGCGGTGCTTTGGTTTTCGGCCGAGGGTTTGGGGGCGTGGGATCGTTCTGGAATTTGGGATGGCTTCAGGTGACATTCCCGTAATGGGCATTAACGGGCCTTTGGGGTTCTTGGTTTTCCAGCTTTTGCAGCCAAAGGCTTCTCGTAGCACGAGCTCAGAACCCCAAACCGTACACCCAAGGTATCTCACCTTGAGCACATGAATCGACACGTGCCTGTGACGATCCTGGCAATGTACGCGGACAGCGGCAACGGTGCCACGTGTGATGTGGAGCCCCTCGGCAGACCTTTTTGGAGCTCTGTTGAGGATGGTGCCAAACTCGAAACTCGGTCGGGTGCAGTTGTGTTGTGGCTTTTGGCATTAGAGGTTGTAGCTCGGTGCTCCTGGTTTGCAAGTGTAGGAACTGCGCTGTGCAAATGACCAGCATCGCGTTTAAGCTCGCTAAAGCCGTGCATGAGTTGGTGCTTTGTTTGTGGGCATACGGTCGGCGTTCCCAACGTTTCCAGCAATTCTATATGACCGATGCTATGGCTGTCCGCCCAGACGTAAGCCGCACCTAAACCCAGCTGAATTGTATTGCTCCACGCACCCGAGGGTCACAGAGCTCTTCGTCAAAAAGTGGCGGGAGCAAAAGCATCGGAAGCTTCCGGGCAGCAGTACTTGTCCTCGTAGGGCTTTAAGGACTTGGTGAATTGACTGTTCTGTGGGCGGCGTGGAGACCTTCTCGATTTACGATTTGCGGTTTCGAGTATGGTTGAGGTCTCAGGGCTTTTTTGCGCTTTCGACGGGATGTCACTCTGGCGGAGACCGTTTGTTGCAGTGGCGGCACACAAGTGGTGTGTCCTGGCTACAGCTACAGGCGACAGGCCATTCAAAATTCAAAATCAGTTCAACCTGGCTGCAGCAAGATCCAACTTCCAAGCCACGAGCTTAGCGGCGGAGGTTTGCCTTTCCTGGCAAGCTGGAGAAGCTGGATCGCAAAGGAAAGGGTGGGGAGACGCTGCCCCCGCGGTTCATTCTCAAGCAGGTGCCAGCAATCCTGCTGAGCCTGGCTCTCGGCCTACCGCAGGATCTATCGCTGTGTTTGTAATCAAATTTAGAACAGGGGGTGCCGCAGTTGGTTTGTCGGCCGGGGTGTGGGAAGGGAGTCTGGGCAGCTCTGTAGATAACCATCTCGACAGCATAAAGATAAGAAAATGGGTTGTGTTATACACTGAAATTAGTGAGACCTAGAGTCAGCTATGAAGCTGTAGGAAAGTTTTAGACACGTGTCCTAAGTGCGGTCAGTGTTTTCAGCATCCGAAGTCTGCTCCGTGGACGCTGCAGAAGAGGAGAACGAGGACAGCAACTCTCAATAGATGAAGAGTTGCCATGCTGCTGAAGCACCTTCTCCCAAAACTGGGCTTTGCTTAACAGTTTGCAGCCCCTGTCAGCGTCTGAGCCTCAAGCCTGAAGCTTGTGCTGTTTCCCTTGTCCCAGATGCTGTGCACTATTCCGGCATCAACGTTTACGATGCTTTGTGAGGGGCCTGGCGGGTTCGTGCTCAGGAATCCGTTCCTTGCTGCCTTTTAACTGTGACGGCGCTGTGCATCAGTATGCCAAAAGTAGCAGCAGATGCTGGCACTCTATTCGGGATGTCCACTTCTGCGCGTGACATCTGGCTCGCTCTGGGAGTGCTTATGTGTGCGCTGGTCCATGGTTGCAGGCTCCAAAGGCCACGGAAGAGACTTGACCTTCTTGTGGCCTCTCCCGTCTAGGGAAAAGCAACATCCTTCACCACCTAGACCTTGGCTCGCAGACCCCAAACCAAAAAACTCCGAAGCTTGAAATCCCGAGGTTTAAGACAACTTCGGACGTCATCCAAGCGCCGCCACCTGCCAACGAGTTCGATCCTCGCTCGTACGAGGCCGGGAGGAAATGTTTGCTCTTTCCATGAGTTCCCCTGAGCTGCTTGTCTCACTGGAGCTACCTTCTCATGCCGTGAAGGCTGCGCAGCTGGAGTCTCAGTTTCCGTTTCGATCGGGGACGCCGTTGATGCCGTGTGCTTCAGCGAAGCTGCAGTGCTTGGTTCAGAGACCTTGGTTGGATGTTCCGGAGTGCGAGCGTCAAGTTCGTCTCGCCAAAGTCTCGCTCTTGTCGTCCTTATGTTTGCCGTTGACGGGGCGGCCGAAGTGATAGTTCAATGCACTCGGTTTGCGTGAAGAGCTGTGAGCACGATCGCTGCAGTTCGCTGCAGTTTGTCCTCTTGTTTGACTTAGGAAAGGTGCGAAGAAGAATTACTTGGAGCAAGAGACTCAGCTTTACCCGGTGAGCCAGGCGAAGCGACTGAGCTTTCTGGCGAGCTATCCCAGCATGTTACTTCGTACTGTGGCACGTTGCCGGCCGCCGCTGCGGGCCCAACTGTCAACAACTTTCCTTGAAGTTCTTCCAATCTGAGGTACAAGCTGGCAGCGGGCCCGCTTCCTCCCGATGCTAGCACGTCGGCCTGCATGTACGAGTTCAACGCCCCGGGCTGAAGTTGCTTCAAGTTCACAGCATTTCCTAACAGTGACAGCGACAGGAGTCAAAACGACCAAGGTCCGTGTGCGCTTCCCCAGCGAGTCCGGACCCGAGCTTTCATCATGACTGAGCTGACGGTACTACATGTCACATGTGTCTTTATGTTGTCACAACATGCCTCGTAGGCTCGGGTTGGATGTGTAAACACAGGAGACCCCAGGCTGCACGCGCCCGCAGCCCGTGGATCTCCCAACCCTTCCCGAACCCCGAAGGCACTCGAGGTGAATATTTGACAGAAAGCATCCCAAAAAATCAAGACGGTTTCAGGTACGAGATGTACCAGTTCGTCGCCATGGTACGCAAATGTGTGCGCGTGGACCACTACCAGCAGGAATCGGGGTTGTCGGTACAGGGTGTGGCCTGATTTGTCAGGCGGATGCTTGGCGATCACACTACCAGATAACTGTCCCGATGTGCACACAAGAGGCGGCAGGCTCCAGGCAGAACTTGGGTTTTGCCAGGCATCGAAAATGATCGAGTACCAGAAGCAAACTCAGATGCTTGGCTGCAATCGGAGTCCGCACAAAACAGGCAGCAAAACGGCAAAGTCCAAAGCGAGGTGCCAGGCTACAACGGCAACGGATTCCAGGCTACTGGGTCTCTCAAAAATCGCTTGCCGCCTGAGGATGACGACCCCTCAGCTCATGCGGCATCCTGGGCTCCAGAAGAGCGGCGGGCAACTGGATGCCTGAGGACCCGGACGTCCCCAAGAATGGGCTATGGGCTTTGGGCTTTGTGGGTTTGAGTGGCTCTGATCAGTCCCTGTGAGACTGCGAAGCTTTGAGAATATTATTTGGAGTGATGCTTGAAAGCCGTGAAGGCTCAGCTGAAATGGCACTGCTGTGGGAGTGGCTCTGCTACAGGTATTGCCACTTTATGATAAGTAGATGTGATTGCAGGTGCCTCTGATGGCAAGTTCAATACAAAATGTTGACACCAAATAAAGAGAACACGTTTCAAGAGAATGAGCGCATGGAGCAACAAGTGCCACCGACGAGGCCTTTGACCCGGAGACTCAGACTCCAGTGCCCTTGTCCACCAAAACGCCCAAATCCCCAAAACCTGGAGCCTAAAACCATGAAAGCCCAGAAGCTCGTCAAGCCACGAAGCCTGAAAGCCCTCGACATCAAGAGCCGTTATTTTTGTGGAGCTCGAGGTGCTCCTGGTGGAAGCTCGGCGTCTCCAGCCACTGCAACATGATCGAACATCAAGGGTTTTGGTGAGTGTTTCTTTAGGTTTTCCTTTCGTAACATGGAGTCGTTAGGGTTTTTCGACGGCTGTATGATGTTTTACTGTTGTACGGCTACTTATGGTAGGGGACTGAGGGCTCTGGGGCAGTCTGCTTCGGAAGCTCCACCGCCAGATCAAAACCTTCCCAGCAAAGGCAGTCGGCCCTCAACACGGTGCTTACCTCTGACCCCATCACTCTCTACGAGTCGCCGGAGCCCCAGCACTGCCAGGCCGTGCCATGGAGCATGCTGCAGATTTTCTGGGCACCCTCATAGAGCTAACAGAGTTAGGAGGCTCGTAGCGAGCCGCGCGTGTGTTCATCTGCTTTCCTCGACGAGGTTGCTGCAGACTCATCTCGTATTCGGCACGAAATTTCACGACAGCGATCCAGATTAGTGCCCAGGCGAAGACCTTCACAATCCCAACTCCGTGCCTGCCCACGCCAGAACCTAGTTTGGACTTCGGGATCCTAAGGGCCCAACAGCCGAGGTGGTCGAAGGGGCGTTCCGATGTGGACCCGTCTCAGTCCAATCAAATGGTGGACGCGAACTATCTGCCGGAGGCTGAGGGCTTCAATGGTGAGGACCTTGTTGTCGGATTTGGGAGATTGGCCTAATTCCAAGTGAGAATCCGAAGTTTGTAGCCCAGAGCTTCGAGTTACCTCCGTGCATTGAGGCCGGAGCTTCTCGGTACCACGGATGGCCAGGCGCCAGCCCCGGCTCGTGTTTTCCAATTTTCCAATGTGAAGCTTTCGTTCCCTGCCCGCTTGACCGTGACAAGTTCTTGAGCGTTCAAGGCAGCTTGCACCTGTGCCTTGATGTATGCTCCACGATCTAGCAACAGTCTGGACATGCCCGGACAAGTCCCAATCTCCAGATTCAAAATCAAACGATGTGTGCGTGGTTCTGCTGGCGGAAGCTGAAGGTGCTGCCTCAAACACGATGTTGGGCGAAGCTTATACCTTGACACCTGCTGTTTAGCCGCTTCCAATCCAGGCAGTGAAGGGCACGCCGGAAGGAAGCTCGATTGGGACCTTCGTCAACTTCAGGATGCTCCACAACAAGGAGGCACCGGGGGGAGCATATCACCAATCCTGAGCCCTTGGTCTCGTCATTCTCTGCTCTCAGAAGAACTATCTAGCACTCTGCAAAAGATGAGCTCGATGGCAGACCGCGCCACGATACAGGTCATCCCGTACCGTGGGACGAACAAGCAAGTGTCTCCGGCTCGGCCCTCAAGTAGGGCTTGTGACATGATTAGCGTGTCTATTATGTTCAGCTGTATCCGTGTTGAACACGATGGAGGAGAAGATGATGATGGCGATGATGTTGCTCTTGATGATAATGCCCATGACGAGGATGGCGGTTGTAAGCATGCTCCTCCTTCCCATGAGTGCACGGCCAAGGTTATCTCGGGTACCGACAGCCCAGTTTGGTCCAAGCTGCCTCAGCTGGAGAGCGTGGGAGGCGAAGAAGTGATTGCTTTCGGGCTCACGCTTAGGTCAGCCGCTTCTCCAAGGGGACCTCAGTCATGAGCTAACATCGCATGCCATGGATCCCGTCTAGTTGGATCCAAATCCCGGCAGACAGAGCCCCTGCAGGCTGGACGTTCCGCACCGGCATTATCGATCCCGAGAAGTACCCGAAATTGCTGATTGAGTTCGAGGTCGGCAGACCTGGAAGCCATTCTAGATAGGAGTACATGCTGTTGTTACTTTTGCCACCGTGTGGCTCGTTCTCCTCATGGTAGTGTTCCCATTGTCAGTGGCATTGCCATCATTCCTTGTGGCACTACCGTCGTGATTGTTGCGGCCGTGGACATGGTGGTTTGAGTATTCTACACGGCATTACATCTTATTAATTTTGAGTTTGGAAACCACGGTTGCACCTCCCAGCGCTGCCAGCCTGAGAGTCTAGTGACTATGTTTCCTCAAAAAGCCTTAGCCCGGAAGCCTCGAGCTCAAACTGAAGCCGCCTAAAGCCCTGAAGACCTAGAGTTTCAGGTGATGAAAGCCGGAATGTCTCCGAGTCGCATCGGTGTCATCCAGCTGCCGGTGACCGAAGAGCCGCGCCGACGAGTGCTGAAATTTTTACTTCCGGCTTAGAGCTCAGGGGTTAGGATCTGAGGCTCTTGAGAATTCGGAAGTTTCAGGAAGGTCCATGCATTGCAGTTGGGGTTTTCTGGGCTTCGGACTTCTTTGGCTGTCACTGCGGGAGTGGGCTTCGTCATGGGATTCTGCTGTGAGTGGATGCCGGTGAATGACAGACAGATTGCAGGTCGTCTCCCTCATTGTCATTGTCTAAGTGTTAGGATCTTTCACTTAATTAAGATGTCTTCAACACAACTTGAGGGCGTCTGAGACCTTTTCGCTGAGCTCATCGCCGGGCCAGGCAGTTCCTGACGAATCCCAACCAGATGTTCAAGAACCTTTGGCTCCCACTGGTCAGCGTGAAGGCCATGACTCAGAGAATTCGGGATGACAGGGCTTCGGAGGGACGGGTTATCAGAGAATTCGGAAGAAGACACTCCTGCAGGTCACGCGCATGTTGTTTCTTAACTGCATTGCCGCTCAAGTCTGAAACAAGATCCTCAGCCCCCCATGCGGCATGCAGAGGATGGCGAGCTTACACCGAACATCACGGGCGAGATCCACGTCCTCACTCGTTGGCTGCCGGTAGAGATGAAGCAGGTGCTTCCACAGCATCTGTGCAAACCATGCAGTGCTCCGACACCAGTGTTCGCTTAAGTACAAAGGGGACAGGGCAGGCATGACCTCATGCTGCAAGATACTCCAATGCCTGTACCGTGCATGCATATTATATATATATATATATAAAGATGTGAATATATATATATATATATATATGGTTATATATGTATATGTACATATATATATATATGTACATATACACATACAGAAAGCTATATGCATGCATGCATTGTAGGTACGTATGTATGTATGCATGTATGTAATATACATGTAGATGTGCAAAGATCCGCACACATGCGCACACTTCTATATGTACAGGTAAAAAAGAACGCATCTGCATCGTCAGAGATGTAACAGCAATGCTCACACAGTAGCAAGTTTGTTTCGAAAGGTCGCAGTTGTAGCCAAAACTTGCATTGACAACACCCCGGGGCTTCTTTGAGGTGTTCGCCGACGGTCAGGAGAAGATGCAGCTCTCCGTTCGGCCCATGCCTCTTCTCCACCTGTCACTCCATTGCTCCTAAGTCTTCTTGCTCTCTGCTTCTTCTGTTGGTTGTGGTCATGACTGCCCAGCACTCTGACGACTCTTACTAGTGTTGCATAGCCTATTCTTGATTTTTCATTCTTTAGAGTTTTTGCCATTTGTAGCCTTGTTATTCGTTGTTGGCCTGATTACGTTTGGTACTAGTGTTGTTGGTACTACCACGCCGCAGGAAACATGTTGCACTGATGACTGTGCTGATGATGTTTATGATTATGCTGATGACGGTGATTTGTGATGGTGCCGATCAACATATGATGTTGAGTAGGATGTGGGTGATATTGACGAGCATGGTGATGATGAAGACGGCAGTACTGATTGTGCCAAGGGGAGGAAGAAGAAGGTTATGCTTCTGGTTTGTACGGTTGATGATATAAATCCTGCATTACCCATAAGGAGGAACATACCATAATTCCCATAGGTTGTGTCGTTAAGGTAATGCAGGGTTTATATCATCAACCGTGTGTCCATGAGTTTCGTGTTCGTTTTGGTGTCACGAAAGGGCGGAGAGAACCGTGAAAGCCGGTTCGAGGGCTTCAGGGGCCAAGTGAGATGAATCGAGCCAGACTTGTCGAGTCAGCTCCGACAGAACTCCCCAACTCGACCTTCAGCTCCGATACGAGAACCCCGAAGCCCTGCAGAAGTCCAAGGTCTATGTTCCTGAAGGACATCTGGAGCAAGGCCGGGAAGGATGGACGAATGCAGATGCAGAAGCAACATCGATAGCAGCCGCAGCAGCAGCAATGGGACTGGAACCTGCAGCAGTAGCAAGTAGAAGTAATGCAGTACGTTAGTGCTAGCACCCCAGTCATTCCTGTTGCAATTCACGGCGATGGATACTGTATAGACTTAAAAGTAGCGTATTTGCCTTTGTGATGATGCTATAAACAGTGACAAGAGTGGGCAGCAAATAGTCAGAAAGCCGGAACAGTAGTTGTGAGAGTTGCCAGTCATCAGCATCATCATCATTATCACAATCATCCTCGCCCTCATCGCTATCCTCCTCCTCCTCCTCTTCCTCCTCCTCCTCCCCTCTTCCTCATCATTTTTGCATGTTCTTGTTCGGGAATCACCGTTGTTGTATGTTCACTTTCGCCATTACAACGGCAACAACAATCTCAATCCTACTAGCATGAATATGACAAAAAAACCTTGACATCTAAGTCGAGATGCGTGTTGCAATCTGGGTGGCGGTGGGGGCTTTCGTGCTACTTACGTTCACAGTCGTACGAACAGAAGGCGAAACGAACAGCTCTTGTCGCAAAGTGAGTCAGTGTAGACAGCTCATCCTGTACCTTTCAACGGCAGGTCTGCCAACCCAGAATTCGCGAGCCGATTTATGGTGTGGAAGCCATGTATCACGCTTTCACCTACAATCCGAACCTGGTCCGGCTGAGGGACAAGGAGGCAAGACCGTGCTTTTGTCATCATGGCGGATTCCTGGGTGCTTCTGGTAGTCATGCCAACAAGCTGCCCTTGCTGTCGAGAATGGCTGCCGCCTTGTTGCCCATGTTCTGCATTCTACATCTGCGTGAATGCAGGGCACGAAGTCTCCAGAGACTCTGAAGGACAATGCTCGAAGACATGTCGAGGACTCTAACCGTGTCGTTTTGTGCGTTGTCCAAGTGCCAGGGCTGCTGGGCCCCAGACCATGAAACCCCACGTACGGCTTAACAAGTTCATACCCTGATGTTTGGTTGGTGCACGGGTCTACCCAGGGGCTTTGACAAAGGGCAGTGCATCAGTTTTGCTTCTGCCCTGGCAACCGGCATGCTCAATTGGTGATGTTAGGTCAGGTCTTTGGGCTCCCACGCTGTTCCCAGTCTCTCCAGCCCGATACCTCAGGAGTTGTCGAACGGCGTGCCTTACCTGGAGTGCCTGGAGAGGCGTCAGCTCAACGCCTGGAACATCTTCCAGGCTCGGGGTGGTGACTATCCTACGACCTCCAGCGAAGTAGATGAAGCCGACATCTGCACGGGTGTTGATGAGTGATGATGAAGCTGATGAACAGATGATGTGCAGATGACAACAAGGCAACAATTGTATTGATGAGCCGCTTGAGGTCTGGGGTTCTGTCAACATTGGGCGAAGGACCTCACGGGACAAATGCGGGTTTAGGTTGGGCTTCGATGTTGATGTCCAAGGCTTCAGTTCCAAAGCCCGAAACAGCAGTCCCTTACCGTACAATGTCGTAGAAGCAGTCTACGCACCTTGAAAGTTCGCAGAGTCCATATCCGCTACATCCAAACACCACAAGCCCCAGAGTCCAGAAACACCCAAGCCTTGTGGCTCTAGCTTCAGCCTGCGCAGATCAGACGCCAGAGCTAGCGAAGTTCGGAATTCGAGCACACTACCCATGATTCGCCACTGACACAGGCAGAGCTACAAGATCGTGGCTACGAAGGTGCCACCGTTTGCTTTCTCGCGTACCAGAACTAAACCTTGAATCCTTGAATCCTGCAATCTAAGCCCTCGTCCCCCAAGCCTTTCACAGCCTGCGATGGGTATGTTGTTAAGGTATTCCGCGAATGTGTAATTGGAAAGCCATTACTGGGCCAATCCGGAGTGCGGAGATTCCATTCAGAGAAACATCTTACTTGTATCTAGATCGTCGCTGTTGCCCAGAATCAGTATTACCGGTCCGAAGCAGCAACAACAGTTGCAGCAGCAACGATAACAGCAGCAACGACGACGAATAGTACGTTTGCTGCTATTAGTGCTGGTGCTACTAGTACTTGTACTAGCGCGATCACAAATGCTACGACGACGACGACGACGGCGATGCCGGTGGGGCGAGGTGGTTCCAGTTGGCGATTGTACAACTGCTTCTCGTGCCAGTAGCACCTACTCAGTAGCACCAGTAGTCTACTGGTGCCAGTGCTACTACGAAAACTACGATGACGACGACCACGTCGACCACGGTCGCTGCTACTGCTGCTGCTGCTGCTACTACTGCTAGTGCTGATGCTACTGTTGCTGTTGCTGTTGCTGCTGCGACTGCCACAACAACAACTACTGCAAACACAGCCACAAAGCAAGCACAAGAACCAACGACCAGCACCAGCACCAGCACCAGCACCAGCACCAGCACCAGCACCAGCACCAGCACCAGCGCCAGCACCAGCACCAGCACCAGCACCAGCACCAGCACCAGCACCAGCACCAGCACCAGCACCAGCACCGCCGCCGCCGCCGCCCCCGCCGCCACCGCCACCGCCACCGCCACCGCCACCGCCACCGCCACCGCCACCGCCACCGCCACCGCCCCCGCCACCCCCCCCCCCCCCCCCGCCGCCGCCGCCGCCACCGCCACCGCCACCGCCACCGCCACCGCCACCGCCACCGCCACTTCTCCTCTTGGTACTCGTGCTACAGTGCTTGTCCTAGTACGAGTACGAGCACGAGATGACGGCGACGGCTACGACGACTGCTGCGACGACTATGACGTTGCGGGTGTCGCACTTTCCTGCTGAGCTTGCGAAGCCTTCAGCTTGAAAGAATCGAGTCTTATGTCCAGGCCGCAGCATCGGGGAGCTGCGCCTGCTGTGGCAGCAGAACGAGGCATTCTTTCTATCAGACTGAACGTAATTATTTCTCGGGCTCGTCGTGGGAAGATGCAGGTTGTGTCTTGAGAGAGTGAGGAGCATTGTCCTACATTCGTTAATGAATCGATCCGAAGTGCAGCATCTACGGTCACACACAGCCTGAACCTGCCTTTCACAGACATCCTGACTTGCGATTCAGCCCTGCGGCTGCAAGGACCAGGCAATGCTGAACAAGCTACAGCAGCTAGTCCTCAGAGGTGTCGGGACCTTGGCCAATGTTGGGTTTGAACTTACATCTGGCGCTGATGATCGGTCAAGTCCAGTTACCATGCCACTTACCTTTCTATCTGTCTACCTGCCTTGTTTATTTTGTGGTATGCTGTTTACTTATTCATTGCTTTTGTGGCACTTTCTGTGTCAAGCTGTCCTTTGATCTTCCTGTCTGTCTGTATGGAGGTAGGCAGGCAAGCAGGAGGGTAGGTAGGTACGTAAGTAGGTCGGTCGGTTCAAAAAGGTTGGTTGGTATGTTTGTGTAAAAGCATGAGCATGAGCATGTATGCGTGCATGGATGGATGTCAACCACAAATTTCCTCAATGCTGGCTGTCCACTCGCGTGCATCACTGGGCCATTTGTCCCAAGGTGCCCAGTGCGCTGCGACCGCAAGTGTGGGCGGAGCCCGCCCAGCGAATTCCTTCTATAGGATACACACAGCAGCAGCTCCACCTTCTTGGTTTCTGCCTTTATGCTTTTGGGATGATCTTGTAGCATCCACGGGGTGCGGGGTTGAGCTTGTGGGAAGGAAACAGATCAATTTGAGGTTTCGGGGACGATGACCCGCAGCAGTCTCTTCTCGGAACATATCGTCGAACCCCCAAAGTGTTTCCTTCCGGCCTGCCGCATGAGCCAAGAACTCTTGCTAGATGTCCCTACTTAAAGTTCTCCCCTTTCATCTGTTTACTTCTAGCTTTGAGCTGGGAAGCTGGACCGACAGAAAGTTTGAAAGTCGCTGATGTCCATGCTAGACACTCCTGGCAGCATCGAGCCAGGCTCACGCTGGCCAGCCGCGTGGCGACGCAGGACGGGGCCACGTACGGCCGCGATCCGGAGGCCCTGAGATGGTCTGCAGTTGGGACTTGAAAGTTCTGATTAGGGTCATCATGACCTGAAGCCGAACCCCAATCGCAAACTGCTGAGTGTGGCCAACCTTCAAGTATTGGCTTGGCATCATGCCGCTAAGCGACATGCACTCTGCATGCCCAAAACCCAATAACATGAATCCTTGATTCCGACCCTCCAGGCGAGTGGCGAAGACGCCGCGGAACAGGAGAGGGTTCCCGCCGATGCGACACACGGGGGTGGTGGCGGCTATGGTGGTGGTTTGTCGCACCGCCCGTTCCTTCTTGCAAGGTTCAATAACTTTCTGTGAAAGAAAACGCATATATTCGTTCTTCCCTTCACCCCGACTCTGCAAAAGCCACTAGCGGAGACCTTGGGAGGAGTATCGTCATCTCCTGGAGCGAGGCATGCCACAACTTTCCGATGCGATGTTGCAGCTCCAGGAAGATGCCGGGGACCGAGTATTGCTAGTAGACATTCAACGCCAGCAATAGCAGCTTTTTTTTTACCGCCGCTGACCAACAAAGAATTGTGCATCACAGTTGCAACCGTAGGAGTCGACAACCTGAGGAGTGTTATCGTCGTCGTCGTAGTAGTAGTCGTACTGGTACGAGTACCAGTGCCAGTACCAGTAGAAGTAGTAGTAGTAGTAGTAGTAGTAGTAGTAGTAGTAGTAGTAGTAGTAGTAGTAGTAGTAGCAGTAGTAGTAGTAGTAGTAGTAGTAGTAGTAGTAGTAGTAGTAGTAGTAGTAGTAGTAGTAGTAGTAGTAGTAGTAGTAGTAGGAGCAGCAGCAACAGCAGCAGCAGAAGTATTAGCAGTAGCCGTAGCAGTAGCATCAGTAACATCAGTAGCAGCAGGAGCAGCAGTAGCCGCAGCAGAAGCCGTAGCCGTAGCAGCAGCAGTATCTTTGATGATCATACATGATGGTGCGTATTTCGTGGCGTTGCTGGTTCCCGTCGAGCCGAGGCGGTGCTACTCGCCGGCTGGGAGTCTAGCACCCCGCCACTCCCCGAAGCGCAGGGTGGCCCGGGTTTGACGGCAGGGTAGTATGGGGTTGTTCAGGGTGTTTGCTGTTAGTTCTGGTTTCTCCTCAGCTGTGTGGATCAGTTTTGACCGGTTTCATCTTGGACCGGTGAGCTTGTCGATGTTCAGCCGTGGGTACAGCCCGGTTGGCACTGGTGCGACCAGCAAAGATGTTCCAGCCAGGACACTTCCTGTGCATGGCAGGAGATACTCCACAACTCTAGAGATCTTCAGAGATGTTCTTCCCCCTCGATTGCCCGAAATGCAACACATTTGCCTTCGCGCCCGCTTCAGAAGCACGAGAAGCTTCGCAATCGCCTGAGTTACACTGGGCACTGAGGATGGAGCTCCACCTCAAGCGGATCAAGAATGCTAAGAACGTCGGGGCCTTTTCTGGGGTGTATATAGCTTTGGAGTCAATGGCGCAGCTCAAGCATGTCGACGGCCTTGCGCCTATGTGCAATAGGCACAAGTGGTGACAAGACAGCAAGTTTCGAGAATCCACGGCTCCATAGGAAAGCCCCGACCCAGCTTCTCGGAGGTGGTCACAGCTCTGCTGGCCGTGGAAGACAGCGGCATTGCCTACTGTGAGAGCTTGCTAGTGCCGCCCCTGTTGAGTCTAGAGCCAGAGAGGTTCAGGGTTTCGGGTTGGGTCGGTTCGGGTCTTTGAGCGGAGTTGCAGCTCACTTGAGGATTTAGGGTCTCGAAACTGTGCTTTATGATTGTTCATCCGGAATGGTAAAACCACCGACAGTCATCAAATAGTTAACAGTTACTATTAGGATGAAGATGATGAAGTCATTGGTCAGTTATTGAAACAATGGTCTCTCTCTCTCTCTTTCTCTCTTCCTCTCCCACTCTCTCTTCAGGCTCACCTACCTGCCGTTCTGTCTCCCTTTCGTGTTGTTGGTGCTGATGCTTTCGTTTCAACATGAGGGCTTGGGAGCTTAAGGGCCGGAAACCACCGAAGCCCATACCCCCCAAACCTGGTCCCGACCCTCCAGGCTGGGCTAAAGTAACAAAGACTCCCCTCAACAGGAATGGCGGATGTACTCTTTTGTTGTCTCTCCCAATCTCTCCCATATTTTCACATACACACATACATGTATAGAACTACACTCAACTTGTTATACGTTTGCTTGTCAGGTGCTGGCTTTCTTCCTCCTCTTGCCACAGGGCTACAAGGAGGCTCGAGTCTTGAAAAGAGCTTTGGAACCGTGTTCTCAAGGATTTCTGGGTCCGAATGGGCTGAGTTGAAACAGGGCCAGGGCAGCAAGATTGAAAGACAGCCGAAGTGACTGCATCTTGACACTCACGTGCTTTTCCACAACGAAATACTCTGAGCACTGCACGCCCCGGAAATCCTCCGGCGCGTTCGAGCCCCTCTAGATCGCGGATGATGCAGTGCTTCATCCTTCCTGCGACTTCGAGTCGGAAAGGTTTCAACCAAGAATCTGAATCGTCGCCTCTCTTACGAAACCAGGGTTTGCTGCGGAACCGAAGCTCGAGGTGGCGTCGTCGAGCTACACAGGGGAGGGGCTCACCCACCCCACGGAGAGCTCCGTCTTCTGGCCGACCCCCCGGAGAGGATGTCAGCGAGACAGCGTCCGCCATTTCTGCTGAAGGGCGAGGGGGGGGGGGGGGTATTGGTGGTTGCAGGCAACATGCTTTGTTTCTCAACACTGCCCTGAATGGCAGTTGCTTGAAGGTAGTGTAGAAGCCCAGCTGCTTTGGCAGTGCAGTCGCATACCGGAGTTCGCCGCGTTTGCTGGATCGGTGGACTGGTAGCGGACTACGACAGATGCCTTTCGTCCTAGAGCAGCATCTGCAGGGCAATTGCATGTGGTGACCAGCTGAACTGTGTTGGATTCCTGATGCACATTGACGATGGTCATGATGATGGTGCTCATATTGATGGTGGCGTTAACTAACTTTGCGATTATTCTCATGGGTTTGTGTTTTTTGTTTGGAGCCCATGCACTATTGTCTTGACCGTTGTTCGATGTTCTCGAGCCTTGCCCGACGAACGGAGAGCCTAGGCTCCTGTACACTCTCATCTGCACACGGACGAATGGGGTCTACCGCGAGTACTACGGGCCGAAGCCCCGGAGTGCCGAAGTGTTAGCAGTGGTCGTGGAGGTCGGGGGTAGTGACGAAGGGCTGTGGTTGCGATTTTGGCAGTTGTCACGTTGGAATAGTACGCAGTAGTTGTAGAGGGTTCAGGTGGCCCCAAACCGGTGTTGCAGCAGGTGCAAGGATGCCCAAGAAGAGAGTTGCTTCGTGGCTTTCGGGGCTCAAGTGCTAGGAGCATCTGGCGCTTGTAATGATCATCCCCTGACTGTTCACTACAGCTCCCTTGCACCCATAAGCACCAAAGTGAATTGAGCCCGGAGCGAGCTTTGTTCAGAATCTTCCAAAGCAGTCGGCGTGACCGGGTAGCCGGGTAGCCTGAAGCCAGGATGCCACTTCAGCCGGAGCGAGACCCCAGCCAGTCGGAGCTCGTGGGTGGCAGCGGGGCCGTACAGGACAAGAGAAGAGCACTCGTGCACATAGCCCGTCCACGTGTCAGCGACAATCCTGCTCATGAGCCCCATATATATATATATATATATATATATATATATATATATAGTTATCAGCGTGTTGCTCATCCAAACCCAGTCATTGCATGATGAACAGTATCTGTCTAGTGGAATACTATTTTCTCCAACTATGCTGGTCAGCGACCGAATCACTACTGTTCGATAGTCAGTTCTTTCAATCAATGTCGCGGGTATCTGGGCAGAGAACTGGCACACATAAACCCCTGCTGAAGTCTCAAGCCCGAAGTGGAGACTGAATTTGCAAGCTTAGTCCGAACCGCCATCCCTAGAAATGAGCGAATGAATGAACAAAGAATGCATGGATGAATGAGTCAATGAACGAGTGCATGAATGAGTGCATGACTGAGTGTACTGTATGTATGTATGTATGCATGCATGCATGCATGCATGTCTGCATGTACGCAGGTACACATGTACGCGTTTATGCATGTATGTTTGCATGTATGTAGCATGTATGTATGCATATATGTCTGCACCTGTGAGTAAGGCTATGTGGTCGTGCTTCAAGGCATTCATGCATGAATATGTGCATGGGCGCATATGTACCCACACACTTTTATCTTCACACACTCAACTGACGCCGCAAAGGTTGCTGTGCATATATGCTTGCACCCGACATTGATGCAATCAGGTGGTAGGTAGAACAGCCGAAGTTATCAGATTTCTTTTGTGCATTCCCACTCAGCGGTCGGGAAACACTCCGACATTTACTCAGCAACGGTCTTATGGTTTGGCTTTCTGAAGCTCTCTGCCTCAGGAAATTCTCCGGCCCCGATCCTTCTTATGACCTTTAATAAAAGCAAACCTTGCAAGCTGCTTGTTTCCTTGTCTAGGCCTAGCTGGATTTTAGTTTTAGTTCAATCATCCAGAAACCGAAACTCGACGAGTTGGAGGAACAAACCCGCACTGCTCGATATAGTTCAGCTGCTTGCTTCCCCTCTTTTGTGCTCTTGATCCACCAAGGCCACAGGAGGTACTGATGAAAGTAGCATAGTCTCTGATCGACGGTCCCGAACACAAGAACCGCCGTTCCTCTGACATGCCTGTGTTCGATTCGCAACTTTAACAGTGTTCCCCGGATTTGTATGATAAGACCGCTTGTCCATGTAGTGCGACTGAGCAACAGCCGAATCCTTGCGCCATAAATGCTCAGAGACTCTGTTCTCCAATCCTGGTTCCGGACTGATTCTGAAACCACGACGAAGTTTTCGAGGATGTACACCTCTTGGAATGTGCCGTGGCCTACCACGACAAAGAGCTCTACCAGTGTCCTTGCCTCAACCGGTGTTGCCCTGCTGAAGGGCCTCCTCGCTTCCTGCTTGCCCGCCTTTGCCACATGTCTCACCATGAAGGCTAGTATTCGCATGAGTGCGTTCCTAATCCTGTGCGGTACTGTAGCAAGGGTTGGTCAATTCCTTTGAACATCAGGCCCTAGCCTGGCTGATGCGGCGTAGCATCGAATGTCTTCGAAGATGAGATTTTCGGGTTTAATGCTTCAGGTTTCCTGAACATCAGGTGGTAGTGCTACTTGCCGGCTTGAAAAGCCACAAGTTCTCCGCCCAGGGTCCCCCGAGTCTCGAGCATTCAGCTTATCCTTCAAAGCGCAAAGGCTCAGATACATGCTTGCATTCGCCCGACTCTGCGTTCTCGAGACAATACATGCTTTGGGGTGGAGGTGCTTCCAGGTGTCAGATTGATAACAGTACTTTACGAGGTGTAGTAGCTTTCATTGTCAGCATGAGAAGGCCAAAACCACGAGAACAAGATACTTTATTGCCTTTAACCTTAGTGCCTCCAAGAAGGGTGTCCGAAGAAGCCTTCAGGCATGTCGGCGATGGGTTTCGATCTCTCCACCATCTTCTACGGTGCCTTCATGAGGCCTCAGCAGATCATGTTCTTTGACTTGTTTCGGGCTTTGAGGTTGGAGTTTTCCAATCTGCAGACATCTAGGCCTCGGCGGGCTCGGGTGCCAAGTGGTTTTGAGTTGAACAGATATGAAGCCGCCGGGCTGAAAACCTATGCATGCCCATGATGCCATTCAGGTCAGATTGTTCTTGGCATGGATGTTGTTTTGCGTTAAACCTACAACCATCCTTGCCAGAACTTGCCAGTCCACTGCGTCTTCCTCCAGCTGTCAGAAAGCTTGAGGGCTTGATCGAAGATGCCTTTCTGCGACCCAGCGACCAATGCTATCAATCTAGCTCTGTTTCTGTATTTGGAAGTAAGACGGTCAATACAGAGGCATATTCAAGGATAAGACTTTGAGGGTATTTAAAAACAATGCAAGTATGACCTTATGCAGACATACTTACTCATATACAAGCACATATGCATGTACACAAACGAATTCACCCAATAAACCTGCATCTTGCCTGGTTACATGCATCCATCGATCCATCCACCCATCCACACCCTCCATCTGCAAATACATACATGGGCAGGCAAGAGGACCGACAGATGTACATCCCGACGCAAAGAGAGACTCGCACGGAGAGACACATGTCTGATGGTCACTCAAGTCCTGAATCTGTGTACGCTGTCGTATACATGGAGGGGATCGCTAGATACTTCGGGTTTCGGGACTGTAAGTCTCAACTGCAGCCTCTGCTGATTCACCTCTCGGTGCCAGGTGGTTTGCGACGTATATGCCGACGGCCAGTGTATTCAGGCACATGGTGGCAACAATAGGCTTGAGGATGCAACGCGAACAAAGGTGGGCATAGCATAATTGAGGGAAGCTTCCTTTGAGTTTGTTTCAGCTTCGTACAGCAAGAACAAGCTTGAACCACTGGTGACTAGTAGCTTCAACAGCAATAACAGTAACAACCGCAGCGAAAGTAGCCTCGACATTCGACATCATCAGTGTCAGCATCAACATTTCACGATGGCAGCAGCGTCAGCAACCCGCAACAACATCCACAAACGACGACGAACAGGTCAGAGGGAGTCTGCGGAGTAAAAAGTCTCACCGCAGCAACCGGGTTTAGGGAAGCTTGGGAGGTTAAATCTTCTGCAGGCTTGCGGTCCCCAAAGTTATTGCAGCCGTAGTGCCTCCAGATCGTCTGACCCGAAACAGCTTGGAATCAAACTCCAGGAGCCCCAATTTGCTTTTTGATGGCAGGCTCTGGGATGCTTTGCTGCTGCAGTCCTCGAATCCAAAAGCTCAGCCTCACGCGGCCGCCTCGGTAGATGAGCGCAGACTGCGTCCGTTTCTTTTGACATGAGTTGTCACCATTCCCACTGCCATCATCGCTGTCGCTGCCAGGTGCAAGTATCATGATGGTCATGACCGCGAGCATTGTCAGCATCACTCTTACTAAGGTGACACTATGATTTCTATTGTTGTCGTTACTTTTTGTTTGCTACTGCTCCAACCGCCTCCATCTCATGATCTTCTTCATCGTCACAAAAAGAAGATGTCTGTCCGAAGAGCTTCATCAGAAAAGACTAGAAGCACCAACTCTCCCAGTCCAAGAGCCTACAGGCCCAGCCTGGGAGTTACCGGGAAAGCCCACATCAGAAGCCCGGTTCTGCGATCCGAAAGCCTTCTACGGGGAAGGTTTTTGTCCATGCTAAGCTGTTGAAGGCTCTGAGTTCCGCCTCTTTTGGCTAGTGCCTTCGAGGTCCTGGTCCCTTCGGTTCAGAGCCTCAAGCACTAGAGGCAGCCCTATCTCGACCGTCCTCTCCTCGCTCTTCTCAAAGGACTCGTTCGCAACCAACAAAAAGCCCTTGCTCTCAATCATCCTGAAGTTCCGTCGCCAAGGCCCGCGCAAACCTCATCGATCTGGGCTTCGCGGCCCTGCGTGCAGGGGGCTCGGCTCTGCTACCCAAGTAGATGTGCCGGGATAGAAGCATCCGGTCGAGCCTGGTCACCAATGCGAAGGCTTCGGAGAATTCTCAATGAAGGATCGCTTTAGGGGCCAAGTTAGCAGCCGCGCTTGACACGACCGTGGGCAGAGGAACTCAATCGGCCTGTTGGTAATGGCAATCGCCGGATGCAGACTGTGCTGATTCATTTGTCGTTTTTGCTTGGTTCTTATAATTAGTGTATGGCTGCCACATTCGGCCGAGTAACTAGAAGCATAGCAGTCGCGACCCCCTTCATTACTTACGGCTTTTGCACATTCGTGCTTATGCTGGGGAGAATGCCAAGTCCCCCCCCGAAACGCGTTGGACAGTCAGAAAGCGTAACGTAGAGTTGCGAATCTTGAGATGTGGGATATTGTAGGACGTGACGCTGGGTTTAGTGAAATGCAAGACCCGGTCACCCCGGATCCTTCAAAACCGCGGCGATCTTCCTATCGTGTGAGGCCAAGCGGACGGAGCTGATGTCCTGTCAGTCTGCACTGGAAATGTTGGGAAACTCGGGCACAGGATGAGTGGGTTTGAGCTCGAAGCATCATTCATCTTCGGCCTTGGGGGTGGACGAGATGTGCGAAGGAAGCAGTTCATGGCTGCCTGACGGGAAGACATGATGCCTACCCTGCACGCACAAACCCTTAAACATTTCAAAGGCGCAGCGTTGTTTTGGGCTTCCTGGCCTCGCTGTCGGGGCCTCAAATTATTCCGGGCTCACGAATTGGAGGTGTTCACACTTACGGACGGAAGAGTTGGGGTTTCATGGGTCGTTTTCAACTTGGATTCCAGCAGTCACATGGTACTTCGAATTGCTTACATATGGAACTTCTGGTGAAGAAAACTTGATGCAAGAATTCATACTTACATATCCCTAAACTCCCTAAACCGTAAACCATAAACCCTAAACCCTCATATACGCCGACCGATGATCCTTGGCTCGGCGGCCGATCTCCGAGCATCCGAATCTCGCAGGTATGACACGGGCACCGTCATTGACTTGATCCACTCTGCGCACTGCTTCTTGTGGCCGACGGCTAAGCACTTTGAAACTTCGGGATTTCCATATAGAAGCCCTGGGTCTTGGCTACAGTGTTTCTAGGCCAGGGCCTTGGCTAGGACCTAGGCTACGCTGCGCGTTGGCCCAGGGTAGGCCTACGGCCAGCGTCACACTAGGCCTGCACGTAGGCCTAGGGCTAGGCTAGGGGTAGGCCCTAGGGAGAACCTTTAGTAGCATTATTACTATTACTACTATTACTAGGACTAGTATTGCTATTACGACTGTTGTTGCTGTTACTACTATAATTTTTTACTACCATCACTGTTATTACTACCGCTATTATTACTATTTCTATTGTGGCTATTACCATTAGTACTGCTACCATTATCGCTACTATTATTATTGCCGTTACTATTCCTAGTATTAACATCGCTATTATTGCTATTGCTATTAGCACCATTACTATGGGTACTTTTACTATTATTACTGTTACTTGTGTTACTGTTACTATTATTAACGGTTACAATCGTTACGACTATGACTAATATGAGTATTACTTCTAAAAGTTATTACTATCGCCATTATTACGCTTGCTACTATTACTATCAGCTACTACTACTGTCATTATTACTATACTGCAAAGTAACTCAAAAATGATGTGGGATTTGGAAGGTTGCACATGGGAGGCTGCCGCCCCCCCCCCCCCCCCAACCTCCCTGCTTTTGTTGACTGTAAACTCCCGCCCCCTTAAACCCAGAGGAATTAAATGTACAAGTCTTCTCCAACGCACAGATAGAAGCTTCACGAAAACGCTGGGGGGCGGGGGTAAAAGCGATAAAATCAAATCAATCATGCATGATTTTGCAAAGGGGTGGTGCGCCCCTGACTTCCTTCGCCGTGTTTGGAATGCAAACTCTCGGTTTCTTAAGCGGCGAAGAAATGAATAAACACGTCTTTTGCACACACTCTTCAGAAGAAGAAACACAGGAAAACGCTTTAGCAAAGAAAAAGATGATCAAGAGTGAACCCTCTCTTCCGACGAAGGCGAAAGCCAGACGTACTTGCTTTGGAAGTGAGAAAGCAAGGAAACGAAGTAAAAGGAAATGCGGAAGCCACACGACATCGCCTGCTAGAACAGCTTGCTCGCAACCTTGTACAACGCACCCTGCAACACGAAGATGGGTTTCAAAAAGGGCAACTCATTTATTTTGAGGCGGGCTTGCAAGGCTTACAAAATCATAGGATTCAAAAACACAGGCTTCAAAGCAAGCTTGGACGGCTAAAAATACCGGGGGGCTGGGGGGGGGGGGGGCGAACAGCCCCCCTCCATTTGCAAACGCAATGCTCCCACGACGGGTTTCAAAAAGAACCACTTTCTTGCAACCGTGCATGGCTTCAAAAAGCCAGGGGACTGAGAGGCGCAGCTCTGCACGGATCCAGCAAGCGCGGGAGCTGGGGGACGGAGCAGCACGTGGCGATTCTGGCTCCTCATTATATCCACAACAGCCCCCCTCATTTCGCGATTCCGGTTCATCGTACATCTTGTACATATAACTCAAACATGTTCCCTTCATAAGCGAATCTGGCCGACCATATATCTAAAACCCGTCCTCTCATTTGGCGATTCCGGTTCTCCGTATATCTGGAACGGAAAGACAGTCAGGAACTGCAGCAGCAATAGCTGCCTCAATTGTTGCTGAGGAAGATGCTGTTGCCAGTTCTTCCGTCAAAACCGGCCGATGCCGGCATTGCATACAAATTTCGTTTCATCATCGTGCTGAAGTTTGCTTGGCATGTCATTGGTGCACAGAGCTGTACTTCGTTGCCTTTGTCATGAAAGGGCCAGGACCCAGTGCGACTCCTTGTGTAAAGTCAAGGCTCTGCACCCAGTATGCAATTGCAACATGTACGCCGGCAGCTCTGTGACATTGTTGGAGTTCCTGTTCCTGCCGAATGCACATCGAATCTACGTTTCCGAGGGGCGGTGGTGGCTTCAGCAGTGGCAAAGTCGCCGTTCTTTGGACCAAGCGAGAGGAGCTCTTTACAGGCGAGGTTGAATCACAGCAGAGATGCAGCATTCGTTTGGGGGTGTGGGGGTGCGGGGTAAAGTTTGTTGCGGGCATGGTCACCTACCGTAACTCTTCTCGATGCCCGTGTCTTCTTGTCTGAGCTGTTTTGTCTCTTCAGAGTTGGGTCTCTCACCATGATGATACTGTTAGGACTGTTAGGAGAGTTTCTTCTTGCTGCTTTGCAGGATCAACAGGTTTTCATAGTAGACGCTGGAGGTTCAAGAAGAAGCGCCCCTGTCACAAGTCGCCAAGACCTCACCGTGGTAGACCGTGAAAGCCCCGTCGCCGGTGAAAGTTGGAGGTGCCAATACCATCACGAAGAACCAGAACCGGGTGCTCAAGCGAATCGCTCACGAGGGCGTCGTGGGAAGGCGCAGTCTGAAGCCGGCTTTTGGCACTCTTTCCTGTCGCCACAGCATTCAAATGATGACATGGAACAGCAGCTCCTTGTTGAGGTAGGCCCAGGTATGAGTCAGGACGTCAAGTTCCTGGCCCTCTAGCGATGGTGGCTTGCAACCCTTGTGGTTCTGTAGCCAACTCCACCCCAACACTACCCTAAACACCAAGCTGTAGCCTGAAGCCCCACTGAGCCCTGCAGCGAAGCGCCAGGCAAGTTTCCCAGGCCAGGGGCTGAGCCAGATGGCTACACAGGTTTTGTGATATTCGTTCTTGTATGACAGTGTGGCATTGTTCCCCATCTTAGTACATGCTTTCACAGCTATGAATTGCGGTATGCCGCCTTGTGTTACTCACCCTATTCGGTGTATAGCCACATACGTATACGGTGTGTGTGTGTGTGTGTGTGTGTGTGTGTGTGTGTGTGCGTGTGTGTGTGTGTGTGTGTGTATGTAAATAGACATATCTCACATATGTGCATATTTATCTATCTATCTATCTATATATATATATATATACATATCTTTCTATCTATATAACATCTATTTTTGTGTGTGTGTGTAAATCGATAAACAAGTAAATAAATAGATAAGCAAATAGATAAAGCATATATATATATATATACACACAGGTGTGCGTGCGCGTGTATGGGAGTAGTATAACTGCAGCTGTCACATGCCAGTCTGTACTGTCCTGTTTGAGTTTAGTCTTCATCGCTTTGTCGGCATTTCAGTATTGTTCCGGCGATCCAAGAGGCTGATTTTTCGGCACCCTTCTGGCAATTCGTCGAGATGATTGCATCCCTGCCCAAGAAAAATCCTGCATTGTTATGCTCGTTTGGGGCAGCACCATGTTACTGAAGCTGTTCTCTGGCTAATCATTTTTCTCTTTTGCTCTCTCTCTCCCTCTCTCTCCCTCCTCTCCCTCCCTCTCTGCCGCCCGAAAATCCCAAAGGTGTGGTTCGCTTTCGTACAAGTAGTTTTCTCCACTCGCAGATAGGAGTTGCCATGCTGGTTGGGAGGACTGAGGCATCTTCTCCGGTATGCAAGTCTCAAGAGTGTCATGACTCCGGCTCAAACGTCAGAAGCCCTAGATTCCGAGAAGGCCCACATGAACAGAAACTAACATCTATGGCGTCGACAGCGACGTAAAATTTCTGTTATGCCACAGGTGAGCTTATTTGGAGGGTGTGTGGCAGTGCGTGCTAGCGATTCGTTTGCAATCAGCTTTTTCGATGCCCCTTCTGCAAGGAACACGGTGTTTCCACGAGACAGCTCGTAAAGGAGGCCGCGCAGCATGAACTGTAAGGCAATTTGTGTTGTTTCTGTCGTTGTAGTAGTCGTGGTCGGGTCCTGACCGTCGCCAGGGTCCTGTTCCCGCCGTCGTCGCCATCGTATCATCATCATCATCTTGTGAATGTTTCAGGGCACGCTATGAGCAACATAGACATCGTCAGATGTAAGGCAGTTTAGGCTTCGGGGTTCGAGCTGTAAGAGTTGTAGGGTCTAGCTTTCAGGGCTCAAGTGCACACGTTTTGGGGGGCTGTGTTGTCGGGGTCTGAAGGGAGTGTGGAGAGTTTTTAACTAAGACTTACTATTTGGGCGTTGATTTCGGTGTTGCACCGATGTTTTCCAGGATCACAGCCAACTTACTGTTCGGTCATCCCAGCCTCCTGCTGTTTGCACAGCATCCCATATCCGCTGGCAGGGTGATCGTGAGTCGCTGGTGTGACGTGCCACATATCTTTGGATGCAGATGCTGGGCCCTCTTGAAAGATTTTGGGCTTGGCCAAGTCGGAGTCCTGGCGGCCCCTTCAGGGTGCGTGGCTCAAAGCTGCTGTAAACCCACGAACCTTGAGTTTGGATTACCTATTTGCCCACATGGATCCCGCCTCCACACCCGCACGCAACTTGAAGCTGACAGTGCCTGGAGTGCCTGGTACTGGCAGGTGATTCCGGCCGTCCGAGTCAGCCTCGAGTCGGCACGGAAGCGCGGTGAACCGAAGCACTGGGCCCGCGCTTCAGAGCCGGATGCAGAGGGTCTCAAACAGAAGCGAATTCCGAGGGTTGGTCTCTGTCTGTCTGTCTGTCTGTCTGTCTATCTGTCCGTCTGTCTGTCCGTCTGTCCGTCTGTCTGTCTGTCTGTCTGTCTGTCTGTCTGTCTGTCTGTCTGTGTGTGTGTGTGTGTTTGCATTTTGGGCTTAGATTTGAGCTGGTCTGCGGCTGCCTTGTGAAACTTAGAAAGTTCTTCTGCATGTTTGGCGCTTGCCTTATGACCTGTCCGATAGATATAATTAGGCCAATTTAATGTTAGGAGGTCCTTCCGGGCTGAGTGATTTCCGGAAAGATGGTGGGCATATCCCTTATCCATCTTCCGTTTGTGCCTGCAGGCCATGCATCGTCCGCTGCCCCTCGCCGATCGAACCGCGATGCAAGAGAAGGCTGCAAGTTGGATTTCTCAAAGCAATTTTGGCAAGGTAAGGTGAAGAGTCTCCGAGGTTTGAATGGCCGCTTCTGGCGTTTTCCAAGACTTTGGCCTCAAGTGCAAACTTCGGATTTGTTCAAGACCCAGACCTAAACGGACCCAAACGATGCGGCGATTGCGCGGGAGATGGCATCTTCCTCCGAGCCTGGTCCTGCCATCTTCTGCCAACTGCGTTTTCGACCGAGCGTAACCACCTTCTTCTGGCCAAGCGGTGAGCGCCACCGTGACGGTGCTCACGGCTCTCCGAGCTACTGGCCAAAGAAAGGCTTGCACGTTGTCCTCCAGACCACTTTGCGGCCGACAAGCGGCATCCCATCCTCATCTTCAGTTGCGGCTGAAGATCCGGCGATTTCAACGACGTCTCCCGCAAAGGTGCTGAGAGACTTCAACTGAAGGTAGCAGGACATCCGAAAGGTACGGTTCGATGCGCCCCGTCCAAGGGTTTCAATCTTGGAGGAAGAAACAGCAAACCTAGATTGTTTTCCTTGGTTTCGGTTAATCTGCACTGATTCCTTAATCTGCAGGGCGCCGGTGCCGCTGCCGTCTTTGGGGCCCACCCGCCAGTCCGGTCGGGCCCTCGACACAGCGAAGCTCGTAACAGCAATGCGCAGACCAAAGCCTTCGTCGTCTTGGTCGTGGTGTCGTCGCTGTGGTTCCACTCCCAAAAGGAGGCTCCGGGCTCCAGGAGCTCTTTGAGAAGCAATGATGAGGGTGTTGTTTTGGGAGGCGGTGCAAAGCAGCAGTTTGGAACTTACATGTCATGCATGCTAGTCTGCTAGATTCTGCTACTCGTAGTCGGCCTTGGCTACTCCGAGGCGATACCCATTCCGGGTTGGCCCGAGTTCGTCATCAGGTGTGGCTCATCCGCAAGATGCTGCGTGCCCTTGGCATGATCTTCGGGCCACCTGAGAGCCTTGTTAGGGCTGCTGGGCACTTTGGGTCAGAACAGGTGATCCGGATCCGCGGCATAAGGCAACAAGAGTTTCGTGTGGATGGAGCGCAGAATCCAAGATTCGATCATTGTTCTTGTGAGGAAAGCAAAGACTCTGCATCCGTAGACTTGCCCTTACGACGCTCCGCAGGTTTCCCCTAGAACCACACTCCTTGACAAGTTTAGCAAAACCTTTCCTTGCAGCAGCTTCGATCTTATTGAGGCTCGGACAATACCGGGGATGGAGCCACTGGATGTATCTCAGTCGGACTGACTGATCGCATCATTCAGTTCCCTATCTTTCAGAATTCGGGCCATATTTCAGGAACTTCGAGACTCGGTTCTTCCTTTTCAGTATGCTTCGTGTACAGTACGTCCCCCAAGCTCCATGAGGCCCCAAATGGGAGTTTCCGAAAATTAGGGCTAGCTTGCTTTAGGATCCTAATAATAAGGATCCGATTATTGTGGGTACTATATTAGGGTCCCCTATTTTCGGAAACTCGCAAATCTGCATCAGCGCCGACCTGTGGAGGAGCTGCTCCATGCCATGCAGCGGGAGGCACCCAGCCTGGGGCCCAGCCCTGCGAGAGGTTGCAAGAATGCGTAGAGGCGTAGAGACCCCTGGTGCCTCAACTAAGGGGGTGGCACGCGTTCGGGGCGATATTTCAGGAAGCCTAAACCTGGCTTAGCAATACAAAATGCCACAAAAAAGCCGGTGCTGCAGGAGGGAAACACCAACCTGCCCATGGCCCAACGTGATTGATTGACGCCTGTGAGTGCGTAGTTGGAACCGCTAGTTGGGTTGGCCATCGACCTCGTCAAGCTAAGGCGATGGCCAGGCACGGCCTAGGGGATGGCCTAGGCAGAGCCTCGGGAGGTACAGCCTGGGGGATGGCCTAGGCAAGGCAGAGCCTGCCAGGGTTTGCATCTATGGTCGGTTGGAGGTTCAGGCTGCCAAGGAACTTTCGGCACTGGCCCTGAACAAACTCAACGTGTTCCGCGGACGTGCCCCGCATGCCTGGCCGAGAAGGACAGGCCAACGACTTGCAGCCTCACAGACAGCAGCAACAAGGGTTTATAGGGGGGAACCTCGTACTAATGGCAATGAAGCCTAGTGGGCATGGGAGTCACGGCCGAAATAGCAATCTGTAAGGTGTAAAGTGATAGCAGCGTGTACTTATCACAGGATGGCAGCTCTGAACCAGAACCCCTCTGCAATTAGGTTGGGCCGGTGATGCCGTGACTTTGTGGCAAACCTTCTCCGACCAACCGCACCGCCTCCTCGGCACGGCGGTGCCACATGCCTGTTTGTCTTGCTTCTTGATGTCGTGCAGCCATGTAGAACCAGAGGCGCAACACTGCTTTGTAATCGCATGCATGGAGCAAAGACTAGATTGCACCCAATCATCTTGTTGCCATGATTCAACTGTATGCGTCGCGAAGCTTGTCAATGTAGTCTTTTTCCAGATGAACTCTCAGCCTGATTTCATCCTGGCATCGCTGAAGACTTCAGCGATGCCAGGATGAAAACAGACCGAGAGTTCCTAAGAGCACGTTCCGAGAAAGAAGATTGTGATAAGCTTGCGAAACAAAGTTGCTTATGATGCCGAGGAAAAACCGAGAAAAGGGTGGTTGCCTCTGGCAACGGAAAGCAATTGTCGTGATCGCTTGTTCTTGGACTAGGGAAAAGCATACCACTAGTAAAGTGGTGATGATGGCGCACATACCGAGCCTGAATATGTACAAGGACTTGCTCACAGGAGCTCAAGAAAACCGATGGCGAACGAGCAGTATGGGGACGATGACGCGCTTGGGCAGAAGAATGCAGAACAGGGATCTTGTCTTGTGTGACTTGTGTGTTGTCCTTTATGCTGATGGACGAAATCCCTCCAACAGCTGTTTGCATCGTGCCTTCATCTCTGCAGTGTGCCGAGTAGCAGGTGCTCAACGGTCCACCTCCGGCAGGCATCCTTCCGACAAGTTTCTTTTCATGCCAAAGTATCATCTCTGCTCGTACGAGGTTGCCTACAGCAGCTGTCGGATGTTGTCGCGTCGGTTTCGATTTCGGGGGTCGTAATGATCAGTATTTTCACGGTTAACATCAAGTTGCTGTGGACAAAGAAGTTCGGGATCTGGCTTTCTGTACGAAGTCTTTCTCCCACCTGAGTGTTATCGGGCCAGCGCTGACCAGACTCCAGCAATCCCTTAACTGTGGAGCCTTCAAAGGCGCCCCTGCGCCCGTTCTCAGCGAGCACTGGTTCAAGAGCATGGTGCGGGCCCTGAAACACAGCTGGCTGTAAGAAACCGCGCCGGGCCCTGTAGCTTCGCATCTTGACCTTTGGCTACATTTCCGGGCCAGTGTCTGCAGCATGATCCTCAGACCTAAATCCTAGATCCATTCCGGGACTGCAAAGCAAGACTCTGCTTCCTGTTTCTGGTTCAGGAGTTTGGGATTTCATGTTCCGTTGCGGTACAGAACAAGCTTGGGGTTGAATCTGACCTGGTGTGAAGCCCGGAGACTGTCAAGGTGACATGACATCAGACATAGCTTCATTACACGGCAGGAGTTTGAGCATGGTGTCAGAGGAATGGGAACTCCAGGATTCCGGCTGCGAATATCAACAGCCCAAGCCAACCGATCAGCCAGCTCCCCAACCTCAAGATTCGCTCTGCCCAGTTGGCCAAAGCTTCTGACACGCTGGGAATGACACCTGCGTCTGACCCCAATCTTGTGCCGGACAAGGACGGAGCCCAAATAGTCAGGAGGTCGACAGACTTTAGACGACAGCCCCTGGCTCACCGTAGACACCAACCCAAAAACGGCCCAAACCCTAAGCTGTACAGTCCTCAAGCCCGAGTCCATTGACCCAAGTATGGGCAGAGGCCACCTTGGGAAGCAAGTGTAGCAGCAGGAACCCTCAACTCAGCACCCAAAGCCCCTTCCGAAATGCGGGGCAAACGCCGGACCGTGCGATAGTGCTACCCAAGGATACTGCAACGTTGCACAGGATCTGTTTGTGAGACATGCCGGACTGTCATTACATGATCAGATTGATCCACTTGTCGACTCCAGGCTTGAGGCTTGGGTTCTTTCGGTGAAACTCCCATCCAGCAGCTTTCTGGGAGGACACCCCGAAAACAAGCGATGCAGGCCCTTTCCCAAGTTCGGGGGCTGTTGAGATGGGACTTTTGGAACTGGTCGGTTAGACTCCGAAGCTCGAATGAAGCTACTTCTAGACATTGGCTGCGAGGCTTGGCGTCTTGTTGTTTGCGCTTCGGGCTGTCGGCTGATGTCCTCAGATGTAGGGTTCCCTGCGCACCCTGAACGAATCGAAGAGCTTGGTCTGCGCACTTCAGTTCCCCCGAAAACAGCTTTGGTCGCAGCAACTTCGAGCAGTCAAAGCTTGCTGTTCGAGCTGCAGCCACAGGCGACCAACCGCTGGATCATGTGAGTCTCAACGACATCTTTGCTGCCTTGATCTGCAGCTCCCGCGGGACCGTCTCGGAGAAGGCGCCGATGTAGAAGCTTCCGCAGAGGAGACCGCTACGTGAAATCGTGGTGTCCCACTTCTGTAAGCACTGACAAGCCTGTTTCGCCGCAACCCCGCTGTACTCGAGCGGTGGAGAAAGGCAGCGGCCCTCTTCGACCTTTACTCGTACACAGCTCCGCGAGGCCCTGCTTCTCGCAGCTTCTGGGGTTCAGCTTCGGTCAGACGGTTTCAGAGTGGCCTGAAGAGGTTCAGGCCGAGGCATTCCGAGCTTGAGAGTTTTGGTGGACATGTTCGACTATGATGCAGAAGCACAACATAGCAACTCCCCTGGTTTTGATTGATCTTAGCTTTCTTTCACATGTCATTTTCTTCGTGGAGTCTACGTAATTTGTGACGGCGGTGGGTTTCTGCTTAACTCGCTATGTTGTTCGAGCACCTCTAAACCCTAACCCCTAAACCATAAACCCAGTCCGTTGCAAGGCAACGAGCACCACATCACTCCCCTCAACCGCGTGTCGAAGCGCGCTGCCGCCTCCGCCCTCGCCGCCCGGAGCCCACTTCTTTGGGCACCTTGAGAGTTTGGATAAACTATTCTGACAAGCATTGGCACTGAATGAGTTGTACTAGAATTCATCTGAGTTTCGAGGGTTGATCCCACCCTAAACGAGAAAGGAGCCTTTTTGTTTTTATCCGCGTGTTGGGGGGCACACGTTCTTGAGCCGCGATCGTACCCAGCTTGCAACACACCGCATACGACGATGGATGCCACGACAAGTCCTGCCCAACAACTACGTGCCAGAATATCAAGACGCCATCTTTTCACGAAGCACATGTGCCATCGATGCAGCTCGGTTGTTCCGCATGATGTTGCGTTTGGGATGAATGGGCCTGAGATACGAGGAGGCCCTCAGCAGATCCAACTAAACAAGTTACAGGTCGTGCAGCAGTTGAAGATCTTCCTATCTCGCTGCGAGAAAATAGGCGGAGCTCATTGCTCCCGTCACATAAGACTGCTACCCCAATTCCCTGGTTCCCGAGCCTTGCGCACGCATGGCCAAGGATGGGGGAGACCTGGGCCGAGTCCTGGCACCGCGGGGCGGCTCAGAAACTGACGGAAACCTCAGCAGCTTCCGGGGTTAGAGTCTGCGATGACTTAAAGGGTGCTTATGTTCAGGGGAAGGGAAGCTGCATCAAACAACGACGGTCATGCGCAGTTTCTGAAACAGCTGATGTCGATAATACATTCCATACGAACAATTGGGTTCTTTCATCGTGGCCTTAAATCCTGCCATCGCCACACGCCGCAGATGTATACGTTGCCGTACGGTTGCAAGGGTTCGATGCCTTGGAATGCAAGGACATGGGGTGAGGATCCGGAGGAGAAGGAAGCGAAACAGAACAATGTGCTCAAGTTCACGGTGGGGAGCTCGGCATCTCGGAATTCCTTCAGAGACGAAGTGCAGGGGTTACCACGAAAATCACTTGGCCACAGCGTCTGGCATTTCTTAGTGACCCATAACAGAATAACATCATGTGGACGGGGTTCATAAATTAGGCGTCTAGATTATGAGGAAGGCGACGGAACAAGGTGAGCAATCATTGCGGGTTCTCAGATCGTGTTTCCCATGAAGACGGCGTGGAAGGAAATTGGCTAGAACTGTGCCAGGTCTACACCAGCTACCCAGCTGATGCCGTCCTTGGGCATGTGCTGATACCTTCCCTCTCCCCGTACGTCAGCAGCAGCCGGCCTGTTTGTGGGTCCTTAGGATCGGAATGGAGGGAGGACGACGGCTGCCATTTCATGTTTTGCTGGTACCGCAATTTCCGTCCACAAGTTTTCATGCTGCTGCGGCTTGTGCATCACATGCAGACAATTGCAGCCAATGCTCCATCTTAAATTTCTGCAAAGTGGAAGTTGGACGTGTGTTGTCAAATCCAGACATTGTTGGAAACTACGTTCTAGCAATGGCTTCTCTCAAAAACTTGGATGCGATTTCGACCAGCTGCGGAGCCATGCAGCATGCAGACATATTCAGAATATACTCGACATTGTCGCATGATGTCGCATGGTTCATGAGTTCATGCCCATGAAAATCAGATTACCGTGGTGCGAATTAGATCAAGACTTGGAGCAGAGTCGCGTGGCAGGCAGTGGTGCTGCTGAGCCAGTGGCCAGGAGCTACAACATCTGGGGACGCAAACCCAGGCATTGTTGGGAGAGCAGGGGTTTGGGAGCTCTTTTAGGGAGTTGAAGCCCTTGAATTTTGTTTCACCGCGAGTCATGGGGAGAAATTGGCTCACCACCATCGCTAGGGTTTGCTGCTTTCCTTGCTGCAGGTTCACTTGAGTGAGTGAATAGACTGTACGTGGTCCTGCAGCTTGAGGCCGAACTTGGAAGAGTCCGCCCGAATTTCGGTGGCTCTGCGGGCATGCACTCTTTGGAGTAGCTAACAGACCCGGCAGGGGAGCTCTAATTGCTCTAGAACTATAGCTCCAGGCCGAGCTCTGTGACAGATGGTGCTCCTAGAGATCATTTGTGCTCGATGAAGGGACGTACCCTTGTTGATTAAGATCGCCAAACCGACAGTATCCGGCAGTGAAATGATGATCCGACATTCACATGACTGTTCGGGTAACCATAAGTCACGATCTCATATTCCAGCAAAATTAAAAAGCCTAGTGCAGTTCCATTCAGTAAAAGTTGCGAGTCCTCTACTCACGTGGTTGTTTTGACGAAGAGAGAAGGCATCGTCCAGAGCTTTCACGAGTACGGGTCTGGGCTCACGGCTGCGCAACCCTGTCTCCTCCTTTCTCCCTTGCTGGTGCCGAATACCTTGAGCTGCAATCAACTCTAACGAGCTTTTCGAGTGTCTCATGCAGTCCTATAGATGAGTGTCGAGCTGTCCGCAGTCCATAAACTCCATGAGAGTGGCCTGGACCCTGGGACCCTGCGTCCATCTCCAGGGCGGCGAACAACACCTCGGCCTCCAACCCCAACATGAACAACAACGCCGGCGGTGGAGACCAGAACAGGCCTGCAATGAAGCTTCGGCGCTTGAGCTTGCACAGATACCATCTTTGGCACGGGCATGTGTGTGTGTGTGTGTGTGTGTGTGTGTGTGAGGGCTACTGGGGTCCCTGAGCAACAGTCACTGTACGCATCTTCGGCATTCTGAGCCTGCAATCCCGTTCGATTTCCAACCAGAAGCTGTTGCCGAACCCGAGCTAAAGGGTGCCGATGGTTGAAACACGATATTTCGCTGCTTCACTTTGGATGGCTTGGCCACGGCCCTTGAAACTGAGGATTCAAAGCTGCTGATGGTCTATATGATCGATACTGTTATTTTGTCACTGTCTTTCCTGTAAATGTGAATGCTTCCAACCTTCTTGAGCTCATCCAACGCTTGGGTCGTTCTCCGTCAAAGGGAAGATGACCACTCCAACATGCCGTATAGCTCTCAACCCGAACCCCGTGATGTCGAGACTACCAGGAGGCCTTGCGTAGTCGTGGGTCTCGCTTGGAATTCCTCCCGATCCGCAAAGCTCGGTGAGGCTGGTGTGCTTGGGCGAGATCAACATGGCCTTGCAATGGCGTGAAGCGTGCGAGCCCCAAGACTGGAGCCAGGGAAATGGAGAAGCCTCAATGCGTAGCTCCCGAAGCCCTAAGCCACAACAACCGCCACACCCTAAAGACCCTAAAGCCCCAAACCCCACACCGTAAACCCGGACCCCAGCGAGGACAAAGGGCCCAAAACAAAAACCACAAAAACAAAGGCAGATCCCAAAACAAAAAAAAAGCCTCAAAAGGCCCTCCGAGTCTTGAGCCCTTGAGCCCAGGAGCCCCAAGACGCCTCATCAAGGGCAGCTGACGATCCTCGTGAAGTACGTGAAGCCGGGAGCTGCCACGTTTGGATTTTCTTTTTCCTGGAGGTTTCAAACGTTGGGGTTTAGGGTGGTTCTTCTTTGTTTGGGCCTTTGGGGCTTTGGCCTTGACGCATTGCTTAGGGTTCGGAGTGTCTGTGCATTAAGGGTTAAGTTTGGGGGTTTGCAGAGTTCGGCTCGCGCGGCACCTGACCGGTAGCACTCCAGCACACTCTCAGCTGCAAGAGCCAGCAGACGACCCTTGCAACAAGCTCTCCTCTGCCAGGTTCCAGGGCTATTACATAATGGAGGACTACAACGTGAACCCCCGCATCACGGTGTCCCTCAGCCAGGAGACAACTGCCCGGGCCTGATTCTGTTAATGCCTGCAAAGAATCCTGGAAAGCTTCTCTTGGCTTGAAGCCGTGGCCAGGAGTGTCAAACATGCCTATCTCCCCAAATCCGAGCATCTCTGTGACTCAAAAAAGGAAGTCGACAACTCTGGCGAGCACGCAGTACTGGTGTACTTCATTAAGATAGTCTTATGAAAACCTTGGGCCCAGTCCTCTCAAATCTTCCCGGTCACGTCTCGTGCCTTTGAAGCCCGCACCAAATTTTTCGACATGGAGCCGAACCCAACAATCGTCCGAGCCAGATGCCGCATCCTGGACTTCAAAGGCACAAGAGTACCGCGCAACTTGAACCGTAAGCGACCAGACATCCCAGACGGCCACCCCTCACTGAATCGACATCCTGGCATGTTTGTGATTGCCATCCGCACACCCAGGGAACAGACCGCAACTGGGTGGACATCAAGCCAGAACCTCATGGGTTCTGGGACTCCTGCGTTTTTGGGTTGGGACTTTGGGATTCAAGGTTCTGGGATTGGCACTCGTGTTTTATTGTGGACACTGGCACTGCAGTATCCACTGACATGGCTTGCTCATCCACTTTGTTTGTGTACATGCTCTTTCTGTTGCGGTCAATCAGCTATCTGTCTTCGACCCCGTGCTTGCTTGCCTGCCTGGCTGCGAGCGTGCGTGCTTGCTTGCTTGCTTGTTTGTATGTTGTGCTTGCAGACAGACATGCATACATCCAGACATCTATGTGTGCATACATGCAAGTGTATATGTGCCATATGTATACATATGTGTGTAACTGTGTATATATATATATATGTGTATACATAGATAGATAGATGAATATTGGTAGACATAGATACAGAGACAGATACATACATAGATATAGACATAATTGTATTTATAGCAAGGGGGTGCCATCACAGACATGTTTATGTCCATATACAGTTTCACATGTCTTGTAATTCCAGTGTATACCCCTACAGCCGTGGCAGTGGATGAACGAGTGTATGGATGTATTGGTAAGTATGTATGTAGGTTTGTAGGTACGGAGGTAGGTACGTATGTAGGTAAGCTTATGTCGTGTTGCAAAGCCAAGGCGATGGGACCCACGTGGGGTCTTCAAGAAAGATGCCGTGTCAGTGCCGTGCTCTCAGGTTTTCTTGAGGGCATTTTTCCGCGTTTTGGCAGATTTTGCTGTATTTTGCAGCTGGCTGGAATACCCACGGGTGTAGAACGACCCATGCAGGCTTGGGGGCTCCTGATTGCTGAGCTCTGGTCCCACTCCGATGTCGAGCAGCCTCGCGAAAGCCCCTGCCCGAATGCAAGGACCAAGACAGGGGCATTCGGCGGCGTCATCGAGCTTCTTGGCTTTATGAGCGTCGAGTTCTTGATGTGATGAAAGGATTTTGTTCAGTGCCGTGCTACGTGAAACGGAGAATCTAGTCATTGTAGAGGTTTCCCTGTGTGAAGCATGATTGTAGTTGACTTCTTGGTTCACTTTGAAGGCTTGTACAACCCATGGCAGCTTCGGTGAATGTTGTATGTGGAAAGGTTCGAGCGGACCATGAAGAAGAAGACGCCGGGGCCTCGGCCAACACACGACAGGCTCCCAGATGAAAGGGGAGCTCAATGGAGTATTTTTCTGCGTCTGTACAGCAGAACCGGTTTCGTTGATTGGAAGCGGCTGCATGCTCTCTGGCACAGAAGCGGTTTAGCATGCAAGAGTTAAGCAATAAGGATCCTCCTATCTTGGGGAGGTTTGGAGTTTCATTTGTACCTTACATGCTTGAACCAAAAACCTGAGGCCCCAGCACCACACCGCCTTGACATTTACAAGCCATTTTCCTAAATTCCGAAGCCCTTGAGGTATGGAGGCGGAAAGGAACTTGGGCAGTGGATCCGGCATGGCGACGGCCAGGGCTACCTGCCGGGTGAGGGCAAGGCCTGTGTGCCTTTCTCCTCTACGGCTTGATGGTTGCATTGAGAAGAGCGGGATTCGCAACGCAGGAGGCTGTTACCGTGAACTTTCAACAGCTGAGCTTAAACTGTCCAGGATGAGGGGGGCATGAGCAGACTGTAGCGAGCTCTGCAGGAAAGCGGCAAATGGGAGTGGAACAAGGCGCTCATGGGGAGGGTTCATTGCAGCGTTCAAGTTTGCCTGTTGTTCGGGTTTGGCGTTGCGCGGCCTCAACTCAACGTAGGCCAAGGGTGTACTTCATCGGAGTATCAGAACGAGGCGTAAGATCAGAAAGCTGGCAATCAGCAAATTCCTAGAGGTCGGCTGCGGCATGCAACTCATGTTCCGAGGTTTGGGAAGAATGATAGTAAGGATGGAAAGGTAGGTAGGAAGGCAGGCAGATCGGTAGATAGATATGTAGACTCTAGACAGGAAAATGAGGTAGACAGGTAGTTGTATGTTCGTAGGTATATAGAAGTGCGTATTTATGCGTACATACATACAGACATATATACATACATACATACATACATACATGCGCACCTCCAGCCATCCATCAATGGACTCATGCGTACATGCATCCAGACATGCATGCATCAAACGTACATGGCTACATAGATACCGACCGACTAACCACCTACCTCCCTGCCAACCTACCTCCTGCCCCTACCTCCTGCCTGCATACCTGCTTGCCAGCTGTCCTGCCTAGCTATCAGCTATCGATATATGATACATAATACATGCCAATGTGCGTACAAGCAGTAGGAACAGTAGCAATCATGCTAAAAGTGAATCAGCGAAATCTGATGACGCATATGACAACGATGATGATTTTGATGCGCATCATCAATATCATCATCTTGCTCTTCAGCATGACCACCATCATCCTCTTCTACTTCATCATCATCATGAAGATGGTCACCATCATCACCAAACCACTTCCTGATCAAGCTAGCCAAGTTGAAAACACTAAGCACAGTCACAACAACAGCAGACATACCGATTGCCCCCTGCCTCCCCAAACCCAACATCCAGGGACCGGGGTTCAACAGATGAGCCCAAAGCCAACAAGCCTGTTGCCACTGTTCGTGTTGTTGTGATTACCATCATTTCCCGAACCCGTGTCATTGACTCTACATACTCTCCAAAGAACCCAAGCTTGAGGACCTGAACCTTCAAACCCAAGCTTTTGCGTGCCCTGGCACAGACCTGGGGTCTGCAGCACTCCCCGCCGGATCTCCGGGCTTCCTGGCGTGCTCAACATGGAACCATAGCTCGTAGTTTTTGACTAAACGCAGCTGTTGTGTGTGGTTGTTTCTTTTTTTGCGCGCTCGTCTTGTTTGTTTTTGGAGTCTTGGTTTGCAGGATTTTGCCTTACTGGAAGAGGGACTCGACTGATTGAGGCTCCTGACTGTCAGACTCTTCAAATCTTGGCCTTGGTAAGTGTCGTCACTTGTGAAGATGGGATGAAGGATCACATGCATCATCCTTGGCATGGCACGGAGCCGAGAGGCAGTTGCATGATGCCACAGGCAACAAAAGGCCTGACAGGAGGCTGAAGCCGCGAGGGTCTGCTTCAGTAATTTCGTGCTGTTCCATCGAAAGTTGCAACAGACCCAGCAGAAACCAGTTCAGTTCCCCTCAATCCTGAACCTGTTCAGGTTTCTGTGTGTGTTTGGTAGTGTAAGCGCAAGTCTGATACGGTCACAGCGGCTGAGTTCAGAGAGTTTTTTTTTGCGCTTGTGTGGAGCTCCGGCTCACCATGCTCACCCGCAGTCGATGTAGTACAAACCCGAGGTTCACCCTGACTTCGTGCAGAATGAGTCGCGCAGGATGCTGTAGGGGTCAGGGTTCCGAGGCTTCGGGCCTTCCGCTTCGGGATTTCGGAGGTGGGGGAATGGCGTCATACAGCATATGTTTGTGTGTGACGCAGCCTCTGCGCTGAACGGAGGAACACGATTGACATGACGGGAGTCCGGCTTATCGTCTCCCAACTCTTGCAGAGGCCGGAAGGATGCTGAGTCCCGGGGGAGGGAAAAGGTAGCCTAAACCACCCTCAACCCTGAAATTTCACAAGCTCTGATTATTACTTGTACATCTTTCGCATCGATGATCTCCATGCCATCACATCATGGTACCGGCTATTATTGTACCATCATTATGTCACTGATCATCGACATTGTGTTGATCGTTTCTGTCAGAAGAAGTCGGGGACGGGCCATCGTACTACGATATTTCTGAGCATGCCAATCTTCAACGTGCAGGGAATTGGAACGGCGTTCACAAGCCTAGGCTTGAGCTTCGCACGGCAAACAACTCGCTGCATGCTTGAACCAAGTTCAGAAGCAGCTTGGAGTAAAACCTGCCATCATTATGTTTCAGACCACACGGGAACATCATACAGCCAAAGGCTCTCTTACCCGTGAGCTGCGGAAACGAGGAGGAGCAGTAATCCTACCAGCTCAAAAGCCTTGCACAATGGTTCGGCAAACAAACAAGATTGCCAAGATATGGATGACTATGGAGCAGAACGCATGCAATACAAGTCGTCTGTTCAATCCAAACTTGTGAGGAGCACATAGTAGAGGAGAGTGGAGCATCGCCAAAGCTCCGACAGATTATCGGCGCTTGAATCTATCCCTTTCAACCATGGTTGCGTTCTGTAGAAACTTTATAGCATCAGTTGCAGCAACAAGAGCAGCAGCAGTTGGTACTGGTAGTGGTAGTGGGTAGTAGTGGTAGTGGTAGTAGCAGTCTAGTAGTAGCAGCAGCAGTAGGAGGAGGAAGAGTAGGAGTAGGAGTCGGATCAGCCTACTCCTCCTGCTCCTCTTACTCCTCCTCCGAATCTTCCAACCTCTCCTTCTCCTCCTCCAAGCCCTCCTACTCCTGCTGCTCCTCCTACTGCTCCGACCTCCGACCTCCGACCTCCTTCTCCTACCTCCTGCTCCTGCTCCTTCTCCTACGACTCCTAGCCGCATTCTGTGGCTGCGCTACCGATACTGTGCTGTGGCTCCGCTGCTGCGGCTATGGCTACTGCTACTGCTACTTACAAGCACAACTACGGCAGCTACCAGTACGACTACGGTAACAGCAGCTACAACAGCGACTACTACAACGATTAGCAGTGCTAGTGCTGGAACCACCAAGACGACTGCTACTACTGCTGCACCTGCGACCGCTGCTTCTGGTGCGAAGATGTTAACCATAAGGTCAGCTGTGGACAAGTTTCGTTGTCAAGTTTGGTAACTCGCCAGCCTGCGAGGTGCCTGCTGAACATGTCCAACAGACAGGCTCTCCTGATTGCGGATAGCATCTTCAATCGAGCCGGGGTGCGCGCCTCGTTCTGTGTCTCCAGGGCATGTCACAATGTTTGTCATCTTCACCACGACGCATCTAGCAGCCGCAATAGAAATTCGCATGAGTCAGCTAGCATGAGTCGCCGAATGGCAATCAATGTCTTCTCTCTTGTCATGACCTGCATCGCTGTTACTTCGTCTTCATATTCGACGTTGCTGTGTCAATCGTTTTACACGCTCAGCTTCATCGTCATAGTTTCTCCATCATCGGCATTGTTGCCAATATCGGCGTCAGCGCCAGCAGCAACATCAGCATCAACCACCACCATCATCATCATCACCAACGCCACCACCATCATTATCATCACCACCTTCATCATCATCCCCTTCATCGCCGTCAATGTGAGGTTCATCGTCAACAGCACGTCGTCGCAGTCGCGCGTCGTTATGGCTGTCGCCATCACTGCCCTATCATATCACATTCTCACCACGATCATCACAGGCAGCAGCAGCAGAATAGCACCACTCCTATCGCAGCATCCAACCAGTCATACGGCTGGCGACAGGCTGATCTAGCTTTGTTTGGGCAGTACTTGCGCTTGCAATGCCTTTCTGCTCGCGTTAGCTTTTGACAGATTCGTCATGAATCTAGCCAGATGTTGCTTTTCATGCCCGTAAGCCCGGAAGTACAGGATTCGGAGGGTGTGACTGATGTCAGAGCGGTGCAGACTACGGCCCGTGCAAGTTCCCCGTCTCCGATCAAACCCGGAAGCATGTCTCTGCCATGCCAACCTAGCTGTGCGACCTTGAGGCTGTACCTGGTATTGCACAAGCTGTTCTCGTGAAAGCGAGCAATGCTGACTTCGGTGTCTACGCCGACAAAAGGCCACTGTTGTGAGTTTGGTTGAGTTCCAGCCAGGGCCCGTCCCTCATGAGGAAGGAGGAACCTTTGGTTTGGGGCTCTGCGTCTGAAGGGTTTCGCTTGTCAGGTTCTTGTGTGGGCATGTCCGGAGAGGGTTTGGGGATTCCTTCAGTCGGGCCTGTGCTTCTGCGCAGGACTTGGCTTTGTGAACATGGCTTGGCGCAGATCCTGGAGAAGCTCACTACTGCACCCGGCTTGGTGAATTTTGCCATCATGGTCGTTGCTTCTATCCTTATCGTTGCTTTTCATAACCGCGACCTTTATTCTTCAGCCTTCTGTGTCTTTGCGTAGAATGTTACTAGGTTTTCCGTTGTTCGGAGTTTGAGGCGCACCCCTACGTGGACGTGACAAAGGAGATTGTGCTGGAGCACGAGCGGCAGGTGTCTTGCAACGGTCTGTGGCTTACCCTCTATCTTGGGACAGAGCGGCAGTTGACAGTCAACCTTGGGGTGTTGTGACCCAGTACCGACCCAAGCGCTCCGTGAAGGGCTTTGATGATGGCCGGTTTCTGCAGCAAACCCGGGTGTTTGGGGCAAATCCTAAAATCCATCGCTGAGACCCACGCCCGCCCCGCGTGCGGCGCCGGAGCTGTCCACTCCTTTGGGCTTCCGCGGTGATCCCTCCTCCAAGCACTTCTTCATGCGGAGCCGCTGCTGGCCTTTCCCGTCTTCCAGCACTGCCGGAGCCAACCCAACAGCCTTCCGACCGTCGCTAGTGGGCCACTTGCTGGCATCCCTGTTCGGGCCAGTGCCGATTGCCCAAGCCCCAACTCCCGAACTTCACGGTCCTTCGACCGCTGCTTCCAAAGTGATGATGTGCACATCCCACGATGGCCGCGCTGAAGGACAAAACCCAGAACCCAAGGAGGGTGTTCAATTTGAAAGTGCTCCGCCGATCCATGCAAAGTACACTTCAGCACTCCCAAGGTGGCAACATCAACCTCTTCGCGTCGAGCTACATGAAGGAGACGAGCGGCCGTGGAATCGGATCCGGGGTCTTTCACTTTTCCTTTGGCGTCCAGAGAAGCTTCAGGAAGTCCTTTAGCGTGCCAGGGTCTCGCTTCAGGAGTCTGTCGCATGAGCCATATAGCGTCCCTAGCAGAGAAGTGAAAGCTGCGCAACATTGCAGAAACCGCCAGGCCGAACACGTTGCTCCCAGCACCGGAGATACATGCTCTCAATGCCTTCGAACCTGAACCTGACATGCCCGGACTTGCCCTGAAGCTGCTAACCCCTGAAACTCCTGTGCGTTGCAAAGCCTCTTGGGCAGGAGAAGCTCAACCTCAGCGCAATGGGGATTTCCGACCCCTATGTGAAGGATAACAAGGTGCTGCCGGTACTCCCCGAGATTTCAGGTTTCAAAGCGAGTGTTGCCTGTTACAGATTCCTGTTTGACGAGCCTTTTCGAGAGCTTGCTTGAGCCGATCTACAAGAGTCTGAGAGTCCAAGAGCTCAGACCCGAGAAGCGGCTTGCGACGAATGGATTCCCCGTGCACAATTTACTTTAAGCTTCTGGTTTCTTTCTCGAGAGGTTCTGTTCATCCGCTACATCCGTGCTGGTGACGGGCAACGATGCACTCAGGCTACGGTTCTTTTCATGGTCACAGTGCGCGCGCACTGTGACACAACAGTACTGTTTTGCAAGAAGGGGGGTTACAAACTCTTCAGATGCCTTCCTGTACGACCCAAGGGTTTGAGCCCTCGAGGTAGGAACTGACATGGGCTAGATCTTCGGACATCTTTGCCAGGGGCCAATTCGCCACACTTCCAATCCTATCCTTCAAAGGGACGCTGAGATTCCCGGTGCCCTCACCAACGGTAAAGTGAACTCCAGAAAGTTAGGACATGGAGTGAACGCGATTAGTCCTGAGATTCCTCATGCCTGCCTCGGTTGGAAAAATCTGGAACGACCTGCTTTCAACCTTGCAACAGCTAGCATTGGCATAACCCTTAGCTTGACAAGTACGGATAAGACATCAACGCCGAACAGGACGCACGTGATTTTTTTGCACGCCTCGTAAAATAGTGCGATATGTCCTCCAGCAACAGCATCATCGTCGTCTTTGATGTTCACAATTTTGTTGGCCTCAGCATCGTCATTGGCAGAATCGGTCGTTGTAAGTAACGATCAACCCGCATTTTCGCCATCGTCATTGTCATCATCATCACCATCCCCATCGCCAGCGCCAGCGCAAGCGCCAGCGTCATCATCGTCTTCATCATCATGGCCATTACCAGCATCATCATCATTATCATCATCATCATCATCATCGCCGATGGCGATCGCCATCGCCACCCGCCATCGCCATCGCCATCCTCCTCCTCCTCCTACTACTCCTCCTCCTCCTCCTCAGAGCATCAGCAGCATCAGCAGCATCAGCAGCATCAGCAGCATCAGCAGCATCAGCAGCATCAGCGGCATCAGCAGCATCAGCAGCATCAGCGGCACCAGCAGCATTAGCAGCATCAGCAGCATCAGCAGCATCAGCACCATCAGCTGCATCAGCAGCATCAGCAGCATCAGCAGCATCAGCCGCATCAGCAGCATCAGCAGCATCAGCCGCATCAGCAGCATCAGCAGCAGCAGCATCATCATCATCCATCATGAGCATGAGCATGAGCATGAGCATAAGCCTGAGCATGAGCATGAGCATCAGCATCAGCATCAGCATCAGCATCAGCAGCAGCATCAGCAGGATCAGCAGCATCAGCAGCATCAGTGGCAGCAGCAGCGGCAGCAGCAGCGGCAGCAGCAGCGGCAGCTGCAGCGGCAGCAGCAGCGGCAGCAGTAGCGGCAGCAGCAGCGGCAGCAGCAGCGGCAGCAGCAGCGGCAGCAGCAGCGGCAGCATCAGCGGCATCAGCGGCATCAGCAGCATCAGCAGCATCAGCAGTATCAGCATCATCAGCAGCACCATCACCACAGCCATAACTAGTCATCATCAGCATCATCATCATCGTCATCATATCATCTTACCATCATCATCAACATCATCATCATCATCAGCACCATCAACATCATCAACATCACCAAAATCGTTGACATCATCAACATGGTCATCGTCATCATCATCATGATCACCATCATTCATCATCATCATCATCATCATCATCATCATCATCATTTTCGTCCTTAACATCATCATCGTCATCATCGTCACCATCGTCAGCATCCTCGTCGTCAGCATCGTCATCAGCATCATCATCATCGTCATCATATTTGAGTAGCGTCGACCACAGTGAGCCTGGAAACAAGGCACAATATTGTCAACCATGTTTATCAACGGTAGTATTTCCGGTCGTACAAAGGCAGGACATAGGGCAAGTCTGTGCTCTCGTTCCAGTCGGACACCGGTTTCCTGATGCATGATGTGCCGCTTACCTGTCTTCAGGTTTCGTTGTGCGCCACTAGGTACATAGCAAAGTAATTGGCTGGCGCATGTGCCAAGACAGCACCTGCAACCCGTTTGCCAAGCCGCTGCATGCCTCGTACTTTGACAGGCCGTCGCCGTTGACCCGGATGGCAGCGTGACGCCCGACTCGGAGGTGGGACGAGGGTTAAGTAAGGGGCGGTGTTGGCAAGTTAGGCGATGCACAGCCTGACTCATCTGTGCAGCTCACTGCAGGTGAAGATGGACCTCCTCGCCACCGAAGGTCCCAGCGATGAGGAGGGCTTCGTCGCACCATAGCGCTGTCGTTCAGCAAGGTCTAGACGGGTCCAGCTTGACGGGAGCACATGGGAACTCAGAAGATATGTCCAGAGAGAGATCGGACGTCGTGAGTGGTCCACACACTAATTCATCTATGGCGGTTTTGCAAACTTAGACCTGCAGGAGCTGGTTCCTGGAAAGCGTGTCTACCTCACCTACGAGGGTGCGAAGAAGAACAACGTTAACAGTGCTGAGAAAACCTGCTTCAAGAGGATTTCCACGAGTACCACTGCGGACAACAAGCCGCGGACCGTGGTCCACCTTGAGCTGCCGAACGTACTGGACGGCTTGGATATCCCCAAAGAGATCACGGTCGATCTCGTGGACCTTTGGGAGTGGGAGCGTATTCCTTTAAAGCAGGTCTACCTCGCCGACGGTACGAAGGTCAAAGTGAAGAAGGTTTCCAGCACAGCTCTAAGGACCAGCGTAGACGTCGAGCTGCTGGAGAAGCGGGAAGTTACACTCAATCCGGAGCACATACAGGCAGCCGGGGACACTTCCGGAAGTACTACCCGGCGTGTCGTTGTTCGTTTTGGGGATTTCGCCTCATCCACCATCCGCTTCACGTCAGGCATTCTGAGTTGTTCTAGAACTTCTTTTCAAGATTACACGGTACAGCGTTTTAAGAACTTGATTCTCGCGACATTCTATGCCAGCAAAAGGGGCAATAACATGCCTTGCCGCAACAAGTAGTTTCAGCTTCAGATGCGTTCTGCAGCTGGTTGTCAATTCAATGCTAGAAACACTGACATCTCGCAACAGCAGGTACATCAATATTTCGCATTGGTGACGGTACGGTAGTTCAGACCGAAGAATTGGATGTGGGGAATGCAGTCCGCTTCAACATGCCGCTAGGACATGGTTACTCGTATCATGTTAAGAGTTTTCCTGCTGCAGGTGAAGATGGACCTTCGGGCCACTGCAGGGCAAAGTCAGCAGGAGGGGCCTGGGGACTTTCAGTCAGGGGAGAGTTGCTTGCATGAGGCTGCAAGGTGGATTCCACGTGTAGCCACAGCCTAACCACCAAATGGAACTGCCGGGCTCTCTTTGCCCTAACTCTTAGCACCGGACGCCCAACCCCAAACTTTCCAAAACCTGCAAAGATGCCCCAAAGCCCTTACCCTGTACAGGAGGCACTCAGCCCAGATTCGGTCCCTTCTTTGTTTGTGGTTTTCTGACTTGCAGGCGCTTGCCCCTGGAACACGTGTCCATCTCACAAACGAGGGCGCGCGCAAGCACAACGTTGCTGCCACTGAGAAAGCGCTTGTTCAGAAGGCCTTCAACGATGAGCAGAAGACCATCGTACACCTTCAGCTGCCGGACAAGAAAGACGAGAGTGGAGCTGCCAAGGAAATTCAAGTTGACCTTGTGGATATCAGTGCCAAGGAATGGGAGAGCGTTCCTTCAAAGCAGGTCTACCTCACCTCCCAGGGCGCAAATAAGCTCGACATCTCCGACAGCACAGTTGCAAAGGTCACTGTCACGGTCAAGAAGGTTTCCACGACATCAGACCAAAAGACCAGCGTGCTCGTCGAACTGTTAGTCCCAAAAGAAAAAACAGTCGACCCAGCGGACTTACAGGCCTGGTGGGTCTGGGGGGACCGATGCAAGCAGAAAGTCTGTCATGCAGATACCTCCTGCACCGCTTTACCTGATTCTTGTCTCGAGCCTTGATTCACCCCACTTCATGCACTTCTCCATATTTGTCAGGGGACTGCAAGCCTAAGCAACAGATTGAAGATCCTGCGGTAATTTGCATAACGAACTTGGTTGCCAGATGAAAAAATCCTACTACAGGAATTACCTGCGACGTAACTCCATCGACTTAATGCACATTGGTTTAAACAAGATGCGCCAAAAGGGGAAGCGGCGCTTCCCTCGTTGGACCGTCTCGGATCCGGGCATGGCCCTAAGCCTCCGGCCTTCGCAGGTGAAGCTGGACCCGTCTGCGGAGCAGGCTGAGGACTCGGCGTGCAGATTCTTCTTTTGGGCATCGAAATTCAGGTGCCGTCTGTGTCCTGACACAGAGTTGCGTGGTATGAACCTTTTAACCGCAAGTAGACCGTGGGCCCGAGACCAAAGACTCGCATGCTCGGTTCCCTGACTGAGACCGGACTTACGGATCTGTTTTATGCTTTGTGGCTTGCAGGATCTTGCTCCTGGAAGACGAGTCTACCTCAGCTACGAGAGCGCGCGCAAGCACAACGTCGACAGCAATGACAAGACCTATGTGAAGAAGGTTGCGGCCGCGAAAGACAACAAGAACAAGACCATGGTATACCTCGAGCTGCCGGACGAAAAAGAAGTGGCAGTCGAGCCAGTGGAGATCCAGGCAGGGGCGGGGAGGACGGGAGGACGTTCGTTGTATGCCTCTTTCCATTCCTGGGCCTCCCTCCCTTGCTCTCAGACCAAGCCACCTTCCTGGTCGATGAGCCGTGTGTCGAAGCAGGAGTTCATTGCCCGTGGCCTAGCCTCTCAGGTGTGCTCGGAAGCTAGCTCGCAGAAAGGCGCCAGAAAACCTAAGGATGCCTAAGGACCGCTGCATCTTACGCGCTCACGTAAAGAATTCAATGTGAAAGAGAAGTGCGAAAGGAGCACCCTCATCAGCACGCCAACCACAAACAAAACCCTTAAACGAAAGATCCAGAACCTGTGATACCTCCTAGGCGTGCTTCACCGCTTCCCCACTCCTGAGCGAATCGATTCGCCGACTGGGATGCACTTCGCATCTCGGCATGCATCCAAGAGCTACTAGTGTATGCTTCCAGCAACATGTACCGGGTTTCGGGTCATTTCAAGCGCGGTTCAGGCTTGGGTTTGATTTGCAGTCTGGCCGTGCATTGTGGAAGAGGACAATAGGACAGCGGGACTGCAACAGTTGGCTGCCTGCTGGAATCTGACGAGGCACGAGGTGCACGAGACGCGGCCGATCCCTCTGGAGGTACTCATGACGGTGGTGTGATGCTGATGAAGACGACGAGAGTTGTGATAGTGATGATGCCTGTGGTGCTGGGAATCAACTAGGGACGGAGGTCGGGATGATGCGAAGGACGTTGATGATGGCGACAGCAGGAGCATCATGAGAGATGTCACCATGAATGGAGGGTCCAATCCGCAAAGTACCCTTAGTGGATGTTTCCGGATCATGCTTTGAAGGTCGTCGGTATTTGAAGGCCGATGTTCTGCTGCCTTGGGAGTTCAGGGCGCTTTTTTCAACTGAAGACTGGGGTCACGGTAACTGAGCACTGCAGAATTTGGTTGTTTGGCTGCATGTTTTCAGTTGGATTCATTCCTCATGAAATTGGGTGTCCGCAATTCGTTGTCATGCATCCGAATTCAGGCTAAGCCGCTAAACGCTCGTGCTGTGGCCACTTCATCGCAGTTTTGAGTGCTGGCGACAGAGTCAGTTTGGGAACGGGCAGCGGCACTGGTACCTGCACTTCCGTTGTTGTTTTCTCAGAAAGAAAAGGACCACCGCAGTAACGGGAGCTCGGGCAGCTCAATCGCTGCACACGTACGGCATAGACGCCTCCTTCACTGTGTCTGCCAGGTGACAATCATGGATCCGCACCACGACGATGTTTTCCAGGAGTTGGAGGACTGGAGTTTTTATAGTTTTTTCAGGAAGCCAACCAGAAGGCTTTGTAGGTGCCTGCGAGTGCAAGAGTAGAGACCCTGCACGAGATCTCGCAGAGGGGCTCGCGATTCGTCAAGTAGAAAACCCTGTACTCTAAATCCTCAAAACTTCATCCTTCTCTTAGCCTCGACCCGTTGACAACGTGGCTACGTAGGGTGTTGTCTGAGCCAGGAATCCGTCAACATCGGCCAGTCACTGTTGATCGAGGCCTTGGGATGAGGGAGCGAGGGCGAGGGCCCGGAAAGGCTTCAACCTAGCTTAGACTCTGTGACGCAATGATGAGCTGTTGGTGTTGTCACATGCTCGCTGGTGTACTGCGGGCATGTCAATGTCGGTCTTCCTCGCTGCGTCTTGAGGCCCTGACGGCTGCAGTGCTGAGTATGAGGTGCATGTAGCAACGTACAACGGTGTTTCAAGCAGCCCACCAGACCCTCAATGCTGACTACATTTATGGCGTGGGATATAGATGCCATACAGCCACGTAGAAAATGATGTGAACATATGAACATGTATGACTTCCCTGTGGTTTCACGACCTCGCTGCCATGATGTTGTAAATCGTTTCCCAAAGTAGCGGAGACAAGACCGCGGGGTAGGGGCGGAGGGTTGGGGGGGGGGGGTGGGGGTGCGTAGAAAAACTGGAAGCATTCAGAAATGATGGTGATTTCTGGTCAGGAAACCAATGAACATAAATGTGATCCCATGTGTTTCTACGATTTCACGTTCTTGGTCTCCTCACCACACCAACATCGCACAAAGCATGCTAAATCGGAACAACCAATACAAAGCCTTCCTGAAAAATCAAGTCTTTTGAGAATGCATTGTTGGGTTCTCCACAACAAAACAACACCAACACTTGCAACATCCCACTCATCATCGCCAGCAGCACGTGGGTGTAGGTCTGGGACTCCGACTTCATGGGCATGGACTTCCTTGGAGAGGTGCAGCTGCGCGGGGCATTGCTGTGCTGGAGCTCGGAGTTTGGGGTTAAGGAGTTTAGGCTTGGATTTGTGTAGGACCTTTAGGGCAGAACAGGGTTTCGGGTGCATTGTGGTTCGCATGCCGCTTCGTTGGATCTAGAGTTTAGGAGCTTCTGGCCTTCGGGATTTGGATCCTGGCATGTTCAAGGCTGACTGCCTTGCTTCAAGATGTAACATTTTCGGGCTTTTGACGGCAGTGCCTGCCAAGAGCCTCAGCATGTTCATCAGGGAACCTAGGTTCGTTCCTGATCATTGAGTGTTTCGTGAACTCGAAGTAGCCGAAGCTTGCAGCTAAAGCTTCAGCCTTGCAACCGCCAAGTACAGCGTAACCTGGAGCTTGAAAGGAAGCCAGCGAGGACTTCCGCAAAGCCTGAAGAGACCGGGGTTGGGAATTTCTTGGCCCTAGCTCCTGGGTGCTCTGCACCACAGCCTTTCCCGCAGGCGTGGCTGCCCCCACTCTCCGAGTTCGGGCCACGCCCGAAGGACGACCTGCGAACGTCGATCAGGGGTTTGCAGTTTACAGCACGCCTTTGGCGGTTTAGGGTTTCAGGGTGTCTCTGGTTTTGCCTACTCGACGCTTCAGGCTGATGGCCATGCTGGGGTAGCAGCGATGACAGTTCTCACTGATTTGATGATGATGATGATGATGAAGAAGAAGATGATGAAGATGAAGATGATGATGATAATGATGAGGTTGGTGATGGCCATGTCTATCTTTCGATCGCGATGATGATGTTGATGTCGGCCGTGACGATGTTGTTGTTGTTGTTGTTGTTGTTGTTGTTGTTGTTGTTGTTGTTGTTGTTGTTGTTGTTGTTGTTGTTGTTGTTGTTGCTGTTGCTGTTGCTGTTGCTGTTGCTGTTGCTGCTGCTGCTGCTGCTGCTGCTGCTGCTGCTGCCGCTGCTGCTGCTGCTGCTGCTGCTGGAACGGTTGCTGTTATTGTTTACAGCTTTTCTTTCGTTGTCGTTGTCTTTGTTGTCGCTGCATCGTCTTTTTTGTTGTAGCTTTAGCTGGTAGTAGGTATCAGGTAACAGTAGGTAGCAGTAGGTAGCAGTAGGTAGTAGGTGGTAGCAGGTGGTATGTCGTTGCAGGTGTGGTAGGTGTGGTATGCGCAGTAGGTCTTGCAGATATAGAATGCTGGGCAAGGCAAAGGATATGCTATGTTAAACTAGGGAAGTCTTGAAAACCTTTAAGCGAGGAGATAGGGCTTGCTGAGTCATGGACTTCTGTGCGCTGGATGTGAAGACACCTGTCCTGAAACGTATGCTCAGGACATCGTGTTGCCGCTCCAGCCGGTGAACTATAGCCCTGACTCGGAGAATGGGCTGCGCACTCAGTGCTTTCACTTCTCAGCGCGGCGTTACGGGGCCTCGGATAAATCAGTCGTTCGCAGGCCTTCTGACTGCCCTGCCCCATTGCACCCTCCAAAACCCTAATCCCCATACCCTCCTTTGACTGCGAATCCTCCAGGCCGTCCCGGCACGATCCCAAGAAGGACCTCAAGGACGACGGCACAAACCCGAACATGAAGGTTCCCGTTCTTTCGGCCATCTATGCTGATATCGATTGCACTTGAATGTGAGGGTTCGGTTTCGGGGCCGCTGCAGGGTTTGATGGGGTGCCGAAGCATGCAGTGAGTAGTGCTTCGTAGATTGGACATTTGGTCTGGGATCGCTCTGGCGTTTCGGGGCCTGAATCGTGTGGAAAACGGGGATGCAGGGTCTTTGCTCCCCTGTCGCAGCAGGTGACCGGCGACATCTTCTTGACGGTAAGCTGGAACTATCCCACGATTGAGGGCAGAGGTGCGTTCGGTTTGTTGATTTGGAGCGATGGTTCGGGGTTGTTCTAAACACAACACAGCCCTGTCATGTCGGAGTCATTTTCATTCAACACTGGGGCATCTTTTGGGAAGCCTCACTTCGGACGACGTCGAGTTGAGGGCTTGTCGTCTTAGGGCCAAGAGCGTTCCATATCCTCATTACGTGGCTGCCCGAGAAGCTCGCTGCCAGCTATCTCTGGAGAGCGGCCTCTTCGGACTTCTACCGGTTCGGTGCAGACTAAGGCTGAGAGAGGCCCTCGTGCCTAAACCCAAAGCCCGGCCAAAGTTCTGGTAAGAAGGATCCGAGAATATCGTACTCAAAGGGAGCTTTCGCCGTGCTGGCCCAAACCTGCAAAGAGTTTTCTTTGGAGAATCCGTTAAGCCAGAGAAGCCGCAAGCCCAAAGCGCCAGATCCTCAATCCCAAACCCTCGTTTGAGCCTCTTAAAGGCACCCGGAAGCCCCAAACGGCATCGACCCGGCAAGGGCTGGATGTCGATGTGGAAACCTGGCTGGCGATGTTGGAGCAAAAGTATATAAAGCCTGGCGCCGAGAGGGAAGAGCCCGGGCCCAACCAAGTTTCATCAACTTTCATGCCCTTCCACTCCGGCAGGGGCGTGGGATAGGTAGAGAAGTAGCAGAAGCCGATTTCTGGTTTGTCATGACATTGGCTTTGAGTTTTTGAGAGAGTAAGGTAAGGAGGACTTCGCCGATTGTCGTGGCAATGGCGGGATTTAACAAGAATCGACAATGGCCGTAAGGTAAAGCCACGTCGCGAAGAACCATAGGTCGTGCTGATGAGAACAAGGCTGAAAGGGACCGGAATGGGGCTCATGTATATCAAAAGGTACCCGAAGGAGTGGAACCCGGATCCGAGTTCCTGCGAAGACCCCAAAAGACCAAGCAGCTCTGCATACCGACCCAGGGCAAAGACCCTGAAGCCGGGTGAGCTCACCAAGTATCAGGCCGCTGCAGCTCTTGGAGGGGAGTGCGGTTCAGGGTTTCGGTTCGAGGTATGGGCGAGGAACGCACACTTGAGGACACGAGACACTCTCCAAAACCACTCGCAGACAAATCGAATCCCTGGCCACGGAGCCGTTGGCAATCTCGACTTCAATATCCCTGAATATTACGGCTGGAGTGGTTTTCAATTGTGCCGGGCTGTACCATCCAGACTCGCCTCGCGCCCTTCTGCACTCCAAAACTTAAAAAGCTCTGAGCGAGGATGTGTAGGCCGGGCGGTTTCCCAACAAGCCCTGCAACGGAGGAGCCGATCATCGACAATTATCGGACGGTGCGAAACATCAGAGAGCAGATGGCCGGAAGCCATGGGGAAGCCGTCGCTGGCAGTTTGGGCATGCTGGGTCTTCAGGTCATCTCAAAAAGGCCGATGATATTTATATAATGTCGTGGTGGTCGGATGGAGACTATTGGCACTCCATGTTGCTGCTGAGCGGGCTTTCTCTGGACTGGACTTGTCGGTAAGCCCTTGACCCGAGCCCCTACAAAACCGAACTTTTCGTGCAAAGCTCAAGCCCGAAGCCTCTGGGCGGTGCTCAATGACATATGCGCTCGAATGCAAACGTGCTTGTCACAAGGTGGAAAACAAAGCACCCTTCCAGCTGAAAGCCAACTTCTTCAGCACGTGCGGCACCCAAGGGGACGACAGGGCGGGCGTTCCCGAATTGTCCAGAACCTGTCGACATCATCCCATCCACAAACGGGTCCCAGCCCCACCAGGGTACGGTCCAGCGAGTTTGATTCCTATAGACTTGCAGCCACAGAGGCCGCCTTGGACTCCTTGGCATTTATCGCCAGGGTCAGGAGACGTAGTAGCTGCTACTTAGTAGCTGCTATGCATGGTTCGCAGGCTGCACATCACAGATTCGAGAGTGAAGAAGATCCTGAACGACTGGTTCAAGGACAGTGGCCCTCTTGATGCACGGACCCTTGACCACAGAGACGTTTAAACGCAAGAAAGCCCTCTTGCGGCTTCGTGCAGATCGAGTACAGTAATCGCAGCCTGAGAAGTCAAATCCGATTCGAGGCCGGAGGCTGCAGGGGTTCGTAAAAAGGGACTCCCAGCTCGAATGGGAGGACCAGCTGACCGAGACCATCCAGGGCCGAGGGCTCCAGCAGGACAGCGCAAAGCCCTTGAGTCGGAGCTGATTCAGCTGTGGGGTCGTTGAAGCCGCGGGTTCGGATGGTTAGTTCTGCTAGTTCCCAGGCTTGATGAAGGCTACCTGCGGAGAGAGTTTGGCAAGTCTAGGGCCTGGAGGCTTGTACAGTGAGGTGGGGAGGATCCTTTCTGGGAAGCTCGAGCTGCTGCCAGGAGCACAAGCACAGTGGAATCCTGACCGTCCGCATTGAAAGGGTGCGCAGCCCCTTACGGATTCTGCTCCGCTTTGAGACCATGCACTTCGAAGAGCATGTGTAGGAGTGGTCAACTTGTCCTATCTATCAGAGTCCCTCCCGATTTCACCGGCCGGCGCTGCTTACAGTAGCGTTTCTATCCAAACGCCTTGGAGCCCTGGCTCAGCCTGATCGACACGCAGGCCGAGCGCCTAAGGCGCGCGGACGCAAAGAAGCTGATGGACTGTCGCCTGGCAAGATTGCCGGACCACGAAGTGTTGCTCATGGGGCTTGGTTGTATCGGTGCAGGCAAACTTCCGTTTCGTGCGGAGTTGAGACTTCAGTTCTTGAGCTTGAGTTCCAGTGAATTGCTGGTGAAGGCTCTTGGGGTGGTAGATCTTCAGTCTACAGTCCAGATCGGGGCATCGTTTTTCAAGTGGTTCGAGACTGGATGCTCGGAGGGTTGCAAGCTTGGGTCCGGGCCTCGGTAAGTGTGTGAATGAGTGATGGAGGGAGCTTGAGGTGTGGCAGCTCGTACACAGCCCATGCCCGAAAGTTCCCGCCATCTGAGACTCAAGAAGCTCGCCAGGCGATCCCAAAGCTCTTCTCTGGGTGCGCAACGACGTTCAGGGATCCTGGCGTAAGGTGGGCTCCGTCAGATGTGTGCGTCACTGCATCACCTTCGTTGTACCTTCCGTGACAATCTTAGGTCTCTGCTGGTTGCAGGCGTTTTGCGACGGGGTCCGAACTAGCTTCGATGTGCAATGTTTCGTGATTTCGATCCATCTTGGCCTCCGCCTTACTCTTTTCCGGTACGGGCCCAGCAGCAGCCCATTGGACCTTAAGCTTTAACAGTGGCCTCCCAGCGGTTTGGAGCTCGACTGTTCCCCAATAGAAGGGCCTGAAACTCCGTCCGCCTCCTGGAAAAGCAAGCTGCAAGCAGTTTAAGATTTTGGTACTCACACAGCCTGCCCGACGTGCCAGAAGCCCTTGATGCAAACCGGCCGGATCTCCAACAACCGGAATCCTCGGTGGGGCTTCGAAGACAGCAAGACCATCTTCACTGGATCCTTCGAGGCCAGCGTTGTGGTGACGGCCTTGGGGCGCCTAGTAGCCTAGTACTGGTTCGTTAAGAGCCGATACCCCTCAAGCAAGGGCCCCTACGTTGCACGGGTCTTCTGAATTCTGAAGACTATTGCAGACCTTGCCAGGACATGTTGGATTTTGCGGTTGGTGGACTGCCACAGTTCTTTCGCATTGCATGGCAGGGCGCCCGCTTACAGGCAAATTTCTTGTTCAAGAGGCGCGGGGAAGTCGACAACCCTGCGCCTGAAATGGAGGCCGTGGAAAATGGTCACCGATGCAGTTCTTTCAACACGTCTTCTTTTTCATTTCCATGGACTCCAAGCTCCAGACGTTCCTAAGCTCCAAGCGCTCGCATGCAGGGTTATACCAAGAGCACAGATAAATCTCCTGTGGCGTCCCATGGGGTCTTTGAAGCCATGGGAAGCTCCCACTCCGAAGCTGCTCGGCCCTCTGCGACGGCATCCAGCGATGTTCCTAATATAGGGGCCTTAGTAATTAGAGTAGGGGTTTTGGGGCATATTCTACTATAAGTATAATAAGGAACCTCTAAGAGAGTATAGGCATTTACTTATCTTGGGCGGAGTCGAGGGTCGGTTGGGGATTTCGCAGTCACAGTCCCAAAGAGGTCCTATTGTGCAGCCACTCAAGGCCACACTCGAAGCCCTGAACCGACCGTGCCGAACCGTAGCAAGCCTCGACCTGCCAACGCTCTGCTGATTTGCTTTTCTTACGTTCGAGGCTTTTCCAGATTCGGACACACAATGACCTTTCCAGAGCGCATTAGCTTTCTGCCCGGGCAGTTCGCACTGTATGTATACCAGTCGAGCAACTGCCAAGACCAGATTTCGCTCTGCAGATGGTCTGCACAACGAAGCACGCAGCGTGACAAGGCCAGTGACATCAAGGTAGCTGAGGAGGCTGACAAAGATGGCAAGGCGGGCGGCAAGGCCTGGGTCGAGCAGATTGTCGTAAGGCGTAAGGCTACCGGCTACCATGGTTGTCATTGAATCGCGTTGGTTTTTGCTCTTTCCGCTTGCCGCTCTGCACGGTTCGTCTCGTTCACGTTTTGTTTCTTCGTGTGATTGCCATTGATGTCCTTGTTACCCAGCTTTGCTTGCCCAGCTCTGAGCCCGAAGACCAAAACAAAAGCCACGGACGACCCGCCACTTAGTGTCATCAGCAGTCGTCATAGAGCTGCCAAGGATTCTTGCAGTGATACACATTTGTCTTTTGAACCCGAAGGACAGCGATGACTTCAACGTTCTGGACCTGCTGCCGGGATCCGAGGGGTTGGCTTTACTCTACCATGTTGAAGCCTGTACTATACTATCTGCTATCTTGTAGTAGACAGTACAGTCTCGTATAATGGCATTAGGGAGGAGATGTGCCTGACCACAAGCCCCGTGCCGGACTTGTTGACAGCAAGACATATCTGACATATCTTTGGATTCACAGCTAACCTCCACTAGCCGGTACTAGCCAACAGAAATCAGAAACGAGCACCGCTATCAAACAATTTCACACTGTCCAGGCTGACAACTTGAATGCTGCCAGTAATGTTCCCAAAAATCAATGCTGGGCAGCCGTCGACTGTTCATGAGAACGGTGCCAATGCACCAAGCTGTGAAACAGCCAGGCACTCCCCACAAGCTCATACTTAGACTCAGTGGATGTTGTTGTTGTTGCCGCTGCTGCCGCTGCTGCTGCTGCTGCTGCTGCTGCTGCTGCTGGTGTTGTTGTTGTTGTTGTTGTTGCTGCTGCTGCTACTGCTCCTCCTCGTCCTCGTCCCTCCTCCTCCTCCTCCTCGTGCTCCTCCTCCTCCTCCTCCACCTCCTCCACCTGCACCTACAGGTAACAACAACAACAACTACTGCTGCTGCCGCTGCAGCTACGACGACAACGACGACAACGACGACCCGACGACGACGACTACTGCCACTACGCCTGCCACTATAACTTGCACTACCTCTACCAACCCTTTTTTGCTGTGATGATACTACACTGCACTAGACCGATTTCCTGACTCCAAGTTTGGGGTGACGGGTGGCGCCCTACGCCTGTTTCTTGGAAGCCGACAGCATCCCAGCCCGACGTCACGATGCACGATGTGCCGTGGTCAGACAGTCACCAACCGCTTTGGAGCTTCTAATCATGAACGCTCCTGTGCTTAGGCGTCACCTCCAGGAGCAGGAGGGCTATGAGGTCTACGACATCTTCGAACGAGGGAGGGAGCGGGTTCCCACGCAGGTTCGGCTTTGGCTAGAGGACCGCGTGCCCTGCCAGAATTTCAGTACCTCTCAGTGTCGCAGATGCGTACTACGAGGGAAAAAAGCGGGAGTGGCGCAAGCAATGCGGGGGTTGTGCATGCACGGCTGGTTGCTTCATGCCACCACCACCACCTTTGATGCAAGCGTATGATTGCGGACGAAGACGATATAGGCCCAAAGGTATATAGCCTTCTGCGGTTGTAAATTGTAAATATGGTCGACCCAGCTTGGAAAAATCTTAAACCCGAAGCACGCAACCAGGACAAAGAGGATTGGCTTGCCACTTCCGATGCTTCGAAGTCGGGTTCTTGGTCAAAAGGGTTCACGGGTTGTGGAAGCAGGAGTTGGAGCAGTAGCAATGGTCGTTGTACAAGCACTACTGCGGATGCAGGAAATCTTACATGGCCTACTTAATCCAAGGAATATAGACCCTCACCCAACACCCCATCCCCCTTTTTTGACATCGCTTGCTATCGTTATGGGGCGCTGCAGGCTTTATGTCATCGGGCCAAGTCCTGAAAACTACTTTGGTGCGTGGGGCGAATCGGCTTTCTTTGTGTTCTAAGCGGTGCAAGATTTCCCCATCCGCAGTAGTATCATCACCAATAGCCAAAGACACTGGGCATTGTGATGAGAAGTCCATGACCGGAGAGCGTTTGGGCCAAACCTTTTGGAGTGAATTCGTTCGAAGATGCTTGGGCCGGCGGCGATTTAGCATTTATGGTCAGAACTTGGAGTGTGAGTTCGGCCGGAACTGGCTGCACAGATCACGCAGGGAATGCAGTTCGGGTTCAGCCGGTGTCCGGTATGCCGAAAGGGAGAGGCCACCGAAAGCCAGTCAGGTCCATCGACCCTTCGGCGAACCAGGCGGCATTTGTTCGGGCTGCTTGGAAATTGTTGCTTTGTCGCAGCGGGATCCAGGTTCGGCATTAGGGCTCAGGGTCGGAATTCGGGCCTAGTGGTGCCAGGCCTCCGTATGCAGAGTTTTCTTCTTCCGCATGTCCATGCTTCTCTGATCATACCGTAACAGGCAGCATGTGCATTTTAGAGCAATTGACGACTCGTTTACGCATTTTACACGACTTCGCCAGTATCCTACATGGTCGGGAGTTAGACCACCCCGAGCAGTCTTATCCTCTCATAGGAGGCATGCGGATTTAGCTGGAAGCTCGAGTGCCACCACAAAGTACACGTTTGGCACTGAGAGCAATGAGGGCAAGAACGCTCGGAGCTTGTTGCTCTTCCTGGTAGTAGCATCATTGCTGTGATGGTGAGCCTGGACACCTGTATTCTCAGTTTCCGCTGTCCTTCGCGTTTCGACTGCCAGGAAAGCGACGCCTCCGGCGGCGGTCCCAGATTCTATCATCCTCGAGGTGTCAGTTTGGTTCGAGTCTCACACATGTTGTTCAGCCATGCACGCAACTCGCCGTCCTGTTTGGCTGATTTTGTTTGTATTTCGGATTTCTGGTCTGCCTGTAGGGTTTCGTAGGATTTCATTTTCATGGTTGGGCTTGTGGTGCCAGTCGTGCAGACGATACTTGTGAGCCAGCATCCTGCCCTGGACGCTTCATTGACCTTTGGCCCTTCAAAATCGGTAAGCTCTGCATGTCCAACTCTGACACAACTCTGCGCAGACCATCAGGCGACAAGGACGGCGAGGTCAAGGCAGCAGAGGCCTCGGTGGACCTTCCCGAAGGTTTTTTTGGAAGACTGCTTGCAGGGACTCAGGCTTGAAGTATTGAGGCTCTGCCTCGTTGTATTTCTTTACATAACTTTCTGATCGATGTTCTTCTGAACCATCTATCTATCTATCTACCGTTTCATGTGCACACGCGATTTGATTAGCTGATTGTTTTTGCGTCTGCCTGCTTGGTTATGCCAGTTTATGCTTTTGTTTATTCACATTACGTTTACATGACTGTCGTGCAATGGTGCATTGTCCGAAACTCATCATGGGTTCGCTACATGTGTTGGACATGAGTCAGCTTCGAAATTCTCAGCGCCCCGTCCGACAAAGGACGTCGCGGAGTCTGACCACTGGGTGCTGCTCTCTGTGCTGGGGGCTCGGAAGTGCCACCAGCAAAGACCTCCATTTTGTTTGCCTCCTTGTGTCGCTTTGGAAAAAGATGCTTGCAAGTAATTAGGTTCTTGTGGTTTGAGGGGCCGTGCCTCAGAATTTAGGTTTGTTTCAATAACGGCCTCCAAACAGGGATCTGACTTGAACAAGGTGCAAGGCAAGCGCAAGGAATCAATACAAGGGAGGTCCTTACGTTGCTACTTCATAGCAGAATCACAGAACGAACAACAATGGGCTGGAATGCCAGATAGCATGCTAGTGCGACAAGACAGGAATGCAACATGGAATAGTCTGTGACTTGCACTAGAAGGAAATCGTCGATGCATCATAGAAACAGGAGAGCACTCGCACGATAGCCGCAGTAAAAAGAAGAGCAGCGGAATGATAGGGCAATGCAATGGCATGCGAGAGATACGTCAACAGGCCACATAGTCATAAGCCAAATTATGGACACGTGAATTCGTGAAGGCAGGGCTCAACCCACAAGCCTCAGCCTCGCGAGCCATTGGCTCGTCAGGCCGCCGAAACCTGCTGCGAAAGGCGCTGTTCTGTGAAACCTTTTCGGGCATGAGTCGGTATCAGGATTTAGCATGGTTGGGTTTGACGTCCTGTGACATACGAGATCAAGGGTTGACTCCAGCGTGTTGTTGTTTCTGTGTTTGGTTCTCGTGAAGATTTGAAGAGGGACAAAGGCGGAAAGGAGACTTCCATACAGCGCCCAGTATTGGTTTGTCTCTGTTGACCTAGAGGCCAGCTTCTTTCTCTCTTAGGGGTTTAAGGATGCGCTGACGATATTGAACTGAACCCCAAACATCCCCAAACCTCAAACCCTGCCTCGAAACCTGCAGCTTCGGACTCTAAACCCTCAAAGCTCAAACCCAAATCTGAGCCCAGATAACTTGAGATACCTGGCTTCGCTCTGCAGGGCGAGCCAAACCACCCGGAGCCAAAGGCCAGCAAAGACATGGCAGCTTCCGGTCAGTCTAGGATTTGTTGAATTCAGGAGTTTTCTGGTTTATAGATGTTGACAGAGTTCTGTATGAAAGGTATCCAGTTGGAACTCCGGATCTTCAGGCTGCTGGCTTTTGTGTTTGGTCTCTCAGTCTCAGCTTGAGGAAGACTGAGCCTTGACTTAAGAGCCCCAACCACACTCTAAATCCTAGACCCTGAACCTTGAAGCATGACGGGTCCTTGCGCCGCATTGTGGGGTGTGTCCCAACAACATGAGGCCCACAGTTCCAACTGCCGTGTCAGATAGTTGAGCTTGGGGCTCTAAGGCTGCATTTCTATCGGGGTCAAGGTTTTGGGCTGTTCCAGATGTCATTTCCACCCAAAACTATCGGGTTAAGGATTCAGTGTTCCTACACCTTCAAGACTGAAGCCCAAAACAACGACGGAAGTCTGCCGGCTCCTTCCGAAGGCAAGGGGCCGCCACCGCCGCCGAAGCGTGGTGGTCCAAAGGCTTGGTGGGGAGGTTTCGGGTTCGTTGGGTTCGGGGTTTGTGATTCGGGAGTTTGAGAGTTTAGACTTCGACCAAGCATATTTTAGAATTTCAAAGGTTTTCGGTTTCGGTGGTTGCAGGCTCGGAGGGTTTAGCAGCTATCCGTGCCCGTCTTGTTCGTGAAGATGGGACCTCAGACCTGTACATCCATTCGGTCCTAAGGTTGACGCTTTCTCGGTTCATGAAGCCTTATCACGGTGTTTTGATTGAAGTCCTCTCAGACTTGAGGGTTTTGCGGCGTAGCTTCAGGTGAGGTTGAAGCAGGTGTGGTCATGGGCCGTTCAGCGTGTGAATTTGGTTTTGAGAATCGAACCGGTGGTAGGTTTTCTGCTTTGGGTTTGCATTTGAGGGCTCCAGGCCGCCTTCGGAAGCTCGTCCTGAGAGGCGAAGAGCAAGCCTCCACCACCGCCTGCGCCCGGAAGCAAGGAGGATGCTTCCAGGCCTTTTGAGCCATTGCTTTTTTCTTTGTAGTGGTTCGGAGTTTTTGCGGCGTTGCATGTCAACTTCAAGGCCGATTTGTCGGGGATTTGTCCGACACTCGTGACACTTCGCTCGATTTCTCAGTGCCGTCTGCTGTGATGCGTAGGACCAGGAGAGTGGTGCGGGCGGACATATCTGTCTCAGTTGAAACGGCGTGAGTCATTGCTACACTGCTTCGCCTCTACTGCTCTTTGCAGGTCGAGGAATCGATCTTCGCTCATGGGGGGCTTAGGAAAATCACAGCTCTGAAGAGGCTTGCGGTTGCCAAAATATAGGGGATCATGGTAAAGCCGAAATCCAACCAAAGTCCCAGGCAATCGCGCAATCCTTGTTCTGGACCTCTCGCTCGCAAACACTTGAGGCTTAGAAGCCTCTCCGAAATCCGTAGATCTTGAAAACCATCTGACGCCCTGACAGCAAACCTGGAACCAGGCAGCCTGCCAACCGAAGGCAGTCCATTGGGAAGGCCGGACGCTTGCAGAAGGGAATATCTTTGCCGGTTCGGTGGCCATTTCGAGCTGGTATAGGTTACAAACCTGAGATTTGTTGGGAGTTGCTCTGAATCAGGATTCCCTTGTTCAACGAAGCAAAGCCAGCAAGCTTCCCAGATGACAGAGGCCAAGACCCGAAAACACACACTGGTACCGCTAAGCAGTCGATGCCTCTGTGGACTCATACCATGAACGCTAAGCCCGTGATCCTGAACTCGACGCCGAGAACCGAAGGTCTCTGCAGACCCTTCAGTCCCAAGTTTCTGACCTCAAACCCTGTGTGACTACCATGTGACGAGAGCTCCATCATGTTATCCAAAGCCTGGGTCTGTGTAAAGCATCTTCAACCCGACACGCCCAGGAAGAGATGGATTAAACTAAACAAAGCTAAAAAACCGTAGCCCTTCGTACTGCCAGGCACCTCCACCACCTCCCTTCGGCAAGCGGCTGCACTGGAAACTGCACCTCGGCTTGTGCTGGCCAGTGTCAAGGTTAAAGCATTGGGAATCCCTCTGGGCCATTCGTTGTGGGTTGAGGGGCTTGGATGTAGGACTATGGTTTGTGCCGCACCATGCGGTCGGCGACTGCATCCACGTCTCTTCAAACTCAAATGTCTCGTCGTGTGATTTCGTGGAAGTGGAGACCGCTAAACGCAGCCAGTTTTATGGGATGATTTGAACATAGTACAGGAGAAAGCTCGTTGTGTTGAATGCCGGCCCTGCTTGGGGCTCGGGTGCAGCTCGCGAGAGATTCGTCTCAACTCATACAAACGACTGCGTGGCAGCGAAGAAGAAGAGCTGTAGTCTTCAAAGTCACACGCGTTACTCGCGTTTTGAGGAGGTTAAGGAAGCTCAGGCCAAGCTGCTCCGTTGAAGTTAGACAAGTTTGCCAAAGCAAGGAGCAGACATGATGTCTGTCCCCACCCAAGAGTTTTCAAATATTTAGTGGAGAAAGAAATACTTCAGCCACGTCAGCATCCACACCTCAAAAGCGCAGCTTTGGATGGCCGTTGTTTTGGAGCAGCTGTGTACTGCGATCAGGTCCTTGTCTCTTGATCCTGGCACCGCATTTTTCAGATCCATGTTTCGAGGCATCCCGATCTGGGTTGCGGCGTTTGCCGATCAATTGTTCGGATCTGGCTCGCAATACACATCATTCGGCCAGCTAGCCACCCGGCTACAGCCTTTGATGCCACTGAGATACACTGAGGCTTCCTCCGGCAACTTTGGACAATACCATCTTTGAGGAGCGAGGGGGCTCACTTCTTGGGCGTGGGTAGGTCTAGGGAGAACACCAACGCCTCATCCACTAGCCGCGTCCGTTCATATCTGTCCTAAACTCGAACTGGCCTCGCTGGAGGAGCTGCAACCGTGGGACAAGGTTGCAGCACTCCCAGACTCCCAGCTCACTGCGATTGGGTTAATCGCAGCAGTGACTGTTGGACATGCTCTAGTACCCAACATCCGGAAATGTAGTGTCAATACTTGTATCTCTGTATCTCCAAGAGCTGATCAGGTGCACGGCCGTTGGCCATCAGAGTGTTAATCGTCCTGTCACAACCAACTGCCTCGGCGAAATCGTGGTCAAGGTGGGGTGGTGATTACAATGCTGATTGATGCTGCTGATGAGGGTGATGATGATTATGATGTTGGTGATGATGATGCTGGAGTGATGATGGTTGGCGATGGTGATGGCGATGATTATGATGATGATGACGACGACGGCGACGATGGCGACGCGGATGGGTGTTGGATGAGGATGGCGATGGGGATGTGGATAATGACAGTGGTCATGACGATGGTGATGCTGGCGATGGTGAAGATGGCGATGATGATGGCGACGATGGTAATAATGTGGGCGGGGGGGGGGAGATGTTGAGTCTGCCTGTGATGCTGGTAACAACGAAATCTCCTGCTCCTCCTCATCCTCCTCCGCCTCCCCCTACACCTCCTCCTCGTCCTCTCATCCTCTTCACCACCATCCTCCTGCGATCGTGTCGAGGTGAGCCGGGGTATTTGCATCTGGTTAGACACGAGGAGTCCATGCGCGACAGTTGTCAGATAGGGTTTTTCATTTTTTCAAGATGCGGGATGTCAACAACAAGCCGCAGCCGTTGATACCTTCAATAGCCTCCTTCAATCGCCTGATCCCGCGAAATGCAGTCTTGGAAGGTTGTGGTCTTCCTGCTTTGCCGGGCAACTAGCCTCAAGTACAATGAAGCTCCTGAGTGCACTGGAGACGTCACCGGTGCAACCCCTGCAGCCTGTGACGAGCTTGGAGCAGATGGGTGTGACAACAAGTACACTTCGGTGGAGGGTGGTGTCTATAGCCAGTGTAAAGTGTCAGGCTCGAACTGCCTCGCCGTTGGCCCCATCTGCAAGAAGCCGGACGTTTCCTCCATGACCTGCTCGAGCTTGTCAGACTGCGAGGGCAAGGGCTGGAGAAAAACGTGGACCAGTGGGACTGCCACGACATATTCGGAAGACTTGGGCAAGTATGTGCTGTTGGGCTATGTCAAAGATAATGGAGAGATGTCCCACGCCTGGTTTTTCAAGACGCCGGACAGCTGGAAGTCGACCCATCCATACAAGCTCCAGCACGAGGGCGAGGTCATCGAAGCCATCCGTGCTATTGATGGAAAGAAGTACGAGGGTGAGCTCGTCTCCGACAAGTCCAATTATGGCGGAGGCTGCGAGTGTGGGAAGGGCTCAGGCGCCTGGGGTCGTATCTGCCTCCGCGGCAAGACGCCCCCATCCGGCGGGTGGAAGTGCACCGGCAAGGGAGGTGCCGTGCCAGAAGCCCCTCGTCCAAAAGTGTAGCAGCAACAGGCTTCCGTTTTTTTAGCTTTTCTGAAAAAGTTGTATCCATGTTTTACTATTTTGCCGAATTGTGCCCCAGGAGATTGACTTCCCCTATGTCCGCGGATATGGCAACGGCAACAGCTGTGGCAGTTCAAGCCTGAGCTACTTCAACTGGAATTCTGGCACGAACTTCTGCAGCAAGGGCTTCAAGGTCTTGATCATGACGAAGTAGTACAAAAGCACCATGCACTTCAGCGCTGGGCTTAAAAATTTCAAGCCGAACTCCGTTCTATGGCAGGAGTTGCAGAAAAACGCCGTGCACTGCATTCCTTGCATGCTTTCGGCACCAGAGACAGAAACACCAGGCTGCACACAAAGCAGTCGAATGGCGTGCCCTCAGCGAACCCGATTGCAGCAAGGCCCCGCCTTTGGACACGAAGCAGCTCGAGCGGCTGTTTACTCCCGCAGAACGCAGCCTAGGCCGACGTGGGGTTTTGGACAGGGCGGCTGAGACAGGGCTTTTTTTTGGTGGTTTCGTGTCAACACTTGAGCGAGCTTGGGGTACGTACCAGGTTGTTTTTTCTCATTCATGGCTTTCTGATTTGGATCGGCCCTGTGATTTTTTTTTTGGGGCCCTGCCTTGATTCCAGGATGCCAGAAATCAGCTGCCGAACTTTAGCCTTTTCCAGAAGCGAGTTTCAATGGCTAGTATCAAAGCATTTGACTCTGAGCCCTTGACGATTTCTCCCTTTGTAGTATGATCCCTACAGTCCCTACATATAGTATACGCATGTTGCAGCGAACACTCGAGAGACTCGGTCGAAGTCTTCAGGCGCCTGTGCGAGCTCCAAGCAGACAGAGACCTCACAAAGTGCAAAGTACCAGCCACAGGCAGCAGAAGTCAGCAGAAGGCAGAATAAACCCAGCAACACCTGAAGCCTGAAGTGCCAAACTTCAAACTCCCGAGACCCAGCTCAATGCCCGGAATCGTCCACTACTTGGGGCTGGTGAAAAGGTGTCCCGATCAGCTGCACTGCGGCCCAACCGGGAAAAGCTGCTTCAGGCAAATGGCACGCAAAACATTGGCTTGTCAGTTTCGGTTTTCATCTGGGTTTAAAAAAGGCCTGCGGTTGTTTCAGGGCTCTGCGTTCGTTCGAGCAAAAAAATTGTGCTTTCGAAAGCATAAGTTATCGCAGTAATGCTCGGCGAATGCATAGTGCAATCCAGGACTCTGGTAAGAAAGGGATTCCCCTTCCGAGTCCATGTTCCAATTCTGGAGAGACCCCCGGTGGGTCCAGCCTCTCTAAGCCCTTGTGGCAGGCAAGATGTGCCTCATGGATCCGAAACGGGTCTCGCCAGCTCGTTTGACGGGCTGTTTCGCAGTTGTGTGCTGCTTTCCTCGTCGCTTTGTGGGGCCTGGGGTGCGCTGTTCCCGGCTCGCGCACTGAAACATCTTCGACACATCGCAGGTGAGAGAAGTTGAAGAACAGGGTGGGAACTGGGAACAGTTCAGACGGACCTCATGAGAATTTTTCGTGCATTGGTAACTGTACCACGGAAAGGCCCAGAACCTCGCGATTATTTTGCGGCAAGTGGTGCGGACCTCTGCTGCTAGCGAGGTTGCGACCGACGTGCATTTCTGTTTCACCTCAACGTCAAGGTGAACGGGTTCAGGATTGATGGCCTCGGGGTGGTGTTTTCGTCAACTCGAAGCCTCTAAGTTTCTGTACGGCTCTAGCAAGGCAGACTCCAAGCCCGAGGCTTTGCATACCCCACGGCGCAATTTCCCTTTTTCCAGCAGGGCCACAGGAGCTTCGATGCTCCTTTGCAAGGGGTGGGGCTCTTGAGGCCTGAAGCCGAGGACGAACTTGTGACGGTTGGAGCCAGAGCCGTCGCAGCTAGACAAGCAACCCCAAGAAGGAAAAATGGGGAAAACATAACAAGTACGTGTAGGAAACATACATGTAAGCATTATGCTGAGAGGGAGAAGACACCATTGAATTAAGCAGCACGCAGCCAGTCAGGCTTTACCGACAGACGAGTTGTGCGACGTGGTGCGTGGCCTCAGGCACTCCTTTTGGTGTCTTTCGAGCTTTGAGAGGGTTTCTCAATTTGGCTTCACGTCGTGCTTTCTCACGTCTCAGAGTAAAGGGGCTGCCTTGACCCAGCTTTTCTGGACCCTGTCAAGTCTCGGGGTTCGTTTCAGCAAGGCTTCATGAAGGTGTTGATGGTCTGTGCACACTTGGCACAGGATTGCTATGCCGTGTTTCAACCCTGTTCGGGGAAGGATCGCAGGCATGTCTTCCTCTGGCTTACGGTCTGACTTTGGCCCCAAAACTAAGGCTCTGCTGAAAAGCACCAGTCATGAGATTTCCCCTACGGGCACCTGTCGACCGAGCCCCCATGGCCCGATCCCTTGATGCTCAGCCCAACGGAACTGCGGCCAGGCTCCAGCATCCAATCAGCACAGAGGCGCAATGCGCAGAACGGAGTGTAGATTGGAGTATTGCGTGCGTGTCTGCAATCTCAAGCATCATCATGCTCACTGTGTCTCACCGTCAACACAGACACCACAATCACCAGATCAGCACCAGCGCGTTTTTTTAGTTTTTATCATGCAGGCTCTCGCAAGGAGCGATCAGCAGATGCGTTGTGCCACCCAGCAGTGCTTCTTTTGGACAGCTTCATTGCTTCCCAGTCTTAGCGACGTATTTGTGAGTCTTACCATCCGGTTTTCGAGAAGCATATGTCTGGGATACTTCGGGCTCCAAGCATGGAGTGAAGCACGACGCCGCTGGTTCGGCGAGCCTCCCCTGGCAGCTGACTGAAATCTTACTTTAAAGCTTTGCACATCGCAAGGCGCTGGAGCATATCCATGAGTTCCTCCTGCCGCCTCTTCTGGAGCTGGGCTCTTGGGGGCCGTGAAAGAGATTATCAAAGCCCTGTCAGGCACTGCATTCGGTAATTTTCAAGAAGCACCGGGTTTCTGAAGTAATCGTCGATAGCTCATGATCTGCTACAGGTCAGCAGAGATGTTCGCTTCCTATGATGGGCCTTTGCAGAGCCTCCGTGACGTGGAGTCGCCGACTTGGTGCGAGTTGTGGAGCTCATCTTCAGGCTTCCAGGTCCTTCTTGCTTATTCTGCAGTTGTTCCTTTCTGGTCTGCGACCAGGGCGCAGGAAACTGGATGCCCATGTCTGAAAATGGAATCTCCGAAGCCGGAATCCGAAAGCAGCAACACCAAGACGATCGCTCGCTGTTCACAGAAGCCGAAACAAATCTTGAAAAGCAGTGAGTCAACACGTGAGACAGAGTGAAGCAACAGTACACGTGGCAAGCACGAGTCCCAGTTTCAGTCTTTGTAGTCTCGCACAGGATGCAGACTTGGAGAAATAGAATTCAAATCAACTTTGATCAACAGAGTTCGCAAGCCGAGCCATGTTCCCCGGTACAAAGGAATCCAGTCCTGTCGGGTCCGCGACGAAATGGAATATGCGCGAGCGTCTCCATATCCGAAGGACAGAAATCAGCATGATCATGATCATCACCGTCGTAGTCATCACCCTCCCTGTCTGTCATCCTTACCATCTCCCTCACCACCAACACCAACACCACCAACACCACCAACACCACCAACACCACCAACACCACCAACACCACCAACACCACCAACACCACCACCAACAGCAGCCACCCGCACCACCCCCACCCCCCACCCCCACCAGGGTCCGCTCAAGAATCCTGCTGAGGCGGCAGCTGCTCCCCTTGGCACGCATCCCGCGGCTCAAGGCTCCGTCACAAGATGGGAGCGACTTTCCTTGTGCCAATTGACACGGTGAAGCTCGGCATGCGGCTGACGTCAGGCCCGGGTGAAGTGCCTGCTCTTCGGGACGACGATGCCAGGAGTGAGGGCTGGACTGGAGGCCGCCAGAGTGCCAACGCTCTTCCAGACATGTTTAAGTCCCCGAGGCTGGGTTTTTTTTGGTGAATGCTAGCTCGGGTAAGCATTCTTGCTGGCACACTCCAAGCACGAGACTGGGGCTCTCACCCAAGCCTCGCTGCCCAAAATCCAAGTGGTGTTGAACAGGCCCGTATCCGTACGCTCCAAGAGGCCTGCAACCAGGCCAGGCGCAGTTTTCGGAGCTTCGGAAATTGTAACTGCTTGGCGCAATCCACTGGCAATCAAAGCTTTCCGTAGATCAAGCAGAGATGAAAAAGCGGTGGAAGTAACCATACTGAACCGCGAGAAGTCATAACTAAGTAAAATGATTATGTTGAGACGGTTACAATATTGAGACGGTTAAGCTCGAGACAAATCAGGGGTTTACAATCAGGGGTTTACAGATGATACCTCAAGTATCACAGCAAATAGCAATCACAGCCCAATTGTAGCAACTTGTTTTGTCCAGCAGTGGTAATGACGATGGGGATGGCGAAGGTGAAGAAGAAGATGATAGGTATGAGGATGAGGACGGCGACAACGGCACTTCCTATGCTCACGCAAGAAGCACGTCCATGCAGAATGCTC